TTATCTGTGGCTACATTGCATTTGAATTTATTATCTGCAAGTTACCCTGCACTTTAAATTTTTAAAGAAATTTATGCATTTTTTCCCTTGTTTCACCAAGCTATTGAAATGCTTACCTTTAAAAAAAAAAAAAGAAGAAGAAGAAGAAGAAGAAATGATATGCATTTCATTATTAAGATATTATATGATATTGAATGGTCATGCGAAGCAGATGCAATAAAAGCAATCAAATGGCTATAAAGAAATGTAAGATGACTAGTTTTTTTTTGCTCTTAAAGTGAATCGCAAAATCTATCTATTCAAGATGAAACAAAACTTAGAAAAAAATAAGAAAATTAGGGTTGTTCTAACTAGGGTAACTGCTGTTTTAGGTGGAAATATTGACAAGGAAAGAATGCATCTTGCAAATACATAAGATCCTAACAGGGGCGTAGCTAGATTGGGGGCAAGGGGGGTCATCTGTCCCCGGGTGCAGAATCCAAGGGGCGCCAAACTGATGTTACACATTTTAGAATTAAATGTTTTCCATCCTTGGCAAGCAGTAGGGGGCGTGAAATCTTCAATTGTCCCTGGGTGCTGAAAACCCTAGCTACGACTCTGGATCCTAATAAAAATTAATGTTATACTTTTGTTACACAATACTTTTGTCACAATATATATATATATACTATACTTTTGTAACAAAATTTTGGCAGTACATACATGATTTAAAAGAAAAATATAAGGAAATGGTTAATGATGCATTCAATATTTACACTAATAATTTTTCATTATACCAGAAACTCTTCTATGTTTCAGTTATTGTTGTATTCTTTATTATTGATAAAAATTTTAAGTGATATTTGAAATTATATTAGAAGCATTTTATATAGATGAAACTCTAATTTAAATTTTGTCTGCAGCCTATTAGAAACCTAATCTTTTCTGTGAGTGAGATCACTATGCAAGTCTTTTCCTAAAAGCACAGTATAAAATTTCTAATGAAAATAAGCCTATTGCATTCAGAGGCATATCTGTAAGAAAAGAATGATTTGTAAAGTTCATGTGTGAATTCCTGTAGTTCTGAAGAGCCTTTGTACTAGTCCCAGCTAAGTACTTATACATAAGCTCCAGTGCATTGAGGTGGGTTAGGAGCATAGACTCCAACTACTACGGATTCTCCGTAGTTTCTACGGAAATTCATGAAAACTATGAGCTAAAAGTATGGAAAAACTACGGATTTTACAGAAACAAGAGCAGGAGAACCAGTACACAAAATGGAACCAACTAATTCATCCGATGATTGGCTGAATACTCGTGTTATCATATATCACGTGTTTGAGTGCGTTTCCTAGTTTTGAAGAATTAGCCAATCGTAGATCAGTAACTCCAACCGTTACGACTTATCATAGTTCCACCCAATGTCTGTCTCCCAGGTTCCCGCTGATGCGTTTTAGGCTGCTTCGCTGCATTGTGTAGTTACGGCGAGAGCTTAGCGTGTGTCTTGTGAACTGTGAATCAGGTGAAAGATTTTATTCATAATGCTGCCTCGAACGAAGAAGCCAAAATTATCAAAGCAGAAGTTTAAAGATTCATATTCTTCAGAATTTCCATGCATTAAAGTGTCCGAAATTTCTGTGAATCACGCACACTGCAGTGTATGCAACAAAGACTTCTCAGTTGTCATGGCGGAAAAGATGACTGTAAACGGCATGTGTTTTCTCAAAGCATATAGACTTGGCACCGTAAAATCTAAAGAAATAACAATTTCTTAATAAAAGATGATGAAAGATCCTATAAAAGCCGAATGCTATTTTGTTCGTTTTTTAATTGAACATAATATTATCGCTTCTGTTTCGGATCATTCCAAAGAGCTTTTCAAAGCAATGTTTCCGGGTCTGCCATAGCAAAAAAATTTAGCTGCGGTCATACCAAACTGCTGCTATTGTGAAAACGCTTGCAGAAAATACTGTTGCTGATATTATAAAATCAGTGTGCAGTACATCATTTTCTCTAAGTACTGATGGAAGTAATGATACAATGATAACAAACTGTACCCATTGGTTATAATACTACAGTAAAGAAAAGGGAGTGATAATTACTTCATTGATTTCTATTTTAGATGCACGAATAGGATTAGAATGCACAGAGAGGTATTTTTAATTGTATAAATGAAAACTTTAAAAACAAAGGTTTAGAATGGAAAATTGCTTATCATTTTCTTCAGATAATGCTAGTAATATGATTGGAAAGTTTAAAGGTGTAGCATCATTTATCAAAATGCATCACCAAGTATAATCACCCGAGGTTGTCCGTGCCACCTCTTGCATATAGCTGCAAAAAAAGCTACTGAAAAATTTATTGGCTCAGAAATTGAAATGTTGATAATAGATATAGATTTTTACTTGGAGAAAGTTCGAAACGGAAGCATAGCTTCAAAGTTGCTCAACAAATTTTGGGACAGAATGCAAAATCTCATAAAATTTTGAAATATTGCAGTACGAGATGGTTGTCTCTTTTAGAATCTATAACAAGGATTTTGGAACAATGGGATGCTGTGATAAATTTTTTTTGGAGATAAACCAGATAACAGTGAGAATGAAGGAAGAGATTGCAAAACATTAAAAAAATTTTACAGTCACCGACCACCAAATTGTACTTGTTATTTTTGAAAAATACTTTTTGTTTATAACAGTAAATATTAATTTGCAACAACCAAGCTCCTTATATACATAAATTGAGAAGAGAACTTTTTGAACTTTTAATGAATTTTATTTGTTAGATTCCGTAAAACCATCAGTAATTTCTAAAGAAAATGAAAGATGTTACTCTAACGTCTATTCCATTTCAAGAAGTATAGTAAACAAAAGAAAATGAAAATTTAGTGATTGGTGCAGAAACAAGACTATACTTAAAAAAATGCCAAGTTGAATGAAAGGTGAAGTGAAATTGCATTTTTTCAATTCTGTGCGAGCTTTTTTTGTAACTGCATGTTAATATATAATTGATAAATTTCCACTGAGTGATCCATTTCTAAAACATGCTGAAGTTGCTGACATCAACTTGAGAACTGAAGTCATCTTTCATCTGTTCTTTACTTGATGAATACTTTTTCCATCCATGATGAAAAAATGTCTTAATCAAGTAGAAATTGAATTTTCCATGTATCAAGTAGATGATTTGAAAGAAATTGTAGATTTGCGTATTGATATAGCAGGGGAGAAATTGCCAAATTAAAAAATATGAATTAGTGTATTAAATACAAAGTATTGCCTTCTGTAATGCTTGCTGTCTTAATAATACCTCATTCAAATGCAGCTTGCGAAAGAATTTTTTCTATTGTTAAAAAAAATCAGACGGAATTTCGACCAAATTTAGGTCTTAAAACTCTTGAAGCAGTTTTGATTGAAAAAATAAATATGCAGGCAAATGAAGAACTGTGTTATAAAAAAAAAAATTCTCAAAATCAGAACTTAAGCTTGCTAAGCATGCTACATATAAATCTTTGCATTCATAAATTATGCGTATTTTGTTTAATACTTATATGTATCATTCTTGGTTATTTAAATTTTATTTCCCTGTAGAAATCATATCCAGAATAAAGATATGATTTATAGCTTCTGATTTTTTCTATGATTAGTAGTGATTTGAAGTACTTTTTATTAGTGAATGCTTGAGGAGTTAAAAGAAAATTTCTAATTAAATGTGCATATAATTTACAAGGTATTTTTAATTATTCAGTTTTATATGTATATGGATTTTAAATGTAATAAAATTGATTACAATTAATTATTAATTTAAAATTAATGAATGGTTAATTACAACATACGCTACGCGCACATTTTCAAAGTTGTAAAAATGTCGTTCGCGCGTTGACTACTGACAAGGTTTGCTGAAGGTTGGAGTCTATGGTTAGGAGGGAGAATTGCTTCAAATAAGCCATTCACATCATATCTGCTATCACAAAACTATTTGCAGCGATCATTTGGGCCAAGATAAACTAGTGTCATCTATTTATGGCTTCTGTTGGCAAGTATCTAATTGTGGACCTTCAGGTTAAAGCTGAGTACTTAAGTAATTGGACTAATGGCATACTTCAGTTCCAGGTACTGAAGATAACATGTTTCTTCTGCTAGGAAGCGAGATCATTACACCTTTTTTTATCAAGCTTCTAGGTCATGCAATTGAATGAAAATTGCATAAGGTTTTAGCCTAAATACATTCTACATTTTTCACAATTTTTATGATATTACATTTCTGTGAGGAATATTGCTAAAATAGATAGGAAAAATGTGAATTTCATCTTCATTTTCTTTTCTTTTTTTAAATAGATTTACTGGTTTTTAAAATAACTTGCATCAGATAGCTCATTTTAAAATGGATTAAATATATAAATTTATAACAAATGTTAAAGAAATCACAAATACTAGTTCTGGAAATGTGATTTTCTGAAACAGTTATGTACAGTTCTGAAAATGTCATTTTTAGAACTGTTAAATATAATTTCTTTGTAATAATAATGCTGAAATAATGCAGAGAATTTTCTTTTAAAATCATATTCTCTTTTTTTGAATACAAAGATTTGCCTTTGATTTTGTTCAAGGTTCTCCCTGTAAATAATGAAACCAGTCAAAACATTTTCAAATTATCCCATATTGAAAATTATAGGAAATGCTAAACATAACACGCATTTTCTTACATTTTTATTGTAGTATGTGGTTTTGCCTGCCATGTGACATGTCAAGAGAGAGTTCCTGCAATGTGCCCTGTGCCTCCAGACCAAAGTCAGTACAAAACCTTTTAAATGGGTTTATAAGTTCTACATATCAATTAATCAAAATTACATTTAATTGTCTGAATTTGTTTTATTCATTTCATTTAGCTAAAAGACCAGTAGGAATAGATCCAACCCGAGGCATTGGCACAGCATATGAAGGTTATGTGAAGGTATGTATTATTTTATTATTAGAAACTGTCATAAGTATGGATGTTTAATTTTTTATAATTAAAGAATAATCTGGCTTGTAACTTTAATGAAGATTGATTTTAATGTGTTTATTCATAGGTTCCAAAACCAGGGGGTGTGAAGAAAGGTTGGATGAGACAATTTGTTGTTGTTTGTGATTTCAAGCTTTTTTTATATGATTTAGCACAAGACAAAAGTGCTCAGCCATATGTGTGTGTGTCTCAGGTATTGGATATGAGGTAAAAGAATTATTTATTTAGCAATTTTTGTACACAATTTTTAGATATGGAAATAAATATGGGGAATGTTTTTTATGTGGGGGATGTTTTTTTTTTTCCATATTTAAATAGGAAAAAATGTTTTATGTGGGCACAAATTTGCTTTATCTATTGTATTATAAAAGGAAATCTTAGTATTATTACTTTAATTTTTTCATTTAAGAATTTATTATTCATTTCGATAATATATCTTTTTTCAGAGATGAAGATTTCTCAGTCAACTCGGTGCTGGAATCTGATGTTATTCATGCCAATAGAAAAGATATTCCTTGTATATTTAGAGTAAGATTTCATTAGCATAATGCTTTCTCAAGGAGAATTCTTTATAATTTATTTCTTTATGTGATAATCTTTGATGAATTAAAGTTTGTTTAGAAATTATTAAATTAAGAATAAAGCCACATAAACATGAAAGATTAAAACTGTTGGGAATATTTCCTAGATAATTTCCTAAATCAAACATATTTTAATTCCAAGCCTCTGTAGTATAGTATTGTAAACTGTGCTTACTGTCAATGTTTATTTCTCAGATACTTATTAGCTTAAAATTTAAAAAAATACCTTAGTTTCCTGTTTGATTTGGTGCTATGCTGTAACTGCACTGCATTTAACTGACTGAGATCAAGCTTGTTAATTTTGTGTTTACAAGTTGTTTTCTAAATGGGTATTTTTGTTGTTAATTTTTTTTATTCTTTATATTTCACTTCTTTAGATATTTGTTCTTCAAATGAGTTTTCTGATTCAATCTTGGTTCTTCATTCTGCTAATATTTTATGAATTACTTGGCAATTTGTCCTTCAATTGGTTTTTTTTTCTTGCTTGCTTTTGGGTTTTCCTATTCCAGTGATGTTTCAGACCTCCTTCTTACTTTTATATAAGTCTTCCAATTGAGTGGTCTGATATTTTTTTTTTCTTTCACTATTATAAATATCTGTCCTTTCACCATTCTTGCCTTGTCTTGATGAAAGACGAATTAATTTTATCTGAAAGCTGAACCTATCTCATACTTCAAACAGGTTCATATATATTCAAATATTTAGTGTCTCATTCATTGTTTCTTTCTTTCTTTTTATTTGTCTTTTAGGGAATTTTTAGGTTGTTTTTACTTATTTAAAAGGCCAATTAACAGCTTTCTGTTTAAAAATAATGAGTACTTTATATAAATTGTACATGATACTCAAACTGTTGAATGATTACATGAAACATGTTTATAGAATGAAGATAGGGCTTATGTTTTTGGAAAGGCATGCAAAGAAATGAGGTAAACTTGTAACATATAATTGGCATCTATCTGCTTGCCTGAAATCACACTTAGAAATGTTTTGAACATAAAACAGAATCATTCAATATCAGAAGACTGAGCATAGGTTAGATGAACAAGAAGTAAATGTGTTAGGATGTCCTGATAATTTTAAGGATAGATTGGAGAAATAAGTTTTGAATGTAGGAGGAATTGTATTACATATTTCCTCTGAATGCAAAAGTCTTGATTACAAAGCCTTGTAAAAAGCAGAGAATGCTGGATGTGAATATTTAGAAATTTATTTTTGTGCTTAGTTTCCTATCAACCAAACCAGAAACCTACTGTATTATTAAGATATCATGTAAAGGAAATCCTCCTCATATATGACCAATTTATTCAGTTTTAATAGCCTTTTTTTAAATTTATTATATGCTTCACCATTCGGCACTACACAGAAAAGAAGGGATACCCCCTGAAAGACTTTTTAAGAGAAACAGGCTTATACCCATGTTCATACCACTGTTCATACCTGCTTCAGAAGAGATATTATGGAGACTGAAGTAATTAATACCTTTCATTTAATACATTCCTGAAAATATATGTCAAAAAGACAAAGCTTATCCACATATTGCTAGAAAAGTTTGAGACTTTTCAGCACACCAGAAACGATTTCTTCTTGCCCATCCCTCTACTGGAAATTTATGGGATTTCATATGCTTATCAAATTTGTTCTGCAGTTATTACAGATTAACTTTAGTAACAATTAAAAGCAAAATGGAATGCTAGTCCTCAGCTAGACATTCAAACTTGTCTTATTTAATGCCATGATGATCATATCCTCTTATTCTATTGTATAGCAGTTTCATCAAATTCAGATTTTGGGCATTTGAAATTCTTGTATTGCTGTATAAATAATAAATGTAATTATTTCTTTGTGTTATTGCAAGTTGTTTGTGGAGCAAATTTCATTCAGTTCTGATGATTCCTTCATTCTGTTGCAATTTTCGCAAACAAAAGTATATAAAAAGAGATTTGTTTGTTTGTTTGTTTGAAAGGTTTCTTGTTTCATTTATTTAATCAACTATTTTTTTTTAGATTACTACTTCAATGATGGATCCTCCCGGTTTAAAAAACCAAACTCTTATGTTAGTTGATAGAGAAAGTGAAAAGAACAAATGGGTTGATGCCCTTACAGAGCTTCATCGAATTCTTCGCCGAAATAAACTGCCATCACGAACTGTAAGAAAACCATTTTATAAAAATAACTCAATCTCTTGTTCAACTGAATAGTTCTGCAAAATGTTATGTATATATATATATATATATTATTTTATATTGTACTTAGATACTTATATTTTTCTTTGTTTTACTGTTTAGGTTTTCCAAGCCAAAGAAATTTTAGATAATACTATTTCTATTGTTAAAAATGCCTTATCTGCTGCAGTCATTGGTAATATTATATTTAAAAATTGACCTTATTTTTTGTTTAACTCTTACATTTGAGTCTATGTTTTATAGTTTTAACTTTCTCCCTGTAGTTTATAATTAACATTCATATTTAAAGTATAAATTTTAATGAGTGTTTTTTACATGTGCTAAAATAAGGTTTCTGTAATTTTTTAAAGTGAGATGTTTCCAAATATTTACTCAAAAGAGGAAAATTGTGTGTGAAAAATAAATAAAAGTACATGCTGAAAGCTGAGGAAATTATAATAAATCTGTTATATGTTGCACTTAAGTTAAGATATTCATATAAAATACATACACTAACTAAAATAAATAATATAAAGTTTCAGTTAAAAATATCATAAATCACAAGCATATTTAATTTTGAAAAATTGCCTCTGCTAAAAATATATAATAGTCTTATTTATAATTTAGATTCATCACTTTACTTTTGAATTTGTTTCAAGAAGTTCTCCTTTTGATACTTGCCTACATAATTCAGCCAAGGAAATTCTTACAATGAGAGACTTTTTGCTATGTTCAAAGTTTTCACTTTTCTACTTTTAAGTCTATTCTTTTCATTTGAAAACTGCACCTTTATTAATGCACAGCTCAATAGCCCAATATTAAGCCTGTTCAGTAGTTGCTTTTGATTCCTGTCAATGTCACACAAAAATTGGCTTATCATAACACTTTTGAATTCTGCCTTATAAAATGAGCAAAACTATCACACCATTTTTAATGATACTCTGCTCCTTTCTTAGTTCATTCTATACTTGCTTTTTAAGTGGTTTTTTTTTTTTTTTTTTTTTTTTTTCATACATGATGTTTTATGAAATAAGTTATGTTTTGGTAACAGTCTTTTCATGAATATGCTTTTTTTCTTGAATATTTTTTTTAACTCACCAGCTTGTTTACATTCAAATGGTTCCAGTGCATGGATTGAAGAAGTGAATGTTATACTTGCCTAAATATGCAGGCATTATAAAAATTTAATGCACGGCTTTTAAACTTTTCATCTGTTGTGTATCTTTCCTTTTTGTAATTTTTCATGCCAATTTCTCATGTCAGCGAGGGAAAAAATTTCAGTGTTCCTGGAAATAAATTTTCTGCTAGTCTATTGACTTCATCCTCAGTTTAATTAGAGTAATCCTCTGGTATACTTAAATAACATGTTCCAGACCTTCTGCCAGATATTGTACATAACATTAATATGATATATATAAGTACAGTCTAGCTTAATTGATAAATTATGTCCAGTAAGTTTGTATCAGTATTGAATAAAGCAACAATAACATAATACATTTCAGTAATAAAGTACCACTATCCACACTTTACAAATGAGTTGGCATAAATTGAAAATATTGTTAATTAAGCTTATATTATGCAAAATATACCTGTTTTAATTTTAAAATTAGGCAGAATTTTAGTCTTAGATTGGTATGAATTTTGAAGAAAAATTATCTGCATTTTAAATGAATTTGATATAGGTTTTCTGGTATTTCCCCCCTAATTATAATTTCCCCTAATTTTCTGATGTTTTTCTAACATTTTTCATATTCAGAGTTATTTAAAACTTTTGCATGCAACTCTTTTGTCATAAGTTTCTGCATATTGCATTAAAACGTATAATAATAAAACCAAAAATTTTAGAAAGAAATGTTTTCAATTTACTTAAATTTAGAAGTTACAAATTTACACACTAATTTATTTTATTTTCCCAATGAATACAATAACAGTAAATTCATTACAAAGGATTGAAAAGCTACTTATTATAATATACACTAATACTAATATAAAATTATATTACTTAATTATTTATTTTTTAGTGTTAGGATAAAATTGCTTTTGATTAAACAGTTGCTACCCATATGGACATTATCTATGTATGATTTTCTGTTTGCTGAAAATTTAAGCAATCAAAAGCTTAGTCTATTTTAAACAATTTGTTAATTGCAATAACATATGTTCATTTGTAGCTGAATTATTGAAAAATTGAACTATGTTCATTTGTAGATTGTAGCGCAATTTAAATGTAATAATTTTAATTATGCTATATAACATTTTCTTGCTTATTTTTCTTCATGCTCTGAATTTAAATGTTAACATAAAATGAATGAATGAAGTAAAATGAAACTTAACAAGGCAGTTAGTTAATATATGGTGTCAATAAGTGTTAATATATGCTGTCACATAACCAGAACATCTTTTGCTTTTCATGATCTCAGAGTTTGGTGCCCTTCTCTGTGCAGACCCAAAAGATTACAAAACATTAAAATATTACATGGGAAGATAAAATGAAAGATTAGATTTATTTGTGAAGCAAAAAGTTAGAAAGATTATATTGTTGAAAAATGTCGAAAATAATATTTTTGTTTTAAATTTTAAAATCTGCACAGATTTCTCTTTATTTTCAATGAAAATTATTAGTATGCAATAATTACAGCAATATTACTTATTGTGTAAGATAAATTAAGTGATTGCTGCTATGAAATTTCTGTTTGAAATTGCCGGTTGGTATAAATTATTATAGTTGACACATCTGCACAATGAAATTCCTCTGTCTCCCATGTAAATCAATATTGTTCATTAGATAAAAGAGGATTGTTTTTTGTCTAAATTTTAAAAGATGTGTCTGCAATGTTTTTATTTACTTTCAAAGAAAATTATTAAAATATCTGATTGACTGTGTAATCAATGTGACAATATAGGCAGCACAAGAAGTAAATGTTGACATCCCCCCCCCAAAAAAAAGAAGAAAGAAAGGGAAGAAAAGACAAAAAAAGTAAAAAAGAAAGAAAGGGGGAAGGGAAAAAATTGCACTGGTACCGAATTTTTTTTGCGATTATATTTGTGAGAAATTGGAATGCAGCATATTTATTGGATAGAAAGAATAAAACCTTTGAATTTGGAACGGCAAATATATTGAACATGCATTTGTAGTTTAAAATTCTTGTTATGTGTAGTATATTGGCTAGGTTTTTCTGCCTCCTCTTTCTAATAAAGTCAGAAGCATAACTGTCAATATTGATGTCTCTGATATTGAGCTGCAGCCACTACAGTGTAGGCGAAATGTAAATCACTTAGTCACAAGTTTTATCATTTTATTTTTAAGAATTTGCACTGTAATAAGACAAGAAAAGAGTTTGTTAATTATTTTTATTTATTTTAGATGTAAGTATAATATTTGAAAACTAATTATTAACTAAATAATTAAAATGATGATGTTAAAAACAATAAAAAAATAAACATAAAAGGATCATTCAAAAATAAAACTGTTTCTTGTAAAAAAATGCTATCTCCAAAGTCTGCTCCTTCAGTACCTTTCTAACTATGCCACAGACTGGATAACATTATCTTTCAATATACTGTCAGTATTTGAGCAAATATACTTGTCTAATCATTTTTGTTGTCTTTTGCTACATATCAGATCTAATTTACATAAAATTTTATACTGAAACATATTTATTTTGAATTTTAGATCGAGACAGGTTAGTTCTTGGAACTGAGGAAGGTCTTTATTGTGTTGATCTGGATAGAGAAGGTATACAAAGTAAATGATTTACACTACTTTGGATTTGTTTTATTGATGCATTTGTTTATTTATTAATATTAAATTTGTGATTTAGAGCTAAATATTTCTCATTATAGTTTTGAATCAAATGTTAATAGACATTAAATAAGACATTTATTCAGATTTGATTCTTTATGTCAACTGACATTCCAAATCATTTCATATATATATGTTAGATATAAGAAAATAATGATAGCTGCTGTAAAAATAATTGGCAACCTCAAAATTAATGGTTATAGATTTGGTGCTCTCCTCCTAAATTAATCTGTTTACTCAAATTTGAAATCCTATGTTATGTAACAACCTCAAATTAACCAATCTTAGCTTGTCTCTACAATTACATCAGACTTAGTATAAATACTGCTGGCAAATAAACTACATCATCCATTTCCGTTGCTTCCTCTTCATAAATGTCTCGCTGCTATACCCTCCTTTGTTTTTATTCTAAGATGATATAATGTGCATATAAAAAATGTTGTAATTGCTTATGAGCTGGAAATATCTTATCTACTAAGAAATTATGTGATATGCTTGAAAATAAAGATTGGTGATTTGTCGGAATCTAGTCTCCCGATCTTCGTGTCTTCTTGCCATTCTGCCAGAATGACTATGTATCAAAATTATTACATATATATATTACAAACCAAACAATGCCAATAAAATTCTCATTAAGTCTTTCTCAAAAATTTTTACAAATGCGTTTTCAGTTGATTAGAGTTGCTATTACAATTTTATCAATCTCTTTTTTTAATTCTAAAAATATAAAATAAATATATGACCCCTAAGGGTAAAAGATATCCTAAAATTGCATTATAATAAATGGGAAAGATGCGTGTCAGTATCAAAATTAAAATCAGATTAAAATTAGCTTTAGATGTATGTTGATTTTGTATGAAAAGACTATGAATTTTTAAAAACAGATAGGAACCCTCTGCTTATTGAAAGTTGATTTTTGCCTAGTTTGAATTTACATAACACTTTCACTAAAATTTACATAAATTTAAATTCATGATTTGCATTTTTCTTAAGTCTTATTGAATATTTAATGTTTCCTAATAATGAGTACTATTTATAATATTAATGCAATATGTGATTACTATAGATTGTCATAAATATTACATTATAAAGTATCCAAAATTATACTGTAATGATCTGACAAGTATTTTGGCTGCATTTGGTTTGCATGTTACATCTAATATTATTGTCTATATTCAGTGTACTCATAGTTCAAAAAATTAGCAAAAGTATAATAAGTTATTGGCTTCGCAAACTTATATACATATAATGAACAATGAAACTTTTGAAGAAATGTCCCAAAATATATGTGCTCTCCCAGACAGCACTGGTTAGTGAAGTTTGATTAGTTTGGCATTTTACTATTATATGTTACAGCATTCTATTTTTTTTTACCTGTTTAACATGTTTGCCACCACTGCAGCTTGTTTGAACATTATAAGATTGGACTTTTTTTTTTTTTTTTTTCATTTTAGCTGAATATATTGGTTTGACATTTTTTGTAAATTTTTGAAGTAAAAATGCACTTTTGGCTTATACACTGATTGTTTTATGTTTGGAAATACATGATACTTAATAGCTAAATAAAAATCTTTCTGCATTCCCTCCCCCAGAAACTATTAAATCCCTTCTCAGGGGAGAATCCTTGTTGTAAATTTTTGTAATTGTGTCTTTGTTAAATGATAACACTTAAAATCTTATCCAGAATTCCTGTGAAGAGATTGGTAATAGGGAAATATAGTATAGGGCCCTTGTTTTCTATTACAAAAGGTGCTTTTGGCATGGAATTTAAGTAGATAATCCTCTTGTGTTTTACAACATCTGAATTGAAAAGATCAATACAGGGTTTAATTTCTAAGATTATAAGTGCCGGAGCCCTATGGAAGACTGTCAGCAAAGAGGAACAAGAGTAAATAAATAAATAAAATGACTATTAAACTCATTAATAATTTTAAAATTAAATAGTTAATTATTATCAAATTAATTAATAGCTATTTAATTAATGTTTATAAATTGTTATTTAATCAAAAATTATAAGCGAAAATTATAAAATTTAATAAGCGATTTTAATACAATTTTATCGATAAAATTTCTACTGAAATTGTTATTCAATTACATAAAAGAAGTACCGCAGCCTTCTTATTCAGGGCTCCGGTGCATTCCAGCTAGAATTATGATTTATTACAAAAACTAAAAAGCATCGGTCCAATTTAAGCTCTGATTGTAGGGGGGAAGTTATTTTATCATCACAAAAATTAAATATACTTAAAGTACAGCTGATGAAAATTCCAGGGTGAAACAGAATGAGGGTATGAATGAGTGGAAACAAAAAAATGAGGGCAATCTTGGTGAGAGAGAGCATTCTCTTTGACTGCGGCTCTCTGCTGATATAATTATAGCCATCAAGCAGATGTGTGCCAGGGGTAAAATGAGTCCTGAATCTGACTCCTAAGGATGAATGTAAAGTTGCTGGTTACACTTCCCACCCACCCCATTAGTGGATAATGTGGGAAGTTGATGTAAAGGACGTGCTTGAATAGTTTAGCTCAGTATTTCACTGTTATTGTACTCACTGTCACTTAACGCACATTTAAGAACACAAATTTTCCTTCCTGCAAGGATAACTAACTGTAAACATCGATAACAATACACTAGATATGATGGCATGGCGAGAAATTTACGTGTTCCTAAACAAACTTCCCCAAATTTATTGCTCTTCCTAAAGGGAAAGGGTTTTGCATGCGAGTGAGGAGACTTTACTTGAACGTCTCATGTTCTCATAAGTTCGTATTTCTAGGGAAATAGAGTATTGCAAAGTCTGCTTATTGTTAAACTAAAATGTTAGGAATTCTAAATTTTTTTCTCTTTAAATTATGGTTCAGTTTTATAAAAAGAAGTACGGGAGCTCATCTTATTTAGGGCTCTGGTGCGCTCCGGCTAGAATTGTAATTTATCTTAAAAATTGAGAAGTAGTGGAGCCGGGCTGCGGTGCAATTTAAGCACTGGATCAATAGACCTATGCAGCTGTGTATATATTGCATATAAATATTTATTAAAAATTTAGTTAGTTAATTAAACAATAGTTATTTTCATTTTTTAAATTAAAAAATGTAATTAAAATTTTAATTAATATGAATGGCAAATAAATGATATCTTGTAGGATGAAAAAAAATTTAAAAGTATGATTAGTTGTACCCCTATTTAACTTTATGGCCAGGTAGGTTTTCTATATAAGGCAATGCATATTATCCCAGAATTTTTAGTGCAAATTTAATGCAAAGAAAAAGTGTTTTTGATTAAAATAGGCTCAGTTAAAATAAGAATTTTTCATTCAAAAATTGTGTGCAGACTTCATTTTTGCTTCTGAAAACGTACATGCTCTGATGTGACTACCTTATCTGAAGCTCCATTTGATTTTGATTCTATTTCGTACTTTTTATTTAGTCACAGTTTTTAATTATAATAATATGCATTCAGTATTTTATTTTTTCATTTTTAGAAATAGCAAGAATAGGTGATGGCAAAAAAATATGTCAAATTCAGTATGTCCCAGAAGAGCAGCTCTTAATAGCAGTATCAGGTAATTTTTTTTTAAACTGGCAATCATTTTAATTTCTCTAACTGCCTGCATTTGAATAAATATATGTAATTAAGAATTCTTTATTTCTATTTGGAAGTTCATTTCTGAACTGAGAAGATTTTGTTTGTGTTTTATGCAAGCAATAGTGAATATCAGTGGCTTAGCTTTTAAAATTTTTCAGTGAGGAAAAGGACTATTGAGATAGAATAAATTAGCATAAATAAAAGCATAGAGTTATTACACACTTTTCTAAGCCATTTATAGATTTGTAGAACTTCATAGAAACTTATTTATAGGTAAACAAAGGCATATACGACTGATTCCAGTAGGTGCATTAGATGGCCATGATATAGAATGGATAAAAGTAGCCGATACCAAGGGTTGCCTTACTTTTGACACTGCCTGTTATTCTCAAGGGTGTTCTTCCAACTATGTATTTTGCATTGCTCTTAAGAGACAGGTGAGTCATAATAGTAAACAGTTAAAAAATTTTCTAAACTTAATGATATTAATGATAAAATTTAGTGAATTTTAGAAAAATTTCTAAGTATAGATCTGTATCAATTTTGTTTTATATGTTTTTCCTTTGTCATTTAATTTTGCAAAGCTGAAAGTAAAAATTTTCATTAAGTCATATAGAATTAACTGAAAATAAATCACTAATAAAAAAAAATAATAAATCTACCTAAATCATTCACTTAAGCATTAAGTTAAAGACAACTAATAATTATCAGTCCTTACAAGCACTTTTTTACAAGCACCTTATTACAAGCACACAAAGGAGCTTAGTAAACAAAGAAAACGTAACATTCATAACAGAAGAACAAAATGCAAATAAGTGTTTGTTTTTCATGCACTGTATTTATTTATTTATTTATTTTTGATCAAAAATCATCTCTCATATTTAACAATACTGTTACAAATTTGGTATTTAAAAAGCTAATGTTAAATTCAATTATAAATTAAATGGTTTTATTTCCCGCGCAGTGCAGCGCGTGACGAATATTTAAAGAAGAAAGCTAAGCCAGAAAATTAAAAATACAAGATCACGTGCATTTAACATTAAATAAATAAATATGTCTTTTTGATTTCGAGAAAGTACCAGAAAATTCTCGCACGCGATTTAAAAATCTTATAAAAGGAGGGAAACCTCTCAGTTTGTTGTAGTTGCTTAGTTTGTTGTTGTTTAGAAAATTGCTCTTGTTGATTGTAGCGAATTCGCGGATTAGCGTTCTTTAGCTGTTTTAAATTACGTTCTATTGGACATTCGAGTAGTTAAAAGATAACTACTGTGAGATATTGTAATACTGTATGATAATTTGAGAAAATTTAAGCATTTTTGTTGTGATAATAATAAATTTTTGTTCATTTTTCATCGGACTTGTGCATTCATTTCATAACGAACCCGTACGCACGCAACAATACAAACATTCTTTGCTTTATTCAAAAAGGTAAAAACATAGTAATTTTATTATCAAGTAAAAAATTTATGATCAAAGTATGTTTAAATTAAAAATAATATGCAACTCCTCCAATTTTGATCTATTCTAACCTAATAGTACTTTTGGCACAAAGGCATGCTGGATATTTTCATCTGGGGAGCAAAAATATTTATTTAAGACTTTCATATATATTAAAATTTTAAGTAAAAAACTTTAAAATTATATTAAATGTGAGAATATTTATGCTTTCTAGAACAGGAACATTTGAATCTTCAAAGCCTACGGATGTTGTAAAAAATTCAATATTAAGAGCTTTATTTACGGTAACTGAAAACTGTGTAAAGATTAACTTTATTGACATAAAAGCATTTATTAAGAAAAGAATATGACTGTTAAAATTTCAGTAGAGCTAGATCATCAGAATCACCCTAAGCGAGCATCATACTGTTAATTTTTCAAAAGAATTTTATTATTCCATGTTTGGTATTCATCTGTAATAATGCCTGAAATAATTCTTCCTTCTTTATATCTGCATTGTTTAAAAGATTTCTGAAGAAATGTAAAAAAAGTGGATTGTTGCTTTGAACAAATTATATTCAGAAATTGAGTGGCAAAATTCAAGAGTACTTGATTATTTCAAGAGTAATTAATTTTATAAATTTCGTTTGCACCTTTTTAATAAATATAGCCACATTTTAAAAACTCTGTTCTTAGATATGTTTTTCATTAAATGCAAATTCGAAATTCCTTCCCCTTTTTGTTATTTGTATATAAAGAATTTAAGAGATTTGAAATTTAAAAGATTCAGGTAGTTTGGAAACCCTTTAAGATTCGGATTCAAGAAAATTTTGGGTTCAGCTTACCTCTAATATAATGTAAATAAATTGTAAATAATAATATGTAACTAGATTTTGTAAATTTGCATATATATTCATTTTTTAGTAGAGGGGCTGAAATATGGCTTTCCTGTTGTTTAATACTTGATTTGCAACAAACTGATACTGAATTTATTTGCACACATTTTAAAACACAAATGCAGTTATTCGTAAAAGCAAACATTTTCCATTTGCTTTAATTTAATAAAATATGTAAATTTGAAGGGAAAAGGCATTACAATATATGTAATCTATTTCCCAAAAATAAGACTGGCTCATATATTAATTTTTTGCTTCAAAAGACACATTAGGGCTTAGTTCCAAAAGATGTCTCATTTTTTTATACACAACAGCATACATTTTTATATTTATAACAAGTTACATTTATTCATATATTTATATAACTTAGCATTCTTTCTGCAAGGAAGTCATGTTAATTTGGTGAGTTGAATCTCAGATTAGCAGACCTCTTTGCCCACCCCAACAAGTAGTAGCCTTGAATCATAATTTTGTAATTGTAACCATTTCTTTATAGCTGTTTGTATGCATCAAACATTTTTGGCTTCAAGAGCATAAATACCTGAAATAAGTTCATTCTTATCATTAATGTTCTTAGTCATGATTAGAGGCAGAGCTTTCTCTCCATTCAGATCAGTTCTAAAATGCAGATAATGTATGCAATTTTATAACTAGAGATATAACGCTGGAGAGTTAGCATTTAAAAAAGTTGATGTCATCAACAAAAGACTTAAATGCAATTGCACGTTTAGTAACTTCAATTCTTTCAGCTTGAAGCTGTGTTTTAACTTTCTCACAGACAGTTCTTACTGTTGAAGAAGTTGTCTCTTTAGCATTGTAATACTTTGAATTCTTCTGGGAAAATGTCTAACTGCGATGCCATTGCAAAGATAAATGCTTGAATATCAGCCTTGGGAACAATCCAAATCATTCATAGATGATGTTTCCCAGCTCAGGGAGTAATGGTTGCTTATCTACTCTTGTGTTTCTTAGCTTTTCTTTGTCCACCTGATTAAGGTTATAGTAAATCACTAAGGAGTGGTTGTAGTAAATTACTAGGTCCAGGAGTCTTCTATGATTCTTTTCTTATACTTAAAAAAAATAGCTCCTTCTTTTTTTTCACTCATTTTATTTAGGAATCAAAATATTATCCCATTGAAATCTATTAATAAATCAAGTATTGCTATTGAATATCCCACATATATTTTTCCTTTGTGTTAAAGGCACTTTTCTCCAACACTTCTGACTTATCTATATTAAAGATGCCATTGCGTTTCAATGGTGATTGTAAAGTATGAACATTTGATGATAATTGATATAAAATAAATGTGTACTTATAATATTTTAATTTGAGTAAATAAAACACTTAGAGGAACTTCCATTAATGAACTACATTTATAAATTTTATAATTATTGAAGATGTAATTAGACAATAATGGCATTAAAGACACTTATGAATACTGGATTACACAAAAGCAGCAAAACATTGTGGGCATAAAATTCAGAATATGTATCTGCTTTTCTTATGGGTCCATTAAGCACATCTGCTACAATACACAACATATTGAATTAAGAATGTAGTAATTAGTCATAACCATGTCCCTTCATTATGAAGGACACATCCATATTGTGTCTGCATTCTGTTTGATCTTTCAGCAATAATTATGGCTCCAGTCTGGCTAATGATATTAGCTGAGACTTATTTTTGGGCTAAGGTTTATTCATTCAGGCATTCTTAAAATTATAATGCTAAAGTTTGTTTTCTAATTAGATCTTATTTTGTAGGAAATACAGTATCTGTCCAGAAAACATAGTATGAAATGGTTTTATGAAAAATTTTGCTTTGAAGAAAAATATTTAAAAGTCTTTTTTTTTTCTTTATTGCTATCAGATTCATTTTAAAATGTTTATCTATATAATAATAATAATGATATGGAATGAAGATCTTATCCTCTTCATAATGAAGAGCTTATCCTCTGCGAGAATAATGTATTGTACACTAAATACATGATCTTAACTAGTCTGCTTTAAATATTTGATCTAAATAATTAGCATTTTATTAGTCTTTTTGTGTTTAAAGATATTTATTGTTTATATGAAATTAAATGTATTATACATTGGTAGATACAAAAAGATTAACAAGTGTACTGTGTGTATTTATTTCCTTTTTGTAATACTATAATTTTTATATTTGATATCATGTCATTATGAGATATCATTTTGAAAATACTGGAATTTGAGTTTTGCAGTATTAGGGAATGCATTAACCATACTAATGAGTTAGTTAATTACTAAACTTTTAATGTATTTGTAGATTAAAAGTTGTAAATCAATATAAATATTTTTGCAACTGGGACAAAATTATATATTCAACATTGAAAAAATTATCAGTCATTTTTCTTGGTGCAAAATTTGTCCCATGTAAATTTCAAATTTTTTATATCATTTAATATTTTATTTATAATTTTTGTGTTACTTAAAATTGTATGGTGAAAATAAATATTTTAATTTGTCAGATCTTAGTTTAGTTAAAAAAATGTATTATTTTCTTAAATTTTTTTGGAGAAAGTTTTGCAATGTTCTGAAAGTCATATCGCTATTGAATATCCCACATATATTTTTCCTTTGTGTTATAGGCACCTTTCTCCAACATTTCTGACTTATCTATATTAAAGATGCCATTCCGTTTCAATGGTGATTGTAAAGTATGAACATTTGATGATAATTGATATAAAATAAATGTGTACTTATAACATTTTACTAATTTGAGTAAATAAAACACTTAGAGGAACTTCCGTTAATGAATTACATTTATAAATTTTTGCAGTTTGTTCCTTCATTGAGAAGAATATTTTAAATTATATTAAAAAGTTTAACCTTATTAAAAGTGTTTGTGTTTCATTAAATGATTTTTAGTACTATAATGATTGGAATATAGAAGAGGTTAATGAAGCTTAAATTTTTCAGTACTTAATGTACTTAATGTATACTCAACCCATCATTTCTGTAATGCCAATTACAGAAATGCTATTGCAATCAAAGTACTGTAACCTGTTTCTGTTGCAATCAAGTATAACAATCACCAAAAATAAATAAATTATATGGTCACATATGATGTGATGTTTTGCTTTTAAATTATTTTTTCCTTTTTTTTTTTTTTTTTTTTTTTTTTAATTTAAGATACATTTTCAGTATTAATGTCCCAAACTGATTTCTGTATGCTATATAATTTTTACAACATGGGAATTAGGCATTCCTAGCCATCAGTGCAACAGCTATACAGCTATAATAGGCAATATGTTGCAAAAAAAATTGGATGCATTGTTGGCAAATTAAAGACAATTTTGAAAACAGTTTTGATGTAAGATTAGGTATTTCATGCAGTATTGTCTGAAGAAACTGAACAGAAAAAATTATTATGTAATATATGTAAATGTTGATAATTAATATATATAAATATTGGTGCTAATATTACAAACAGAACTCACTGGACTTAACTACAAACTTATTACAACTAACTTGAAAATTTATAAAAGAACTTGAGATCCTTGATTAATTTCTACATACAGAAACTCTTTGAGCATTATTGTTAAAAAATGATGAAAATAGCAATAATCCTAAACAGTTCAGAATCTAGCTAATGTAGTTGTATGAAGTGTAGTATATTTTTATTCACAGACTTTCAAAATTATTGATGTTTTAATAAGGTTTTAACATCTGGATTTTGCATGAAGATTATTTGATTTTAAAATTGTATCCACATAGTATGGTTCATGAAGATAGTCAATAATATGCATTTGAAATTTTAGAAATTTTTTTCAGTATGTAAAGAATTTTATCTGATTTTCTAAAATTAAATTTCTGAAAGAGGAGGATTTATTTATTTATTTATTTATTTTTATGTCAGTGACTGGGAGGGATCTGGAACAGAATTATAAATCAGCATCAGTAAGCAAATCAATTTTGAACAAAAAATTCCTGTACCCCCTTTCTCCAAAAGAAAAAAAAATAAATTGTTGATTTATTTTTGATGGAATTTATATAATTTCTATCGCAGAAATGCTCTCAGTATGTCAGTACTGAACTGAGCACTTTCTTTCAAAGTTTTTTGGACAGAGTAAGAAAGTGTTATGGGTGATGTATGTATGAGTTTGTGGTCTTTTCGAATGACTAGAAGAAATCCATTTTGATATATTATTAACTGCTTATAGATTTAATTATTTATTTTTCAATATTTCTTTTCTTACATTTCTGTATACAGCAGAATCTTTTCATGTATCTGTCATTGTTGAAAATGTCTTTCTGGGGTAAAAAGATATTTTTGTAACATTAGTTTCAGGACTGTGCTTGCTAATTCTTTTTAATGAGCACCCGTAAAAGTCATATTTTGAAAACCTTTTTAAAAAGAAATTATTTACTTAATGCTGCAGATATTTTAACTATGTGAGCCATTTAATGTTTTATTACATGTAGGATTTTATGGGATATATTAATAACCTCTCTCAGTAATTGTATTACTGTACATACGCATATACAATTTTTTAGTAACCAAATTTTCAATTATTCATGCAGTTGAAATATAAATGAAACATGGTACATTAAGACTTTCTTATACTATATGTTTTAAATAATATTTAGTGCATTCTGAAGACTAATAATTAATGTTACAAGGATAAATATAAATAATTTTATACAGATTTATCTGTTGATTTAAAAATTATTATCACTTTTTTTTTCTCTGTTTGTGCCAGTATTTTTAGTACAGGTGTAATAAATCATAAGTAATTTCTTGTATAGTAAAAACTTGACTTTCTGGAAAGCTCAAGAAATACTGAATTCTGGATAGCTGAGTTTATAAGAAATGGAATTCATGTAAGAATAGCGAAATGAATTTGAAAAATTTGTGCTCTAAAATTATAAAACAATCATTTTACTTATTATCAACCTCATATCAAAAACTTCTATTTCAAATTATATAAGATTTCAGAAAAAAAAATGTATTGACAGTCAACAGAATGCCTTAAACGTGAAATTAAAACATTTGATCTGGTTATGAAATCCTACTAAGGATCTTAATAATCATTTCAGAAAATAATGAACATTTCATTGTTCTTTATTTAGTTAGGTAAAAAGGAAATGCAAATTTCAAATGGCGCATATAAAAAATGAAAATGCATATCATATTTTCTCATGTTATCTCACAATTAGTTTATTCATTTCCAAAGTCAGGTATCGTGGTTTTTCTTAATCCTGGGATTTTGTAACTTCAAAAAACACTCCTCTCCATTCTGTCCTAGATATTTTTTTTTTTTTTTTCCAAAATGCAAAGGAAAAATAGAAATTATGTCCTTCTTTACAAAAATTAACCTGCTTATCTAGAATTAATGGAGTTTACATTAAATCCAAATGAATTTCTTATAATATTGTTATGATATCATGCTTTTTCATTATTGGCACTAAATCACACTGTTTAGCAACAATGTATACCTGTTAATAGTATTACAAATCTCACATTTACTAAATTTTTCATATTATAAAATATTTCAGTTACTTGAACTAAAGAGATAACACTTATATTATTTTCCAACATCAATAAACCAACCAGCTCCATAAGCATTTCAGTAGATTAGAATATAAATTATTTATTAATTATCTTAAGAAAATTTTAGAAGTCTGTTTTCTGTACATAAAGACTAATACCAAAATATTATTTTTCACTAAAAGAAATACATATATTTATCTAGACTTTTACCATAAAATTGATTATTTAATTACAAATATCTCATTTAAGCCACTGTTAAAATTATCCAAGGATTTTTATTCCTAGTGGAGTCAAGTAATGTAGCAGCACTTTTTATAGAATTATATGACTGTAAATAAGGAGTTCCTAGGGAGAGAATTTCTTAATTTCAGGAAGGGAATGCAGTGAGCATTTTGTTTTAGTTAATGAATGTAAAAAACTACCTTTACTCAAATTTTGGTATTTATCAACATTTTATATACTTTTTGTTGTTTAATTTATAAATCAACTAAATCTGGATAAATGTATGTATTTATTTTTCGAGTTTGAAAAGGAGAGGGGGGATAGTCTTCCAGCAATGGTGAAAGGGATGCATGGAACAAAAAGTTTGAGACACCCTACTATAAATAAATACATAAAAAAATTAAGGCTTTTTTTAAAACATTTTGAATATATATTTTTAGGGGAGGTTGCAGACATAACTGATTATGCATGTAATTAAAAAAGCTGTTTTAATGGTATGGTGTATCAAAACGTTTCCCTCAAAATAAAATGTTGCTTTCTCTAAATTGTATGCATGCTTGTCTTGTAACATTGTGATATGATTTTTTTATTGAAAAAATAATATCCAGAAAATATTTATGTGTAAAAATTACAATAAGGTGCAATATTTGATTTTCTATAATGCTCTACATCATGGTACAATAGCTAGAACTATTCATTTATCATGCTTCCTTTTGTAGGTGGTGCTGTACGATATCAATCGAACAAAAAGCCGCCACCAAAGACGCCGAGAAATTTCTTTGCCAACTTCTGCTCAGTGCCTCAATGTGATGGGGGATAGACTGTGTGTGGGCTTTCCTTCATCATTTTTCATATACTCTTTATGGGAAGAAACACCTCCATTTTGTAAGTTTATAATTTGCATTTTTTAAACCTATAACACTTTATTTTATGTTTTTAAATAAAGAATTAAATTTTATGTTTCAGTTATTTATATCACAAAACAAGTTTGAATTTTGAATCTATGATTATATTCTGAAGCTATCAATTGATAAGAAATTCAAATAAGAGAGTATAGAAAGTGTTCTATTTATTATTGTTTTTATATTATGTGCATGAGAACCAAGTAGATTTTTAATGTATCTGCAACAGCCTTTTAAGTGTAAAAAATAATAAACTGAAAGTATGAGCAATAGAGCAAAAAATATTCTGGGCAGAAAATTTTGATCGTAAAGCTAGCTATATTTTCTTAATTGCTTAGCTATATTTTAAATTTGAAAGAGAGGTAAGAATCTATAAGAAGATTTGTAGTTATTGCATAATATTTTGATAAGGGAATAAAAACTGGAAATCTCATTGTTTTAAAATTCTTTTGAAATGGATGCATGGGATGGCTAATGAACCTTTTTTTATTTAACTGTTCTTTGATGGTTTGTAAGATATTGTGTTAATTTTATTTAATATGATCTTAACTTTGTAGGTTCATTAGGTTAATGGGAAGCCAGAGAGATGAAAAATATGCAACTGCCTTCGCCAGGAATCGAGCCACGGACCTCTGGAGTACGAGCCCAGCGTGCTGCCGTTACACCACGAAGGCACGCTAGGGAAGTGGGAGAAATACCTTATATACTCCCCTTTTTAAAGGGCGACTAGGGTTTTAGGGGACCTAGTCGCCAAACCCTGGGTGTGAAGAATCATCATCCACAACCCTTTTAATTTGGGCGCCATTGCAGAGACATTAGGGTTTTTTTTTTTTTTTTTTTTTTTTTTTTTTTTTTTTAAAGCCGGAGAGATAAAAAATATGTAACCGCCTTTGCCGGGAATCAAACCACAGACCTCTGGAATACCAGCCCAGCGTGCTACCATTACACCACGAAGGCACAGTAGGGAAGTGGGAGAAATACCTTATAACTTAATGCCAAAAATTAACAAATAAATAAATTACATAGGATAGATATATGTGTGTATTTACATTGCATGTTTGTTTAAACCGAATATACACTGTGTGTGAAAAGGTAGCAAAAATGTGAAAATGTTATTCAGTTTAGTAGGTACATTTAAATATATTTCCATATTTTTACTTAAAGTAAGTGTATGCTGTCCAGTTTTTATAATTCGGAATAAATACTGATGTAAAATTCTTATTATGTAACTATAATATTCTTTTATTTTTTAAAATAAATTGTATAATTTTTAACTCTAGATCTGTATGTTATATAAAGTAAATTTTTAAAGACATTCTCTTTAATGCCCTTCAGATTTTCACTGATGGCAGTAAAAATAAACATGGGGTTTCAGTAGTGGAGTCTGTATTAGAGCACCTATTAATAGCTTTAATTTTAAGACTAGAAAATGCTGATCACTGTTCTGTTATTTATTCTGAGCTTATAACAATTTAGGAGGGCCTTAAGATTGCATATACTTACACTGCTTGCAAAGATACGTGGATTTTGATTGACTGTCACAGTTCTATCCAGCATCTACAAAACTGGCCTCATGTTGGTGATAAGATTTCACTCTAGTTTGGCTTTACTGGAAAAACTCTCTCCCTTTATGATGTACATCTGCAATGGATCCCTTCACATATTGACCTCATTGGTAATGAAATGGCTGATGTCCTGGCTAAGAAGGTACTTTAGTGCCTCTGACTACTGGCACCCTGACCTTTTGGAAATATACTCGAGAGTTAAATCTACTGTTGCCCTTTCCTGCCATTCTCCTCTGGCTCATAATTGGTACTTATGGACAGATGGAAGGTGCTATTGCTTTTGGGGGTAATTGTGCTCAGCACATTACTTTGACGAGGCTCCTAAGTGGACACCTGAAATGCCTTAAATTTGACCAGAGAAATAAGATTCACCCCATCTTTAAGAAATTTAATACTAATCATTTCACTCCTGGACATGTTATCTGTTTGGAACTTGTAAAAAGAGGACCTATTGAAAGGACCTACCTCCGTACTGGAAGTATTGACAGCTGGTCTAGCCTAATGGCTAACCAGTTAGGATCAGTAACGACAACAACAAATTTTTAAGGCAACTGATGGGAAGGAAGTTCTGTTAATTTAGGAAATATTTATTGATTATTTTATGCCAAGATTCCTTGAAACTATTTTTGTTGCAGTTATTAATCAAAATTATATAATTGTTGCTTAGTAAAATTTATTTATATTATAATATTATAAAAGGGCTCCGGAGTGATTACTTGTCTGTGTCCTAGGGGCGGGGCTAGCGCGGCCATCTTGGGGTCAGAGCGTTGCGCAGCTCAGTCTGCATCTAGCCGTGCTAGTGAGAGGTTCGTGCTGTGCTCCGTTCAGATACTGTGACGGTTTGAAATGTCTGCGTTAATTGAAAATCCCGCGAGCTGCGAGGTGCGCTCAGTAATAAGGTTTCTGACTGCAAAAAACTGTAAACCGATAGAAATCTATCGGCAGCTTCGTGAAGTGTATGGGGACAACATTATCACTGAAGGTGGAGTGCGTCAGTGGGTCATAAGATTTCAAAATGGCCGAACCAATGTTCACGACGAAGATCGAAGTGGGAGACCCAGCATAGTGACCGCCGAACTTCTCGAAAAAGTCGATGCTAAAGTCCGTGAAAATCGAAATTTCACAATAACGGAACTTTCTTTGAGTTTTCCACAAATTTCGCGAAGTTTGTTGCACGAAATCATCAGCGAAAAGCTTGGTTACCACAAGTTTTGTGCAAGATGGATTCCAAAAATCTTGACAGAGGACCACAAAAATCAGCGAATGGCTGCAGCGTTGAACTTTTTGGACGCTTACCATAAGGATGGTGACTCTTTACTCGATCGCATCGTTACTGGTGACGAAACATGGGTGAAACATGTGAACTGTGAAACGAAATTGCAATCAATGCAGTGGGGGCACACAAGTTCTCCCCAAAAACCCAAGAAATGCATGCAAACAATGTCGGCAAGGAAGATGATGGCGACTGTTTTTTGGGACAGAAAAGGTGTAATTTTGGTGGACTTCCTGGAAAGAGGCACTACAATAAACTCTCAAAGGTATTGCCAAACTCTCCAAAAACTCAGAAGAGCAATTCAAAACAAGCGCAGAGGAATGTTGAGCTCTAAGATCTTGTTGATTCACGACAACGCCCGGCCCCACACGGCAAATGTCACTCGTAAAGTTCTTGAATCTTTTAAGTGGGAGTTGTTTCCTCATCCGCCGTACAGTCCCGACCTGGCACCGAGCGACTTCCACCTATTCCCAGCAATGAAGAAGTGGCTGGCTATGCAGCGTTTTGATGACGACGCACAGCTGCAGCTGCAAGAAGAGGTAACGAAGTGGTTGAAGGCGCAGGCGGCCGAATTTTTCGACGAAGGAATTTCCAAGCTCGTACATCGCTACGATAAATGCCTTAATTTGTATGGTGACTATGTAGAAAAGTAGTATTTGAGTGTGGCTTTCATCTGTATATAATAAAATTTGTTTCCTATACTTTGTTTATTTTTTTATTCCAAAACGTAATCTACTTTCTGGATACCCTCGTAAATTTTTAAATTTTAATTCTATTTATTTTAAAGGTTTGTAAAAGACATTTCTCTTTTGATATCTTGGATCCTACATTTCCAAACGAATCCTTTTTATTAGACTCACATTATTTTACATTTTCAAAGGAAGGATAATGGGGATGGGTCATAATTGAAAATGAAAGTAATCATTAGGTAACATATCTAATGATTATTTTCAATCCGTTTTTATTCAAGTACAGTCTAATGAATTATCAGTATTTCTAAATAACTACTGTTAAATTATTTTATTAAAAGTAAAATTAAATTCTAAAACATTGAATTATGCAGATAATTGTCGAATGCTTTGCTTTAATTAAAGAAATCCAAAACTTAGATGTCTCTGAGAAGAAAAAAGCAATTGTATTGCTGACTAGAAAGCTGATATATAGTACTTAAAGGGAAATTAAAATCATTTCTATTCTTTTAATTAATAATAAAACTTGCTTACTTTCATTAATAATAAACTTGGCAACAGTAGATCTTGCTATATTTTCGTATGTTTCTTTTGATGGTGACATAACATGTTGTCACAATCCTGAATGATACATTAATCTTCATAATATTTATAATAAAAAAAATAATTTTTATTTCATTAAAATAAAAATTATATTTCACTACTGCAATTAACAGTTTTGCGAAAGAGGAAGCAAAATTATTAAGTAATAATGAAGAGAATTTAAACATGGAAAATGTAAACGAAATAGAGAAATATTTATTTTTAAATGTTTATCTTTGTTATTTATTATATTATTCACCTATTGCAGAAGAAAAGTATGCCATTTTATAAAATGCACATTTAATTAACAAGGTTCGTATAGTCATTAAAAGTACTTAAAAGTCCTTAGGTTTTTTTGGAAAAAGTTTTTATTCTTTAAAAGTCTTTAATTTCAGTCAAAATCAGCAAAAGGTCCTTAATTTTACTCATGCGTCATTTCTCTCCTTTTTTTTGTGACTGCTATTTTGAGCCTGAATTAACATTTTGGCAATGCATTAATAAGCATGTAGTATTTGATAGGTTAATGTTTAAATTCTTTCCTACTTCTTAATATAAATGGTGGATACTTGAGTTTTAGACAGTACTATCAACCGTTTTAGAGATAATTAAGTGACAATAATATGAAAAGAAACATTTCAGAGAAATAACATTTTACTTTCTCTGCATTGAGTATTAGGAATAAGAGAATAATTTTATTTAGTTTTATTGCACTTCAATAAAGTATTATAAAATTGGATATTGTATGTTAGAAAATTTTTTAAAAAAATTATTGTATCTTTGATGTGTATGTTTACATGTATGTACAATTTAAAAATATAAAAGGCTACATCACCATTCTCTGTGCATGCCCTTGGTGTAACTGGTAGCGTAACAAACTAACAATCTGAAGTTCCATGGTTCGAATCCTGGCAAGACACATCTCTAATTTTTCACATTTCCCATTCTGAAAAGTTAGCTTTGCAAATAGAAGTTCAAAATTAAAATAAATAAATAAACATATTTTTTGCTTATAGATTGCATTATTAATTTGCATGGTGGTTGTATCTAATTAATAATGCATTAAAGTCTAATAACAAGATACATGTTTTAAATAAAGAACAATGTTTTCAAATAAAAATTCAGTCTTTATGTTTTGAATTTTGAATATCATGTAACTAACAAAAATTGATTTTTGATCACCTGAAAAAGTTCTTTCTATGTCATAAATTTGATAAATAATATGTTCCTCAAACGTTTAGTTGGTTAATGCAAATATTTTGCTTTGAAGATGAACTAGGTTTGGTAGGCATGTCTCAAAAGTTTATTTTTTATTTTGCAGCTGAATTGCAGATCATTGATGGATTTTAAAATCTTTTTATTTCAAAATTATTATCAACTGATCACTATTTTTTCTGCACATCTCTGAATTATAGTGTGAGGTACTTAAGATTTTCATTATTTCTATTAGATTTAGGAATTTTTGTTGATGGACAAGGTAGGAAAACTAGAGACAAAGAACTTATGTTCCCTGCCTTACCTACAGGAGTTAGTAAGTGTAAACTTAACTCTATAGTTTTTGTTTTTATCAGTTGTAGTTCTGTAATATATGTGTTCTGTATATTTAATACATATTAATCTAGGTCAAAGGGATGAATTCTTATGTATATATAGTGAATCTCATGTAGATGTATTTGAAGTTAATACTGGAGATTGGGTCCAAACAGTGAATTTGAAAAAGGTAATTATTTTTCTTATCTCAATTATAATTATGTATCTTATTAAATCCTCATAATTATATAGCATTAACTTCTGTTTTTAAAATTATTTTAGTTTGCAAATCAGCTTTGCTTTACTTTTTTCCCTCATTCAAAAAGAATTTATCAAATAATTTTATTTAATATTTATTTTTAAGTTAAAAAAAATGGGTGATGAACTGCTTAATTTCTAAAATGATGATCAAACTGCATATTTATATTTCCCTTTCTATTATTATTATTAATTTTTGATGGATAAGGAAATATTGTTTTATTTATAATATGCCAGCAATCAGTCAGTTTAAAGTCTTTCTTCCTTCTTACTGTGGTGTAACTGGAAAGCATATCTGGCTGTCGAAAACAGCAACTCCAGAAAGATTGTGGATGTGGAGAAAGTGCATAAAAATTTCATTTAGTGCTATTCAAATATAACAGTATGCTGAAAGCCATGTGGTTTTGGTGGAAGTGGAAGGGGATTGGGGGGGGGAATTGATTGGAAGGCGAGAGTGGTGGGAGACCACCTCCCAGGATGCACTCCCTCAAAATTGGGGTGGAAAATAGAAGACCAACCTCTCTTTGGAGTAGACTGTAGCAACCATTCTTCCATGTAATATGGACATGACAACAACAATGGTAAAATTTTTCATTTATACAGCACACAACTTCAGTTATGCATTGTATATACAGTACACAAATTCAGTCACAATGGCCACACAACAATGTTTCAAACAAACGCATTGCTGTTTCTTTTACCAGCTGAAATAGTTTCTTTGAAAATCCTTTCTTTCTTTCAATAATATTTGGAAGTGGTATCTTTGAATACCAGAAGAAGATATAGAGCATCTCACACCGATAAAAATTTAAAGCCAGATTGATACTGGCTGGAGGGAGGCCATTTGGAGGGAAAGGAAGGACAATGGAGCCTTTTATTCAGACTGAAAAATGAAACTAGGTTTTGATAACAATGAAATTGGATAAGTTTCTTGATGAGAATTCCTTTCCATATCATGTAGTAAGTATGCTTCAACTAGACTGCTGTTTGCCCTTTGCACTTTTAAACCAAAAGCAGGAAGCAAAAATTAAATTTATAGAATAGTATTATAATAAAAGGTATAATAATAAAAGGAATAGTATTACAATAAATAATTATAATAAATTTAGTTCTAATTGAATTTCTTTAATTTAATTAACTTTAACCCTTTGACATGTGATGGTCGTCCCCTGAAACCAACAATTTTCGATTTTTTTTCCTCTTCTTTCCGAAATTTTTGAGTGAAAATCAATTGATTACTGATCTTTTACCTCTAAATAACACAAAATGACTGCAGAATCATATATGTTTTAAGTCTTAATACTTCAAATCAGCTGCCTTTTAAAATTCCTTTTCAATGAGACAAAATAACTTCCTTTTATTAATATAAACAACTTTAAATTTCAAAAGTTATTTATCACTCATCATGATTTCTATTGTGAACAATAAAAAATTGCAATAATTAAACTGCATATATAAAAAAATCTATATTTATGGCATTTGCTTTGTGGTTTCAGGGCGCGACCACTGCGCCACTAGAGTATTGTGTCACAATGCTCACAATCCTCTAGAGGCGCGGTAGTTGCGCCTTGAAACCATTACTCTTCACAATGGCATTTGCTTGCTTTCCAAATAGGAATGTTTATTTTTACCCGGATATAGATAAGGGCCTTTGAAACCACAGAGTTATTTTATTGCTAAACAATACATGCACCTGCCCAGTGAAAAAGTGTTTCCTTTCCAGAGATTGTTCTCTGACCTTAACACACTTGCTTCCCAAGCTATATTGTGAATTTATAAATTATTTTGTGTGGTTTAAATTTAATGTAAATATTTTTTGGTATACTTAAAAATAGAAATTGCAATTATTTAAATTAAAAATATATTTTCAAAATATTTTGGGAAATACGAATAAAATAAATATGAATGGGAATATATCATACCAAGCCAAAGACCAAGCCCCCCCTGCCCCCCATTACCATAAAAACCGACAAATTTCATGTGCAGATGAGAAGAAACTAAATAATGCTGGACATAACCAGTGACATTTTTTTTATCCTTATTTTACTGAGTTTTTTATCCATTTATCCAAACGTTCTTATTGTTAGTGAATGAAAAGTAGACACAAACGTTCGTTATTGCGTTTATTGGCTGTGAGAAGAACAAGTTCGTACAATAGATATACAGGTAGTTCAGCGCTCGCAGGCGCCCTCTTGCAGAGAACAAATCAAAATTTGCATAAGGCGTGAACATGCCACCCACCTTGAAATACTATTTCAACATTCATTGGTTAAAATTCAGCAAATTCAAAAAACACAATAGAATATTAAAATCTTAATTTATAATACATGAATTAAAACTCAAATTGGTAATAGACACAATTTTGTAATATTTCTTTGACCCTTCATCTGAGTCTTATAGTCACAATCCTTACAATAATTATCAAGACAGGATTAACTGATAATCTACCTATTTCAATTTATTGAAGGTAAGTTATCCTCTTTTATAGACACAATCATTACTGAAGATTTTTTAGTTGGCAAAGCCATTTTGGTCTTTGTTGATTGACACAGATATTCTTTGTGCCAATGTTTCCCAAATTGCTTGACCATTTTTTAATATGTTGCCATCTATGAGTGGGAACTTCAATGTAATTTGGTTCAGGAATGCTTGTAATGATCTACCAAAAGAATGACCAGGCGTCAATGCTGATAAGTCATTTGGATCATTAGATAAACTTTTAAAGGTTGCGAGTTAAGACAAGCTTCTATTTGTGTGAGAAATTTCAATTCTTCATATGTCAATATCACCTCGCCAACTACTAGTTTAAATGTATTTTTTGATTTTATGCCAGCTTGTATTTGTGGCACATACTTTAGAACTTTAGATACATTTAATGACATTATCAACCAAATATCACTAACGTTTTGATTATAATTGCAGATCTACAAGCCTTTCAATACCATGAGTTTGTGTTTGCTCCAACAAAATGAAACCGCAATCCTATATTATCACTGTTTGCCTCTGTAGGAAATGAACCTCTTTAAGAGCTGCAAAAAGCTCTGCTGAAGTCATCACAATTTTAAGTGAATTCTTGCATAAAACAACATAGAGCTAATTGCCTTGAATGCCTGAGCCCACCTTTTCCTTTCATTTGAAAAGGACCTGCATATCTACTCAAAGCACAAAATCAGGAGCAGGGCATTATTGAAAGTAGTGTTCATTTAGTTAAAACCTCAGGATATGATGAATTGACTTTGAATAAAAACATATCTGAAGCTGGATGCCACAGGATACCTAACGTTTTTACAGTATCATCATTGTCTATGTTTAAAGCAACATTTGATAAGCACAAATCTGGATTAATTGAATTCAAGACTTCTTCTTTGCTGTTAGAAGCCCATTTTCTTAGAACAAATCCTGCACGTGACAACATCTGATTCAATTGCATTTGTAATTCTATAGCTTCAGTAACTGAACTGGCTCTGGACATCAAATCATCAACGTAGAAGTCCCTAAGATCCGTCTTGGAAGCCAAAGGAAAATTAGTTGCTTCATGTATTGCTAACTGCTGTAAACATCTTACCGCAAGGTACGGAAGCTGATGCAGTACTGTAAAAAATCCTAGTTAATCAAAAAATCTTGAATTGGTTTATAAGGTGAATTGCGGCAAACTATTCTTTGAAAGTCTGCATCTTATAGTATAATTTGTCTGTACATTTTCTCTATGTCTGCAGTTATAGCTATTCTGTGAATTCTGAAATGAATAATTAATGTTGTCAGATCAGTCTGTAACTGTGGACCAACCATCAATTTCTCATTAAGAGAAATACCGCCAGAAGATTTTGCAGAACCATCAAATACAACTCGAAATTTATCACCATTTTTATCCGGAACTGAATGGTGCGGAAGGTAAAAACTAGAATTAGCTGGAACATCAATTTCATTTTCTGGAATCAATTCCATATGACCAAGTTGTTGATAGTCCTCCATAAATTTGTGATATTGACTGGAAAGAGATTTATTCTTAATAAATTGACGTTCAATGCTTTGTAAACGATGTACAGCAACATCTCTTGATGACCCAAGTTCATTGCCAGATCTACGAAATGGAAACTTAACAACAAATCTACTTGTTAAATCACGAGAAAAATTCCGCTTAAAATGATTTTCACACTCAATTTCTTCCTCTGTGTAATGCTTTATTTCCTGAAATTTCTTCCTAATTTCCAAAATTTTCAAGCTGGATGGAACTGAACATTGGTACAAACTAGCATGATTAGATACAATTGTTCTGTGATACACTTTTAGTCTTGCCGATAATGACCCAGCCGAATATCGATTCCAAGGCTGTTAACGAATGACCCGGAACAGTTAAACGTCCATGAAGCATTATCTCGCCAAATACATCTGCGCCTAAAAGAATATCTATTGGGCCAGGCTGTAAAGCAATTTGTATCTGCCAACCAAAAGTGTTTGAAAGCTGTCAAAACAGACCTATCAACTTGATATTGAGGAAGGTCACACGTGATCTTGGGTATAATTAATGCATTAACTGAAATGCTTGCGTTTTTATAAAATGGAGATGTTACTTGTAATTGAACTGAACCTGAAACCTTTCCAATTTTTTGCGAGCTCAGGCCATTTACACTTATGTTTGCACTAGTACGCTTTAGCTGCAATAAATTTACACAGTGCTCCCGAATAAATGAGCCCTGGCTACCTGAATCAATTAGCATCCTGCATTTTTGTAAATCGCCATTAATATCTTTAACATAAACAACCGCAGTAGGCAATAAAACTGCTTGCGTGCAACAGGCACCGTGGCGTTATTGCTACTAATAGCAGAAGTTCCGTGTTCCATGGGTATATGACATTTTTCATCATTTGAATTTTTCGAACATAACACTGTATTATGTGGCTTTGAACAATATTTACACATTGCCTGCACGACATTTAAAAATGGGATGCGTTTTACTATCTTTCAAACAATTAGCACATAATTTATTCCTTTTAATAATAATATCCCATTTTTCTTTGATAGGGAGTTCTAAAAACTGATAATGAGAATGAGAATTACTCTTACAATGAACGCACACATTAGCCACAAGTTGGGACGAAAAAGCGTATCTGCTACCTGAACTAACGCGAGTTTTAATTTCAGAAGGCAAAACTGCCTTCTCCCTCTGGCACTTCGCCAAAGAGGCAATAGCATTCGCTCTGTTTAAAATAAACGCTTGAATTCAGCGAAAGCAGAAATTTTCTTGTTCGAATGCTCTATCGTCCACTCTTTTAGTGTTTCATGATCAAGTTTTCCTTTTAACAGAAAAATAATCATAGTATCCCAATGCTCTACCGGCTGTTTAAGGATTTTTAATGTATCAATACACTGTTGTGTTGTATCAATTAATCTCCGCAAACCTGAAGCTGATTCATGTTTTAGAACAGGCTGTGAAGTTAATTTATTTAACGCTGTGTTTATTATTTCTATTTCGTTTTCATAACGTTCAGTAAGCGCTTCCCATGCCTTTTCATAATTCGCGTTTGAAATTTGAACTGATTGTAGTAAAACAGCAGCTTCACCTTTCACAGAAAGCTTAAGATATTGCAATTTTTGACTGTCACTTAATGTACTATTATTTCCAACACTGGCAAGAAATAAATCCCTAAATGATATCCAGTCAACATAATTAGAAGTAAACACTGGCAATTCCACGCGAGGAAGTTTCAAGCCGTTTGCATTAGCATTTATTATATCTTTGCCTGAATTACTAAGTTTTCTTGATTCTTCCTTTAAAGTAATTTTTAATACATCTAATTTGGAAAATAGTTCATTCATTTCTATTTCATATTTACTAAACTCTGCGTCAGAACAAGTACCAAGAATGTTATCGTTTAAACAGTTCACTTCAACACTCAATGCACCAACATCATTTTCGTACACTTCAATGGCAGAAAAAGTATTTTCTTGATTTTGTAAACTATTTACTTGTGAAATTAAACGAGTCAACTTACCCTTGATAATTCGCTTTTGCTTTAAAATCGACTCCATATTCCAGCTGCTATTCTCACAATCCAGACCAAAATAAATCAGTTTTCTTTGTACAAAATATACTTCTATATCAGAATGTTAAAAATGTCTTGACACATCATCCAAACAATTGTGCTGACCAAAGCTTACCACCATCCAAAGCTTACGATGGACCATGTTACTCCGGCTGCTAAGAACTATGTTAGTGGATGGAAAGTAGACGCAAATGTTCGTTATTGCGTTTATTGGCTGTGAGAAGAACAAGTTCATACAATAGATATACGAGTAGTTCGGCGCTAACAGGCACCCTTTTGCAGAGAACAAATCAAAATTTACATAAGGCACGAACACTTATTATGTAGATACTTATATTTTCACTGCTATAAAAAAATTACATAAATGTTTATTTTTTAATTTTTCTGACAATTTACTTTGTAAAATAATGTAAAAAATTTGCATATAATGCAATTCTTACATATTTTTTTTTTTAATATTCGTAAATTTCGTCATTTATTGGAAATTTCTCAATGAAAAAGGTAACTTTTGTTTCCTACTAGCTCAGTAAGTTTCAAAGTCCTAGACGCGCGTTGGTTTCACAGCGCAACCACTATCCACAGAGCAATGGGCAAGAGTAGATTTTTTTAAATACATATATTAATTGTCTCTTGAATCATAGTATTCAATTTCTAGAGTTTTTAGTTTAAAAAAATTATAAAAATAATATAGCATGCTTCAAAGGGTTAAATTTGCTTTTTACAAATAGAGAATGTTTGTTAAATTCAAATTTCATTCCTTGCAACAATGAGAATTATTTAAATTAAATTTAACTTTACTATAGTCTTTTGAAACAATTTAAGTGATAATGTAGATTAGTTGCAGCAAAAATTAATCAGTTATTTGTAATTCAATTTCGTTTAAAATTTAATTAACTTTAAATTTGCTTTTTATGATAGAGAATGTTTGTTAAATAAAAGGTAATATATATATATGTGTGTGTGTATATATATATATATATATATATATATATATATAATTTTACAGAGAGCAGCTTCTTTTAGAAGTTTCTTATGCCTTTATTTTCAGTTGACGATCAACTCCTCGTTGTCGGTAATAATTTTACAGACTACACCCGACCATTGACACCCCCGCACACAAAATATTACAGGGTAGGACATTTTGAGCACATGTTCAAATACTTCTACTATTGGACAGTTTGAACCTTGTCACATACCTTTTCCAAGAACTACAAAATTTTGGCTTCTCTAGAGCAGTTTGAACCTTGTCACATACTTTTTCCAAGAACTACAAAATTTTGGCTTCTCTAGAGCAGTTTGAACTCCACTTTCTTTAATTTGGCACTATGGAATGTTTTATTCTTTTTTTTAAGTGTTTTGAAAATGTGTAGGGAAAATTCTGGTACATTTGAGAATCAAGTTTTCGGTTTTATATGAATTTTAAAGTCTTTAATAAAAATTTGATGAAATCTTTTTATGGTTTTTGATCTCAAATGGACCAGGAGACGGAAACATATAAATCAATTTTTATGAAACCACGGGCTTTTAGCATGCCACATATTTAGAGTGCCCCCATGCCGCACAGACACTATACATTTACAAACATCCATGTCCTCTCTGCCCTTCAGTACCGCAGTAGTCTCCCCTAGCAACTATACCATCTGATTGACGTAAATGTTTTACTGTTAATATGAAAAGGAAGAAATCTGGACGAAGGTGCATCAGTGTAAAAGATGTGTAAATGATAAATGTATAAATAGTGCTTTACTCTATACGATGTGTGTCCATTCATGGGTGGCTATGTGTGCATAGCAAGGTTAATGTATTACAGTTTTATAATATGTACAAATAATAGGTTGCAGTTTTATAATATGCACAAATATCAGTTTTCAATTTTGTAATATGCAGTATATTTATACATCATACTCAGGTATTTTAATTATAAAGAGAACATCTAGATATTTTATTCATTACTTTTAAATATAAACAATGCAATGTATTCCAAAATGTACTTTTTGGAAGCTTAGCTTTTTGTTTTTTGGTTTCAACACTTTTAGTGGCTGTTCATAAACAACAAATAAACAAGTATTTCCCACTTTTTAAATTTTATTGCATTTTGTTAAATTTAATATCCATGTAGACTAAAATAATAATATAGTCTAAAATAATACAGATATAAATATGCAATTTTAGACCAAACCACTTTCCACTTCTGGAATGCTGTGCCTGACACTGGCAACAGAACTTCCCCACCTGGTTTATTTGCACAACGTCCAACATCGTGAAAATCAAATTCGGGTGCCTGAAGTTACCATTCATCATGTTAAAGAAAGGTCAGGAAAAACAGTGTTATCCAGAACAAGAAGAAGGTTCTCTGTTCGTGAACCTGAGAAAGCAAAAACTGGGAAAGGGTAATCTTTTCTTTTTCTTATGTTGTTGTTGTAATATTTAAAATTTTAAGTCTAGATGGCTATGTTATTGAGGTTAGATGCTAAAGTATTTATTGAGTAAAAAAAATTGCAAATAGACTAACTACACAATCCATTTTGATCAGGACATAATGGGCATCATCTGTTTTGTCATTGCATTAAAAATCTGTGTTTTATCAATTATTGTACATATATTTTAAAATATACTTAAATATCGGTTAATATTACCAATGAACTAATTTGCATCAATGGTAAGTTATCACTTCTATAGAGAGATGTTATGCTTGAGATAAACTGGTATTTGTTACCAACATTTTTACATTTTAGATGAAACATCTGGTTTATAGCATTAATTTCTCTTCTGTTAATATGCTGTTTGTCATAATGTTTGTCACTTACTATATTTTAAGCTTGTATTTTATAGTTTTCATTACTTTGTGGTCATAAATTGAATATACTAAAGGGGCAAAAATGCATATACAGTAATGATTTTTGAAAAGAATTCAAACTCATCAAACGTAACGAATTATGAATTTATGAAACAAAAAAGATGGTTTCATAATACCTATTTCTTCAGTGCTTGTGGAAATAGAAATAATATCAGTCAGTATTGGTATAAACAAAAACATAACGATCCGGAAAATACTTTCTGTTCATTTAACGATATCAGCTCATATTTGTTAGATTTTGTGCAGGTTCTATGAAAAATTATTTTAAGTTTAATATTTTAATGTATCATCCCAGCATCTTGTTTCTGTATAATAGAATTATAACCAGTTTGTTTATTAAAATAATAAAAACGTAAGGAAAGAGAAGCAAAAACAAAACAAATAAACCAAAAAAAAAATAATAATAATAACTGAATAGCATTTTTGAGCAGGTAGTAAATTCTAGAACTGAGAACTTTTCTAAAAAGAAAGATTTTTAAAAAATCTAAAAAACTGTTAAAAGTATTCTAAGTTAACAGAAAAAAAAGGAGACCTCTTTCTTTGTCTTATTTATTTATTTATTTATTTTTAAAATTTCTCTTATAGTTTAAGAGACAAAGGAATTTTATTACACTTTTATACTTCTTTTTCTTATATAATAGAATTCTAATAATCTACTACAGCTTCATTCACGAATGTCTGTAATCTTGTGCTAATTTTAGATGTAAACAAACAAAATTTCTTTTTCAGAAAATTCAATACGGTACATTTAATGATACTTTTTTTTTTTTTTTTTTTTTTTTTTTTCTTTTTCTAATTTCATATAGAAAATGTGAAGAATGAAGCTCAAAAGAAAAATTTGTATTGCATTTTTCTATACTAATATTTGAAATTATTTCATTATTATTTATATTCATATTTATTTCATTCTCAAAATAATTCCAAACTCTTAAAATAATTCAGATTTTTTAAACAGTAATCCAAATTTCTAATTATTAATATAGTAATTTTAATAAACCTTCCTAAAAATATTTAAGATCTTACTTTATGAAATCAAACTAGTAAAATTCAAGTTACCATAAAATTTTCGACTGATATCTTCATAAAACAGTGTAACATTTTTTAAATACAATACAGTAAGAAAAAATATCAATTTGTAATGTAAATGTGATTATGGAAAAGTAAAAGTGGAGATAATTTTCTAGCGTATACTTCAAGAAAATTTTCAATCCTGCACAGGTGAAAAGGAACATGACTAATGACAGTAAATGTGCTGCGTATTAACATTCTAATTGACCTTCGATTAGAACCTTCGATTAGACCTTCGATTCACTGATCCACTAAATCTTTTAGGCAGTTGTTAAATCATTTTCATTTTATAAACTCATCATTGAAGCAATAGTTTCCTCATAAGCAATGTTTATCCTGTCCGACTTATTGTAATGATGATGATTGGATAGGTAACTGTTAATTATGAGATGTTTATCTGCATCATACTTGTAAATACTTGAAGAGACTTTAATGGGTAGATACAAGGATGACATTCACAGATAGATGTGGGTGAATTTAACATAATTTTATTTCTGACAAAGCACTTCCAGAGACACAATTTCAATCACATATTTTTATTTTTGATACGATATTCACTGCAGCAATTTGTACAACTTATATCTTTTTTAGACAAAAGAGGATAATGGGTTGGGAAGCTACAATAGCAACCAGAAGCAAGGCAAAGTAAAAAAAAAAACGGGGGGGGGGGGATCCGCAATGCTGGTAATGGTATTTATAGTCAAACGTTCCTTTAATCCACTTGGACAAGAGCTGCTAATCTACAGCATGATTGCATAAACATGAAATGGATTAATTTTCACATGACACACTTTAAATTCCAGGTAGGGGGACATAGCCAAATTAAAATCAGGGATCAGAAGTAAAGTTAGTAATCTTCAGTTTTATATCTTTTTACCATATATATATATCTCTCTATATAAACTGTGACATAGAAATCATTCATTAATATATATACATATTAATGAATAACTTATATATATAAGTAAATAAAATAATTATTAGTAACAAATTGTCTGATACTTGGGCTAAAGCTGCAAAGTAATAAAATAATAATTTATTTTCTAGTAAATTATTGGATATATTATCTCCTTGAAAAAAGTATTTAGGATTCTCTTGAAATGAATTTACTCAGCATATTAAAAAAGGAATTATTAAAATGGAATAATAAAATTGTAATAATTAAAAGCTACAAGCTAAGTGCAACCAACAAACTAAGTAATTATCATCATTAACTGGAAATTACTTGACTTTTCAAGGGGAACAAACTAACTTCTGATCAATTAACAATAATTAATGGATGCAAAAGTGTTTCATCTTTTTCTCAAGTAAGAATCAAGACTGAAATAGCTGTCTAGTAAGTTTGAGTTAAAATGATTCAAATTGCTAATTAATATGGTGCCATTTGCAATGAATCTGAATTTAAGTGGTGTTTTATGGAATTTGGGGAGAGTATAAAGGTTAATAAATCTATTGTACCTTGGATTTATACAGATTTTGAGTTTTTTATGGAATGCTTTAATTCTATTAATTACAGAGATTTCTGTAGTATTTGCTAGCTGGTAAGTATTAGCGTTATGAAATTCTTTGCCAATGATTGTGTTGTAGAATATTTTACAAATAATGCTAAATTTATTATTTGCTTTATGAAGTTTGGTGATGGTAAATTATGGTTTTAAATTTTTGATATTTGAAAGAAGTTAAAACCAATTTAAGTGACTTTTAAACTTTGATAATTTTAGTTTTAATTTGCTGAAGGTGTTCATCTTTCCATTTTAAAAAGGCATTATTTGGCAAATTAAGCTGATAGCTAGCTTTAACGATAAAGTCATTGATACCATTTTCTAAATTTTTGTAGACATACCTTATATTTTACACCATAACTCATGAGTTTTCAAGTTATGCATCTGAAAAGATATCCAAGTTTCCAGATGTGTGTGTTAACTGTTATAAAACAATTATTTAATCAGAAGTCAATATATACATAACAGTTTTATATTCAGTGACTTCTGATTAAATAATTGCTAAAGATGATTTGGTTAGCTATGCGTGTATACATAGTTCATATATTAGTGTAAAAATTAGAAAAGGGAAATGTAAACAAAACTAAGAAAGCCTTTTTTTAAGACAGGTAGTCTTAAAAAGAACTAGTAATTAACTTCAGATTTGTGACTGTATATTTTTATATCATTTATTCTATCTGCAATTTCAGTAATACAACTGAGAGAAGATCTCGCATGATTTCTGCTCCCACAAATTTTAATCATGTTTCCCATATGGGTCCTGGAGAAGGAATTCAGCTCCAGAAACTTATGGATCTCCCCGCAGTATGTAATTTTTTTCTTTCATGCAAAATAATTTCTGTTTCAAACTGTGAAAATTCATAGAGAGACAGTTCTATTTAAAATAATGATAGATGTAAAACAAATTTTGAATTTCTTATATTATAATAAGGAATTAAGCACATTGTTTTTACCATACTTTAAAATTTTAAACTTTATGGTACTTACCATATTTTAAACTGTATGTTAAAAGAAACAGCTTTTGAACCAAATTTTTATATAATAATGTCATAAGTAACTATGGATAGGGGCATATATAGAAATTTTGCTAGTCAGGGAGGGTGCTCCCTGAGCTTGTGGCATCTCCTCAATTTGCCACCATTCTTGATATACAAACAAATAGCTATCAAAAAAATGTCAAAACCTTATTTAGAAAAATAAATTAGTATAATTATTTCTGAAGGAAAACTTTTAATTCCACCGTTTTAAAATTATATTATTGTTTTGTTGTTTTCGGTTCGCAAAACGAACAGTAACAATGCAATGGTCTGTTTGCTTTTGCTGTTATGTAGACAATATAGAAAGATTTCTTAAATGCAAAACATACATTTGTATTTCTTATACACTTCTTTAATGGTTTTTATTTAGGAAAAGCTTCTCACAACTGTCAACACTTATTTCAATTGAGAGGAAAATTAGCAGTAGTATTACAGTATTTGGAACTTTGTACTGGAAATTGTATTTTAGAATAAAGAGGACAGCCTTTCCATGTTTCTATCACCCTAGCAATAATGTAAATTAAGCTCAGAAATACTTTCTTTCTTAATAAGGAATTGTGTCTTAATTAAGGAATTCTTCATTGTTAATCATGATTCAGTTGGTATTTGTAACTTGCGTTGAAAAGTTTGCATGGAGTATAAAAAGGTGTAACAAAAGTATTTACCTGTTGAAAACATGTGGTGATTTCTTTGAATATTTTTTCTTCTCAATTTAATTCCATATAGCAATTTAGAATCTAATTTTTTTTTCACTTGCTTCACCAATCCACCTGACTAATGCCTACAAAAAAGGTTTCGTATGAAAAATGCTGCCCTGAGCAGACCACCCCTTCAGCCCTTCCAGTGGCGTAGAGAGGGGATGCAAGGGGGTGTATGATGCAAGGCGTGCCAAATGGTCTCCAAACAAGATTATCATCATATCACTGTATACTTTTTGAGGGGAGGAGGGTCACCAAAAAGGTATTTTGCCTTATGCTCGCTATTCCACTGAGCCCTCCCCAGCTATGCCATTGACATGGATCATTGTGGAAAAGAAATCTCTTACTATTGAAGAAATGTCATGAGTAGCATTCATGCATCTCCTTTATAGATGTGTGGAATAATATAAAGGATAAAATAGTCTTTAAAATCACAGCAGCTATTGAACACAGTGTTAAATAAAAATTAAAACATGTCAAACCCAAAGTTAAAAATAGGTCAGGAATCATAATCAGGAAGGTTTTTCTGGCTTCATTACAAATGCTCACTTTTGCATATCTATACTTGTTAAAAGGCGTAAGTACATAAGTGCACTGTTGAATGCCAAATGTTTCAGCATTCTTCATATTTTAGTCATATATTCTAGTTTTAATGATTTCTGTGAATATAATTTTAACACATTTTTAGTATGGTTCTGTTTTTAATTAGTGGTAAATATTAATTATTTTTCGATGTTTGAAAGGTATTCGTATTACAACTTTATATGAGGCAATTTATAATTTTTTTACACATTTTTTTTTAAATTAAATTGCTTACATATGTAGATTTTAGAGTGTCTATAATTACACCTCATACTTTCTCAGTTTCGTATTTTATGCAAGCACAAATTTTTCATTTCCATTTTGTGCTATTTTGCATAATCATGAAATCATATTTTCAAAAATTTTGCTAATCTTATTTATTTAATTTAAAAATGGATAAATATATAAAAATGCTGCTTTACATAATATTTCATGTATATTTATTTATTTTAAAGTTATCTTATCTTTATTTCAAGGTTTTATACCTGTATATTTCTTGCATATGTATAGGAAGCATTTGAGACATATTTCAATAACAATCTTTGTAATGTAAGAATAACTCAACTGCTTACTCTCTGCCAAAAATATTTTATAAATGTATATGATATGGAAGAATCAAATATTGTAAGATTAAAAAAATGTTAAATGTATTTAGAAATAGCATTTTCAAATTTTTACACAAAAGTAATTGAGATCAGGAAGGAAGAAGTGAAAACATATGAAATTTTAATTTGAAGCTTAAAGGGAAAACATAGCTAATTTTGTAAATGCACTTGAGTCAATATACACTGGTTATCAGAAATTAAAGAAAAATCACAAAAATCATGATTACTGAAAAAGTTACATGCAGAATTTAATGAAACTTACCCACAATATACAACACATAGTAAGGTATCAAATAGCATAAAAAGAAATTACCAGACAAATATGGCAGTATAGAAATTAGCACATGTATAAAATGAACAAAACGAAGGTGTCAGTTTGCTATAGGAAAAGTACCTTCAATATGGAATATGATCGCCTCTAGAAGCAATATGTGTGATGCTTTCAATTATGCGGTCTATCAGTTCCATAGGAAGTGAGAGTTATTGCTCTTGCAAAGCAGTTGCAAGCGCGACAAGGGTTTGAGGGGGCGGATTGAGAGCAGCTAGACATCTCCCTAAAGCATCCCAAACGTGCTTGATAGGATTCAAGTCCAGGGATCTAGCTGGCCACTCCATGCGCATAATCATCTACGATGCGAGCTCTGTGTGGTCTTGCATTGCCATCCTGTAACAGGAAAGCATCACCTATTGCCCCAGCATATGAGCACACATAAACATCAAGGATGTCATCCCTATAAATCTGAGCATTCACGGTTCCCCTTGGAAAGACATGGAGGTCTGTGCGTCCACCCAAAGAGATGCCACCCCAGACACTGCTCCTTCTGTATGCATTTCATGGATGTTTGACGGACGATAACGGGTTCTAGGTTCTCTCCATATCAAATAATGCCTACTATCACTTTCTAGACTAAACCTGGACTCATCCGTAAAGAAAACCACCCTCCATTGATCAGGCGTCCAGTGGACATGTTGTTGTGCCCACTGAAAACGGTCCCTCCTATGGCGTGACATGAGCGGCACACAAATGACTGGTTGCCTCGCATACAGACCACCTTCGTGAAGCTTTCTACGCACAGTTGAATTTGACACGAACCTTCTGGTGGCTGCAGCAAGGGAGGATCTAAGAAGAGTCAGAGCAATGGTTCTATTCCTGCATGCACATAATGTCAAATATCGGTCATTGGCGCTTGTCATAGCAGTTGGCCGTCCTTGGCTGAACCTCCTAGATGCCAAATCTGTGGTTTGAAATTGCCTCCAAAGTCTCTGAACTACAGAAGGACTCACATTTAGCCATCTGGCCACTTCTGTTTGACTTTGTCCTTCCTCTAGTCTCCCAATGGCTCTCCATCACAGTTCTGCAGGAAAATGATGCCTGGAGGTCATTGTTACGAATTGGCTATCTCAGATTTCTGATGTCACTGTCACAGTGAAATATGTGGGCTTGCTCTCAAACATGGACTTTTATGCTCCTCGCAGATGACATATTCCCAAAGCAGCGCTACTAATTTGCATATCACAGTTTTACTCAGCTACTCTTACTTGGCAACATATTCAAATTTTACACGGTTTGGCTTATTTTTTAGGGAGTTATCGCTATTTTTTTTATTTTTCCTTAATTTATGATAACTAGTGTATATCCAGGATAATGTGTTATCATATATTTTATTAAATATTTGAATTTATTTAACTGTTTTCTGTTTTTCTGTATAATGTTACATAATTTTTATTTCTATACTTGTTTGCTTGGTGTATATTATAATATAACACTTTTGCTACGTATTTTTGTTTAATTAAATTATAGCTGCATTTCATGTTTATGTGTTAGTTTCATGTATTAGATTGTAGATCTTTGAATTCTGAACTGATCGATGTTTAAATTGTGAATCTAGCTCACTTAGAGTTATGTGCAGGAAATCCTTTGATGGGCTTTTGTGATAGTTTTGTCACCAATTTGGCAACATATGAAAAGTTTTTAGAAAACACATTTTTAAGCTTTAGAAGCAAAATTTCCTGAAACTTTCAAATGGTCTTGGCGATCCTGTACATACAGCCGTGTATTAGCTGTAGTTCAGTAATTCAGTTTAGAACTGTGTGATTATATAGAGCTCTTACTCGGTGATTATGATTTTAGAGTTTACTGTGCAAATGATATTGGTAGTGTGCAAATGATATATTCCTCACATATTAAGGAGAATTAGCTTTATCTCTGGTTGTCTTCTTGATTTATTTACAGTATTAATTTTGCTGCGAGTTGCTATTTATTTTAATAAAATATCCACTTATTCTTGCTAATTTGCATAGCTACTAAAGAAACCTCTATGGGTAAAACAGGAAGAAAATATAGTTTTTCTTTTAAATGTTTTAAGTCAACATATATACGGGTGATGAATATGTGCAAATGCACACACACATATGCATGTTCATAATGTCAATTTAAAAGTGAAATTGATTTTGCTATGGTGAAAATCTATATTAGTAGGGTTAAAAGATTAGAATAATATTCTTTGTTAGAAACTTTTATTTATGGTAATTTTTTATGATTAAATGAAATTATACAAATGTTAATGATAATTTTTTGTCATAAATATTTTTACACACTCTCTTAAATTAAAATTTAATTTTAAAATTTGTCACAGTGTGCATTTTTATTTCATTTATTTGAAAGGTCAAACCACCAAGTCAACAGTGCCAAACTCCCACCCAAACTCCTACCTCTGTCTCTACACCTGTCTCTTCAGATGAAAGGTCTCAAAGGACTAGAAGTGTACCACAGCCGAAACCTCTTCCACGAGCACTTCAGGATAGCAACAGTAGGAGAACAACTCATAATGGTATCTTTCTTATATTAAACTTTTAAACATGTACATAATTCAGAGTCAGGCTGACAGAAATTGAAACCCGAGTCAAAATTAACACCTTCGCACCAGGTAGTGCAAACGCGCACTTATCGCGGAGGCCAGCAGTGTCTTACGTGAGCGTCTGTCCAGGGCCTGGGGCTTTTTTGCTATTCTATTATATTTTTAAGCCTAAATCCATGAAATTTCCGAAGTATCAATGCATTGTTTAATAATACTCTATAGAGTATGTAAACGGCTTATGCTTTATAGATATTTTTATATATACTTTAATTACCTTATTTCTTGTATAAATGCATATATTCACATTTTATTTTCGTTACTCACCATTTTATGACTTTTAACATTATACATCTGAAAACTAAATATATTACTTAAAATTCTCTTTTCGTATGAAAAATTTTAAAACAGGGATCTACACACAGTCCTACATTACATTCCTTGAACTCGTAATAACTCATTTGCTGTTTTGGAGGATTTTTCCGGGAATGTGAACAAACGAAGCATCGTCGTCTCATTTTCTCTTCAGTCTCTTCTGAACAAAGTTTTGGAAAATATCTTTCAGTTAATCTGAGCGGATTTAATGATTCTGCTGATCTTGGTGTGATTGCAACGGTAAAAAGAGAAAGAATTCACATCTAACAAGATCTAATTATTTTCTAAAACAGAAAGAATTCACGTCTAACAAATTTTCTATTAAAAATATTTATTCGGTCTGTTTCTATTAAAAACAGAAAGTATTCACGTCTAACAAGATCTAATTTAAACCGAAATACCCAACGCTTTAGCGAAAATAAAACTTCTCTACTTACAATAAACAACTACCAAGTGCGAATTTAAAGAGACGTCATAAATCATGCCATTTGGAAACATTTATTTTTCCTTTTGTTTATATAATCAAAAACACGTGTATGCGAGTCATGCTTCTCTCATTTTGAGTAGAAAGTCTAATGTACATGTATCTGAAACCATATGGACATACAGTGTCATCTTGTGGCAGAAATTATAGTTTTTAAAACGTTCCAGGACACTGGCACAAATACGTGACAGTCGGGGCTGAACGGGAAAACGCTCTGGCACACCTGTGTGTCGGCCGGGAAGTGAGTGTGTTTGTTGCTGGCACGTAGACGTGACAGTCGGCGCGAAGGGGTTAAGGCCTCAAAATGCATTTTATCACTTTCACATTAAGTGATTATTAATTTATTATATTTTAATTTTACTTTTACATGAAGCAAGTCCCTCATTTGCCTCATATTTGATGCACTGTATTATAATGTTAAGCATGTGTGTTATAATACATAATGTACATGGGTTAAGATTGATATTACATTTGAACTAGAGATATATAAAATCTTGTATGTAAAGATCATAGTTTGATTTAGAACTTTTTCTTTTCTTAGAATTTGCAAAGATCTTAAAAAAATGTCTAAAAAGAATTCAAAATATATATAGCAATCTTTAAACAATGAAATGGAGAGCTTCAAAGAAAGCATGTCTAAGATTCATGTTTATAATTAATGTTACACTTATTTTAAAATTGGATGAAATTGATGATTGAAATTATATGTAAAAGTTGAATTGAATTGCTCAAGCTCTTGCTGATTTTTCATATTATAAATTCAACAAAATTTAGGAGGCAAAGATTGTTTTATCTTTATCATGTGGGCTGCAATGAATCCTGTGAAACCACAGCTGAACTATTTTAACCCACAACTGATCTATCATTATTTATATGTACAAATATTATTAGTAAATTACAAATTTGCTATATATCTGAAGAATCACTTAAGTGTAGATGGTTGTCTTCAAATTTTGTTAGTCTAAAAAAATTATCACTTGCATTTAAAGCTGTTGTGAATATGGTTTGTTAGTCACAGAAATTGTTTTTATTGATTCAGATGTGTTTTTAAATCTCATAGCTTGATTTTTAATGGTATTTTTTAATGATATTTTTAATGGCATAGATAATATTTGCAGAGAACTTGGCAAGTATATATTTTATGATTCTTAAAAATTATGGTTTTTATTGAATTAAAATTATTGCAGGAGGTAATGCCATGAATGCATCAAAATTAAATTCAGAAACTTCATATTTAGGACATTTATATATAAATTTAACTTTTTATTAGAAAATTAAGCAGTTTAATGTATTAACCATTGTCCATAGGAATCACAAAAATAGTATCATAGTGTATGATAAAACTGTTAAACCTTTTTAGATTAGAAAAATGTACTTTATGAAAATCACCTGTATTATTTATTATTTAAAAAAAAGAAAATGTGAAACAAATTTTAGATTTGAAAGAAACAGATAAATATCTACCCTCTCAAACATCACATATCCTTCATCCTAGGTTATGTAATGTCACACTACACAAAAAAGTAACATTAGAGCACTTTTTAAATTCATAAGCAGATGTACACTTTCTAAGGTAAATAAGAACAATCTTAAAATAATCACTTCTGTATTGTTTTTTTTTATATTGTTCTGCACTTTATTTAGGACCTCCAACTGGAGAATTAAATTTCCTCAAAGCTTTGCATTTCTGTCAATGTCTATAAATTTTATCTAATTCTATTTTTACTATCAGCTATAAATTCATATCTTTTTTAATCTTTTCTCTTTTTACTGTCAATTGGTCATGCTGAATAAAATCAGCATCATTTTATAATATTCAGATCTATGTTCTTATATATATAATATTTTAAGTGTGTAAATGACACTGGTACCTTTAGCAGCTTTCGATATTCCTTGTGTCTGAGGGTTAAGGCATACAGACAAAGATAACAAAACTGAATTTCGATGAATCACTAATCTTTATTTTCATACATATCAAATTATCTTGGTAGACATTTATCCAATCATAGTTAAATACAATAATTTTTATGTACACTGATTTTAAAAGTATAATGTAAGCATCTTAGCGAGGAAAGCAAAGCAGCATGGAGATGTTTGCAGGAAAGAAGTTAAGAAAAGGGATGATGTAGTTGCTCGTGAAGCAGTATTTATACTAAGTAGGTGCATAAGTATAACTAAGCTGCGATTGGTTAATTTTAGGTTGTTATGTAATGTGGAAAGATATCGAATTTGGGAGAACAGATGAACTTAGGGAGGAAAAATAAAATCAAGAATAGTTAATTTTGAGGTCGCCAATCATTTCTTAGAGCAGCCATCATATTTTGTTATATCTCGCCAATCATTTCTTAGAGCAGCCATTGTATTTTGTTATACCTTGCCAATCATTTTTTAGAGCAGCCATCGTATTTTGTTATATCTTACACACACACACGCACACACATATATACATATAATGTGTAATGATTTAAATAGCTAGCCTTGAAGATTTAAAAAACAGTTGTATGTATACTTAATATGAGAGAATGGGAAAGAAAAGATTTCAGACATGACCGCTGATTTGAATATATAATTTTATTTTCATCATAGTGTAAGTTTTTGTATGCATAAACAGACTCACTAGCATCCTTTATGGGTATGACATGCACTCCACAATTTTGTACAGCTTACATCTTCTTAGACTATGGACAAAGTGGAAAGTAAACTCTGCATGGCTAGCAGCAAGGTGAAGCAAGGGAAAAAAAAGAAGGGCGACCAAAAAAGAGCAAGATGAAGCAAAGAGAGCAGCAAAGCAGACAGTGGCCAGCAAAAAGAGTTGAAACAAAAGAGAGCGAAATTGCACAGCAGACTTTTTATCAGATTACATTTTGTGTAAAAATATATTCCTTTCTAATAATAAATTAACAGTAGCCTTTTAGCTCCCCTCTTCATTTTAAAAATAACAAAGCAATAACTTTTCTAACATATAACCTTTACTCCCTGTAATTCTGAAAAAGACTTGTCGTCTTAATCTCTGTTGTGCCCTTATCGATAAAATCTTAACTCAGCATCCAGATATTAACCTGCAATGTGATCCAAAATGTAATCTCAATAAAAAGTGAAAGTCTAAATGATGCACACTTTTGCTCTCTTTTGTTTTGATTCTTCTGCTTGGTCACTGTCTTTGCTTTGTCTTGCTGCTAACTACGCCATTTCCTAAAATGTGATATGCTATATGCAATTGTAGGGTGCATATTGTACCCATGATGATGTGTGAAGAAGAATATGCTTTAATAATTACTTTGTTGTCCAGCAATAAAAATTATGTTCAATTCAGCCACATATGCCTACAAGGTAACTCCTCCATTATGCATCATTCAAACTATGCATTAAAACAACTGCCCAAATATGTTACAGCTATGCTCAGCCATCAAGATAATTATTATTATTATTTTCACACATACACACATATATATAATATCTTCTTTTCAGGAAAACAGACCATGATCTCCTTTGTCCAGCATTCAATTTTTCAGTCTATCAATATTTTGGTAACCCTTCATCATACAAGTTCGTTGCATTTATAATCAGTAATAAAACACAAATAGTATATTCTGTACTTAATAACTCCTATAAATTTCTATACATCTATTTGTTTTATTACATTTTATACTATTAGCTGTGAAAATGAACTAAATATTTGAATAGCATCAAATTTAAATTGAAGCTACATAAGAAACAGTTTAAAATATAACAAAAAAGAGTGAATGGTTTAAATTTATTTTTTATTCAAAATAAGTATTAAAATTATAATTTTTTTACGTGTACATAATGTTTGATAATGATTAATAATTTTATATTTGTTCTTAAATTATCATTTTTATTTAAAAATGTAATCTGTCAAATAATAATGTTTCTATATAAAAAATATCCCAAATTTTATACATTTATACTTTCTTGAATAATCTATTCAGTTTAATGTATTTTTAATTAATTTTTTATTGAATATTTCTTTTATTCTTTATGTAAAATAGGTTCAGCGTCAAATAACCATCCCTCATTCATGAATCCTTGGAATCAGAGACCACCAGTGAATACTGCATCACCTGATGGTTCTGGTTCAGTGTCTTCACAAGAACATTCTACTCCCAGTGTGCATACAGCTGGATCTACACAAGCACATTCTTCAGGGCATGAAGTAAACATGTTTCTATGTTAAGCATTTTAGTTTCATGTTATTTATATAAATTTTTTCATTAATATTTTATTTAATGTTATTGTTTATTTTTTCTTTGCTAGTTACTAATATTTCCCAATTACACATTTTTGATGAATACTTTCTTTAGTTTCCCGAAATTGAAAGAAGAAAATATTATGTATATGTTATATGTTCATACCTTATAGTTTGATTTGATAGTGAAAATAACTTTTAAATGTTTTAACATCAGAGTGATCATGGGCAATTTGAGACATTGATAAGTTCTACTCTGATATTTGCTCTTTCAGAAAGATATGCAGCATGCTGTTTTTTGATTTTTGCTACAAATATTCTTTCATAATTGTAAAGTCAGAGTACTGCTCTTTTTCTCACCTGAAAATGAATTCTTTTGCTTTATTTGTGAAATAAATGTTTACTTATTTAGGCTGATATGCAATTTATTTCAAGGAGAAATTCAAATCACTTTTTGTATAATATATATTCTTTTATGATTTCTAGTTTTTCTGTATGCCTTTGCATAAAAAAATTTAATGTGAAAATTTGATAATACAGTCTAATATCTCATAGAAGAATTTATAATTAAAAATTTCAAAAACTAAAAAAGATGTAAACCTCATAAACATTGAAAAAACCAAATGATTTTATACCAGTTATTTAACATTCTCATGTTAAAAAACATCTTTTTATTAGCCACAATAAAGCTGAAATATTCATAAAAATATTACTTGAATATGTTATAAATTAAATATGTTTTAATATTATTTTAAAAAGTAAAATCAAAATTTAAAGAAATACATTTAATGTTTTTAAATCAATTTATTTATTGATAAAAAAACCAATTAAATTTGAAAGATAAATTGAAGATTTTATGCTTTACTGAATGGCAACATTCTGAGAATTGTCTTATACAGTGGTACTTCAACATACGAGTTTAATTCGTTCCGTAACCTTGCTCGTGTGTCAAATTGCTCGTATCTCAAAGCATTTTTTCCCATTGACATTAATTGAAATGCCATTAATCCGTTCCAGCTCCCAAAACACCACCTCAGTTGTTTTTGTTAAGTGTTTTTGAATAAGAAAAATGTATTTACAAGAAGAAACATTTATTTATAAATAACAAATACATATTCTATAAAAACATAGTTAGGCAAGTTTTGCTGAAGAACAGCGATGCATGACCAGTTGCAACTTTTTCAAGGTGATTTTTATCCACGAACTCTACAACTTTCTTTCACATTCTTAAGATCTCCTTTATAACTCTTGTAGGGATAACCTCCTCCATCGCTGGCTCCTCTTCAAAACTAATTTTTCGTTCAACCACCGTAAGCTGCTGGCTGCGAATGTAGATCGTGTAACTCCTTGGTTGTCAGCCCCTGAGACTGTTCCTCGACGAGTTCGTTCGCATCTCTCTCATCCACCTCCAGACCCATGGATTTTCCCAGAGAAACAATCTCCTCCACCACTGACACTTCGGGCTCCAATCCTTCGAAGGCCCTTTCAGCTACAGCCTCGGGCCACAGCTTCTTCCATGCAGAGATAAAGGTCTTCATTGTAACACCAAGCCAGGCCTGATCAATAATTCTTAGGCATATCACGATGTTAAAGTGGTCCTTCCAGAACTCCTATCTCAAATCTTGCTCTCATCTCAAAGCAAAATATCGCTCACTTGGCGGCTCGTATCTCAAAACACTCATATATCGAGGTACCACTGTATAAAGATATATGAGAGATAAATTTTAAAAAAATTTTGTCTTGTATAGGAGCAACACATGTTGAAGGCTGCTTCTAGATTCTTTGTTTTGTTCATTTGTCAGCTTCTGAGATATGATTGTATCTGCAGATCTTGTTTTGCCAAGATGTGATTTTACACATATTTCCCCCCTCTTCCTTTCTTAATTTTTAAAGGAAGATGTGGAATTTGTTCTTATGCTACATCCTTACTTTTGCTCACATTTTGTTTAATAATATGGAAGATCTGCTGTCTCACATATTTCACCTTTTGCACTGGAGACACACAGACCTTCAGATAAAAATCTGAGAATGTTTACAACTTAAAACATAATGAATTAAGGTTATAAAAATAGATAGGGGGGATACAATTTTGAAATCTTGCACTATTGTTAAATTTGTCAGTAGAGCTTTGTTTTTTGATGAGAGTGCCACCCAGATGGTATAGTGGTTATGGCAGCCGACTGCGATGCTAAAGGGCCCCGGGTTCAAATCCTACAGAAAGCATGGTTATATTTTTATGTTTCTTCATAGGAGGCAAAGTTGGCCCACCTTTTGAGTGCCTCCATAATAAAGTGACCATCGCCTCTGGCCTTAGTAGTGGCCAACGTCTGTGGATGGTTTGGGCCTGCCATTGGGAAAAAAAAATTATGATGAGAGGTTTTTCACTGTGTATATTATTGTTATATTTAAAATATTACTTAGATGGTATTTCTTAGGAAATCTCCAGGTATAAGTTTTTTGTAATCCAAAGCAATTAATCTGTAAATTTGAGCCCACACAAATCTATTCATTTAAGTGAAGTCAGTTATCATATTCACTTTCTCCATATAATAAATCCAGTTTTAGAATTTCTGTCCACATATCTGTCTATAATAAACACTGTAATATTTCAAATGACTATTTTAAATAAAACTGTAGTTGCTGTTATAGAATCTGTAATCCTGATATTCATTAAATCCACAGAATAATTATTTAAAATAAAGTGTAATAAAGATTTCATAAGATTCAAAGAATTCACATAAAAAATTAGAAATTCATGAAGCATTTCTAGATAATGCTGTAAATTATGCCTGATGTACAGCATTATTTTATATAAAATAAGTTTGGTAGAATTATTACTACAATAAAGTGCATCTTATATTACACAGTTTTTTGATAAGAATTTCATATTTTTTCTCCAAAACGCAGAGAATCAATTGTATATCTTTGCGTCAACAGTCATTTAAAAAATTGTCTTGTTCAAAATATAAAGTAGTGCTCAATTTATGAATTTCAAGCCTAAGTCTTGAATAGTTGTATAAGTTTTATATATAATTTTTAAAGTCTTTTATAATATACAATTTTTATGCATGTTTCAGATTTTTTTATCCCTTTATGATTACTTAAGACAAGGAATTGCACTTTTCTGTTTTCATACTCATTAAAAAAATTTTTGTAGAAAATGATAAGTCTATTGCTATGTCTAAAATAATGATTTGCAATAAACCTTGAAAATAAATTTGATGGTATTTCCCAGTTATATTTTTCAAAGTAATTCTTTTTTAATCTTGTTCAAATATGATTATTGTGTAAGGTACAAATTTGTTCTATATTTTAGGAGCAACATGAACAGTCAAGTCCTCGTCATTCAATAGCATCCAATACTAGTTCAAATGTGAGTTATCCTCCAAGTCCTCGTGAAAGGAGGACCACTGCTCCAGCAGCCACATCTGTACCACTTCTGCCTCTACATGCACCCAATGCAGATGATCATGGAGGATCCTCCAGTTATGAATCTCAAAGCTAGGACTTTAACAGTTTTGTGAGATATTTTATGCTTGTTAAAGCCACAGATAAGGAATATAAGCTCTCTGTTAATCATTAACCCCTTGATAATGCTTAAGGCTACCTTAAAGTCCTTTAAATCATGATCCAAAATGTTTTCAAACACACAAATTGCACTATTGTCACTTGCATTAATTTCTGATCTGATGTTTTATTTATTTATATTTCTAATATTCTCATTATCATTCATAATATTTTATTATTAGACATTTATATACAAATACACCCATGTCCTCATAGAGTATGGCTACTTTTTATTTTTATATTGAATAAATGTGAATAATGAATAAGTCATCACATCATGTCTTTTATAGCTATGTTTAGTATGTGGGAAGCATGATAAATATTATCTAAATAAGAGGAAGAAATGTATGTAAAAGTGAAAGAAATGTGTATCTTTATCCTTTGAGATACATGTTATTTAAAAAAAAGTAAAAATCAAATGGCACCATACATTTACATCTTAGGACAGTTAATGTTGATAATTATATTATTAGTTTTTTATCATTAATTATATTTATTTTAAAAAAAGGAGGGAAAATTGTTTAAAAAAATCTCAGATGAACATGGATTTTTCTGTAATAATATTTTTTTGAGAGCACTTTGCCTAGAAGAACTATTAATTTCATTTTGGCATTTTGCATTGGTTCACTATAAAAAGCTGAATCACTTTTCAGATTGTTGCCACCAAATATTAGAGCCCTGCATTATATTTAAAGAGATTAAATAAAGAAAAATCTGCATGAATATATGTATTTTTCTCACACTGTGAGAAAACTATGGTACATAGAGACACTAAAATTCTGAATAACATAGTCCTCCACTCAAATGTGGCCATCTGGAAGCCCGAATTTGTTTTTATTACCTATTTCATAATTTGTAAAACTTATCAAATAATTATAATGAATTTTTGATTAAAAAAACTGAAAGATTTCAAAACATTCCATTGATATTAACATCAGTTGCATCTTCAAGCAGAGATATTTTATACATGAGGCTCTTTTTTTTTTTTTTTTTTTTTTTTTTTTTTTTGTGATATTGCTATTGAATTTAATTTTATAGTTTAAGGGCGAAGAACATGATATTTAATAAATAAGGGTAGCACACAAAACGTTAAAAAAACTCCACTTTGGGCATATTATAAAATCTGAAGGCTTTCAGATTTTTTTTTTAGCCTTACCTGGAACTAAAGTTAGTCTGAAGTCTGATTCTTTTTATTGACCAGGGTAATAAAATTAATAATAAATACAATTGTTTTTAAAAATTTCATTATCCATTTAGAAAATTTTGCTTTAGAACATAATAAATTTCTTTGATAATCATGTAATTAATTTCATATTTCAATAATAATCATACACCTTTTTTAAATAATTCAGCAAGTGTAATTCAAATTAATTTAAAATAAAATTTTGCTTTCATCATTTTATGCATTTTATTGTAATTGTGATAATTATAGTTGTTAATTATTACCAGGAACTCTTCTCATGAGGATGGGTGTATTTAACATGAGTTCCTATTGATATATAATGATGCATTCTATGACTTTTATTTAACATCAATATTTGAAGATACAAATTATTCTACTGTGATTCATTCAAGGGGTTAAAACATAATTCTTCAAAATTTCTACTTCTAAGTGTTTAAAAAAACCCAGGAGTTAATATATCCAAAAAGCATTTTGCACAAGATATGTGCATATGTTGTGAGATGTATAAAGTTATACGCTTAGGAATAAATGTTAAAGTGTCATTTTTGCTTGGAAAATATCAACTTGTTTAGCCAAGAATGGGCTTCCTGTACCATAACAGACACATTTTTAAATGTCAGAATGTTAGATATAGTAAAAAAGAGAAAAAAATTGATTGTCTGAAGAACTGATATTCTTTTGTAAACTAGAGCGAAATCATAGCTGATATAAAACATACTGATGTATACATTTTCAATATTCCAAGAGTTTGAAAAATGAACACAAAGAAAATATAAAATGAATGTGAGATTCAATTTGATTTTCTACTCCTGGGTATATGCATATATGTGCGTGTAATAACAAAAGAAAAATATTTTGTTGCAATCATATATTCTATATAATCTTAAGTTGTTACATAATTTTTAAATATTATATAATACTTTGTAGTAAAATTAAGAAATTTTTCCATGATTAAAAAATCAGTAGAAAGATATTTTATGATAACTATTATGTTATAAAAGTCCTTATGCATCCAGTATTTTGCTTATTAAAGTACTGAGTTGTAAATTTAAATAATTTGCATCAACATATTTTTTGTTTAATTTTGAATGTTTTGTACCAACATTATTTAAGCATATCACAACAGATTTATTTAAAAGAAACTGAAAGTTTGTGGGTGTAACTGAATACATTTTTCAATGCTGTAAGTTTAAATTATATTAAAAAAGGTATTGCTGAAACTATGACTAAAAGGATTTTGACATTGTTACTTATCAGAAGTACCATAATTTGGTACTTATGAGACTAAGTATTATTACTATTATAAAATATTTGTAGATTTATAATTATTTATTGTTTTTAAATGTTTTTAGAATTTTTTAATTTTATATTATTATAAATATTTTATAGTTTGACTCAAATGTTTTGATAACTTTATTTTGTATATAGTGGTAGTTTAAATATTTCTTTTTTAAATAATTCTGTAAATAATAGTTTTTTCTGTTTTTTTCCCCAGTACAATAGTAATATCTTCCTTTGTACATATAACAACTTTCAAACATGTTTCTTATCCCTTTTTATATACTTATGCAAATTCAGTTTTACTTTTATTAGCTTTAATAAATTTAATTTCAGGATTTATTTATTAAATAGAAGGAATATAATTGAAAAGTTGGTCTTAAATTCACATCAAGACATACATTAACTATCAAATTATCCTTTTTTGTGTTATTATCTGAAATAATATGTAACCAGGAATCTTTCCATAAGTATTATCATATTTAACGTATTCCATAAAAAAATAACGATATTAATAACATTAGCTTATTTATATTACATTATTTATAATAACAGTGCCTGGATAAATATTGCACAACCATAATTAATTCCTAAAATTGGAACTCGTGAATAATTCATGAATTTATTACTACAAATAAGATAACACAAAAGTCTTACATTTCCAGACTAGTATATTCAAGAGCAATACTTTCACCAGAATCTCATACATATATTTCTATTGGTTTCATAATTGTTTTACATTTAATGTACATTATATTTCCATGTAATCAATATTTTATTCAAAGAAATCAATTCACATTGTTAAATTTTATTTTACTCTTCTTAGCATCTCAAGAATGGTAATCTAACATAAAATAAGAACTAGTTCCAAATATTAAAAAAAAAAAAAAAAAAAAAAAAAAAAAAAAAAAAAAAAAAAAAATTGTTTATAAAATATGACAATATGACAAAATTTTATTATAAAAATGTACAACAACTGGAGATTACATTCATTTCAGCTATATTAACTATTTAAATATTACCTTTTTGCTTTAGTAAAATCTATAATCATGTAATAAAACTTTGAAAGCTTGCCACCACTTTAGAAGGTACTACCTATACTCAAAACTAATATACTCAGACCTGTTTTCATTCTGCATAAATATGTTAAGCTATTTTAATTAATTGACAAAAGCTAATTTAAAAATTATTGTAGTTAAGTAATTGAATATAAAAAATTTTCATCTCTCACTATGCTCTTTTAAAAAATTATTTTTGAAAATACCATGAACACATCAAATATGATTTAAAAACTCGTTCATAAGTTAATCGTTCATTCATTTTTTTTTGTCTTATAATGTAATGGAAATTAAAATAGATTTTTTAAAAAATTTTTATGATGTAGAATAAAATTCTTAAAAAAGTTCTATTTTCAGATCACATTCTAAGTATTTACATTGGAAAATAATTTATATGTATTCATCACACATAGTGCATCTACACTCTTTACATTTTACTGTATATAGTAAAACATAAAGAGAGCAATATGTGAAATAATTAGTTTCATCATAAATATTTTATATTTATGCATATAGTATATAAAATAAAATATTTACGATTAAACTAATTATTTCATTCTCCAATATTAATACTTTGTATAACTCAATATTGTTTTCAGAATTTTTTCCCTGTATACAATAAAATGTAATGGCATTTATAATTTCTAAATTTAAAATGAACAGAATGTGAATTAGTTAAGCTGTATTAATTAATTAATTTTAAAAGATCTTGATAAAGAAAAGCTTAAGTTTATATGTAATTACAATTTAAGGAAGTTTTTTAACTTTTTATGTTTCCTTTCATATTTATTTATCATTCATTTCTTTGTTTAACTATAATGTCTTGTACTCTATTTTTTATTCCTTTTTTAACCTACCTTTAAAAAAAATCTGCAATAATCAACTAAGTTTATTACGTATGGTATTTAGAATTTTTTTAAATTTAGATCTGCTAGAGTAGACAAAAATTTTTGAGTTACTATAAATATGTATGATAACATTTTAAAATTTGGAAACATGTCTATTTCTTTATGGATTAATAGCCTTATGCTGCTTTAAGGATTCAGCAAAGCTGAATGATTATTTTGATCTTATATTGTTGAATAAATACGCTGCATGGAAAATTTAGAAAATAAATTTAACATCTAAATAATAACCCAACTGCTAAAATATGAAAAATTAATTATGTGTATTTGTTAAATTTATTTAACTGCAATAGCTATAAAAAATTAGACATCACTATTGAGGACATTATACACAGTCTTTTAAAAACTAAACATTGCAGTACTTCAAATATTAATTAAGACTTTCTAAGAATTTCTTCTTCCTTTTTTTTTACTTGCACATATAACTATTTCTTTTCTTTTCTCTCTCTTTTTTTTTTTTTTTTTTTTTTTTTTTTTTTTTTGTTTGTTTAATTTGTTTTTCTATTTTCTCCCTGTTTCAAAATTCTGAAATTTTGCAGTAAGCAATTTTGAGTTAAAAGTTATTTATATGTTCGTTAAGGATATGTTTTAACTAATAAGCTTTTTGTAAAAATGAAATAATGGGACCAATATCATCAACATTAGAACTTAACAGGTGTTTTTAATTTATACAGGTAATAAATATTTCTGTGGATGCAATATAATTTTTTTATAGTGTAATTTTTTATTTGTAAATTCTTAGCTGTTTCAACATTTACATTCTTCGATTTATTCTATGAAGCGAGCATGCTCCATAGTTTAGAAAGCATTTTGTATTTTGATATTTCTTGAATTGTGTCTTGCCTAGTTTCTTGTTTTGTCTATTTGATTTTATTATATTATAGAATTTGCAACTGGATTTATTGTACTGGCATTACAACAATACCAAATTCTGGCAATCTCACTTTAGTTGTTTATCATTCTACATTAATATTTCCTATTGCACTATTGAAAGATTTGATTGAAAAATGGGTTTTCCTGCAATTTGTTTCAATTAAAATGATTAATTATTTCTTTAAGAATAACTATCTGAGAACCAGTACATAAAACATTTTATGATCAATGTAAAAAGACTAATGGCAAGATTAAAATTAACCAGATTCTACAAAGCTAGATGAGAAGATTGAAAGTAAATTTTCATATGGAAGCAGTTTGAATCTTTTGCATTAACTTTTGTTTAAATTTTAATTTATTGGCATTATGAAAGAAAGCTTTTCTTATGCTTATTTACTTTCTATGCTTTGTCAGCTATTAAAACATGTCACTACCTTAAAAGAAACTGAAATGCAAGCATTTAATTATGCAATTTTTATTACATGCCAAATAAATCCGTGTTTCTCATAGATTTAATATAATAGTACTGCAAATTTGGGTAATATTATATGCGACAAGATTCTACTGTAAATCTTGTGTTACAGTTTCTGTCATTACTTTGTATTTTATGTACAGTTCTATAACATAATTTATATATATATATATATATATATATATCCAAAAAGTGTACAGTACTAGATAAAATTATCTGTGAAATAATTATGAATTATTAAAATTGTGTGAGTTTTAAACTTCGCATGATAATGAGTTTCATGCAGTATATTTATGCTATTATAATTGTTACAACTCAATGCATGATCAGCAAGTATTAAATATCTAAAAATTGAAAACAAAATAAAATGTTAACTGATAAATCACTGTTGCATGTAAATTAAATGCAAATTTTAATATGTACAGTATTAATGTTGATTAGATTAACTAATAACTATAAAATCAAATTTTGTCCCTGACAATCTGTTACATTCTAAATATTTTTCTAAATAATGCTATTCTTTCCTTTAATAAATTTTAAATAATGTAAGCAATAAAGTTCCAATTTGCTTTCAATTTTAAGAAAATGCTAGTTATGCATTGTCTGAAATTATGATGTAAAAATATAATAAATCTTATGCAATATTCCTGCATCATAGGAATAACTGATCGAACCGTCTTTCAGAATAATCATCTTTTAAAATTATTATACCTAACTACAGATAAATAAAATACTATAAATGTGATTGTTACATTAAAATACTAATTGTTATTAAATATGAAAAAATTTTTAATTGCCAAATTTTATAAATTTATTATTAAATTTAAAATGAAATCAAGTCCAAATAATATTATACTAAAAATGATAAAAATATTTATAATTATTTTAATTCAGGAAATATTTTAAGTTTCTTTATCAATTCTAATTCCTTAAAAAAATCCGTTGTAAGCATTTATATAATTATTCACTGCTTTAAAAATCAAATGTTTTGCACTCGCATAGAGTGAGGAAATATGAAAATATACACTCAGTTTTGTATAATTATTGCAAATTACTATAGAGTACTTCCAAGGATAAAATTTAAAAAATATATATTTATTTTTTACAAATGATATGAAAAATAATTCTTTGTGTCACTTGCACTAAAATACTAGAAATAAATCTAACTTCTTAAATCACAGTATTCAGAACAATGTCTTTTTTACGTTGTTCTGAGTTGTTTATAAAGAATATTAGTAATAATCTGCATAAAAATTTACTAAATGTCAAACTAATATTAAATAGAACCAAGATGTTTCATATAGTTTTTAATTTATTCATTCAAATGTTTATTATTATTTTTAAAATTTCCATATATATTCACTAAACGTGTGAACCTCATGTTTAATGCAAAGATAATGAATGTAAATGACAAGTTTATTAAGCTCTCACTGATATGGATACTTTGAATTGTACAGTATTAATGAGCTTTTTAAAATGTAATTATTATTTTGTATCTTTGCTATTTACCTTATGTTTATAAACATATGAGATAGAAATTTTTCTTGTACTTTGATGTTAACAATATCTGTAAAAAAGAATGTCAGATTCGTTTGTTGCATGTCAAAGGAAATGCAGAAGAAGAAATGTAATTACATATAAAATATTTCAAAAAAAGGTTTTGTGTCTGAGATTTTAACACAGATTTAATCATAGTAACATAACATTCCAGATACCAATTTCTTAAATGTCTTCAAATAAATCTTCAAGTTCAAAGAACATACAATCTGCCTTGTGTTATGAATGTGAAAGATCCAGAATCACATTCAGCTAACACTACTTTTATATTGTCAAAACTTGTGTGATTGACAAAACAGAAACATTTTTTACCTGTGGCTAATGCAGGTAATTTGAAAACATGATGGTTTATATTTTCTGAAATACGGATTCTAGAATTATACTTACTCTTTTGTGTAGTATAATAGAAAATTTTGGAAAGCAGTTTCAATGTGGTGGGTTGGTATAGGGGGTGGAGGTTATGCAAAAACAAAATCTAGCAATTTGTAAGAAAAATTTCACTTGGCCAAAATATTCATGATGTCTTAAAGAGCTAAAATCAAAAGGTTCCCATAATGCAAATATATATATAGATATTCCAGAATGAAATTACTAACATTTTAGTAAATGTTCAATATCTGTTACAGACTTCAAGACCTTTACACAAAATTAAAAAGTAGCTACAAAGTGCAGAATGTTGTTTAGATCATTAATAGTTTATGCTAGCAAATAATACTCATTGTTAAATTTTATACTTAGCTCCTTGCAAATGAATATTTAACACATCTTTGTGTTTTCTCATGGTAAGATTACTTAAACAAAACTTATTCTTGCAATATTTCAGGTTGTTTCCAATGCGTACGACACTTTTTTTTTTTTTTTTTTTTGGAGGGATAGAGATTTACTAAATTATAATTTTTTTATTATTACATTATTTTTTCTTCTAGGATTATTCTTTTTATCTCCCCCCTCTTCCCCAGAGCAACTACAAGAATGTGGGTCGCAATACTTAAAAAGTTTAGAGAACTACTGTCGTAAATTATTATAATCTGCCTTCTGTTTTACGAATATTTCATATTTTTTGCTAAAACTATTTCTTTCTATCAGTTTTGTGAAGTAAATATGTGTCACATCAGGTGACAAGAATTCATTACAAAATTAGTGTTTTCACATCGATAATAACCTCATAATGCACAAAATTGAGGTTGATTTTAATTTTTCTCTTAAGTGATACATAAAAACAATATAAATTTTGAATCAACTGTAGATTTAAATGAATCATAGTAGAGGCTGTTTAAAAAAGGTGATTGTAGGCTTTGAGTGATTGCATTCAAAACCTGAGTTACCTGAGAATTAACATAAAAAACTAATTAAAGTTTAAAGAACTATAAAATAAATAACCACTAACAGCTTGGTACTAGACAAGGGGTGCACAATTCAAATCTGTGAAGAGCCATTTAAGAAATGTTGAAATTGGTGAGAACTTTAAAACAAATATTTTATTGGTAACTCTTACTATTATACTTAAGCAATACCAACCAAAGATACACACTTCATATTAACTACATATAAAACATAATCAAAAACTTGAAAAATGATGTACTATTTTGATTCTGACTTGTAATATAAATATTAATATTTACACAATTGCAAATAATGATTCACAAGTTTATGTCATTTAAGAAATAGAAAAGAGAATTTGTTTGTGGTAAACAAGCACGATTCAAAATGTAAATGAGAAAATTAAAATTCTATCATCCTATTTTAATTATATAATCAGATGGTACCAAATAATTTTAACTTACTTTCACAACTTCGATGACAGAAGAAGAAGCTCTTGAATCATGTTGAAATGAAACTTGAAAAGCAAGAAACCATGTTTTGTGAGTAGCACTACCTTGGCTCACTTATCATTCTTTGGCAGCTAAAAGAATCCTTCTTTTTAGCCCAGAGGGGCTATTAATTTTGTTTTGGCATTTTGCATTGAAAACTTTAAATGTCGGTTCACTTTTCAAACTATTACAGTCCTGTATTATATTTAAAGAAAATTAATAATGAAGAATCTGTATAAATGTATGTATGTTTCTCGCATTGTGATAAAATGACAGTACCTAAAGCCATCAAATTTTGAATAATGTAATCCTCCTGTGAATATGGGCATCTGGAAGCCCAAAGTTGGAATTTGTTTCATTATCTATTTCATATTTTGTAAACTAACGAATTTTTGATTAACAAACTCAATGATTTCAAAGCGAGCAATGACAACACTGTACGGGGAAAAAACACATTTTTATATCCAGCATGCGAGACTGTGTATTGGAAATTCTAAAGATATGCCCATTTAAAAATTAATTTGCAATATTGGTGTCGAACTGCATCTTATGGTTTAAGTGCGAATAACATATTTAATAAATAAAGGTAACTCATAAAACGTTAAAAAAAAAGCTCTTTAGGTGTAATGTAAAATTTGAAGGCTTTCTTTTTTTTTTTTTTTTTTAAGAGGGCTCTTTTTTGCTTATATAAACTGCATATTCAGTTATGTGCAATTACATAACAATCCAACTTTTGTGAAAACAGCAAAATTTTGCTACAATTTAAAACTAAATTATGTAAAAGTACTGTAAAATTGAAAAAAAAAAAAAAAAATTTTTTTTTGTTAAGTAAAACTGGAGAAATTTTGTAAGACATTTACAATAGGATTTTATCCTTGCAACAAAACCGATTTTTTTTCTTTTAAATAAAAATTTTGTTCAAAACAAACAAAATGTACATGTTTTATAGTGTTAATCAATTCCTTTTTCTGTGTGCAAGCTACATTATTAAAATATCAGTGACAGGCCATAGAAAATTACCCAGAGGGCTATATGTAGTGCACCCCTGTACTAGATCATTTCAATTATGTTCAAAGCATTACAAATATTTCTCTAGCTGATGAAGTAACAGAACTTTTATTTACAATAACTGTTAATATAATTACAAATTTTATTGAGGTAGGGGAAATGGAACTATTAGCTGAAACATATTTTTAATTTTTAAAATAGTAGTTGTATTTCAAAAATAATATGCAAATATAATAATTGGACTATGCATTATCCTCCTAAGATTTATTGTACACAAACTTCCAACAACATTATCATTACTAACTGACATTTTCAAAATGCAATCAACATTAATATAAGTGATTAGAAAAATGTCACTTTCTGCACACCTGACATTGCTTTAATTGCTCCCTTAACATTAAATATATTTGACAGAAATAATTTTGATAATCAATAATATGTTTTTAAAAAGTAATCTGTTTGTCCAGTTCTATTAAAAAAATCACTAAGAGTTTGAAAAATGTATTGACTTCATTTGATAATTCACTATTAATAGACAGATACTCATTACAACATTAGTGTGCATCATTAATGCATTAAAATTGCACACAATTCACTAGAACATTAGTGGTGCTTCATCAATGCAAGTCATAACCCAATAAAAGAAATGCGAGCTCACAGATTTAATGCTAAAACTGCTCTCAAAATGAATACATAATGTGAGCTGAGTAAAGCCAAACATAGCATGATCATCATTAGACACCAATCTGGTCATTCCATTTGCAAGACTTTTGCAAATTCTAAATGCAACAGTGAATGATATATTAACGAAAAGAAAATATGAGAGACTTATAAAACTCAATTCCAAACTCTGAAGCCCAAAAAATTGACATATTAGAACTGTCAATACTTTGGATGTGCAATGAATCGATTCAGCAGGCCTCATTAGAGCTTACAGTTACAAATTTTCAGATTATAAATTGTTTATGGGAAGTTATGCTAGCTTTTGTATTATCTGTTGTATGATATTTGCATTTGAATTATGTGGATCAACTGTAATATGCAAGCTAATGATCACTGAATGAAATGTTACCCATTGACTACAATTGTGTAAAGAACAATGGAAGAACATTTTGTAGATAAAGGAAATCGCACTATATATTGTGGAGATCTTATGGACAGCAATTATCCAGGAAACACTACTTGCTGGAGAGTACAGAAACACACTGTCCTCTACGAAATTTTGTGTAGGAGGAATTCCCATGTAAGCCAGTTTTTCTTCACTTGATCTTGGTCTGCCAGGTTCCCCCCCCCCCCAGAATCTTGAAAAACCTAAGTATTCAAGATTGTGGGCATTACAGTTCCATTTTGCTACTTTATAACAACAGCATTCTGCAATTGGCCTATAATGATAACATGGTCGTTCTTAAAGCACAGATCATAAGAGTGATTTGGAACAAAAAATTTGACTGAAAAAAAGAAAGTCCTATTCTTAACCCATATGAGCATGCATCTTTGGGATCAATTAGGATGGTGGTTATGAGCTCATCTAAAGTGCTGTGATACTAATAGGGTGTATTATACCTATAGACACATCAGGATAGCAGAAAATTTTCTGAAAAATTAGCTTCTTCTCCTTCTACCATTGAAGGGTTCCCAACCAAAATAGTTTTGCTGGAACTGATGTCCGAAGCAGCTACGAGGACATTTTGCAATTGAGATGAATTGGCAGTACTGTGAATGTCAAAATCGTAATTAAAAACCCATAGTTACAAGCATATTTTATTAAATCTTATTCTACAATTAAAATTTTAAACACATGTAAAAGAAAATTTCTGTCAAACCAGTTTTATATTTTTCTCTTATTTTGTACCATTATATCGGTACGGCCATATAAATCTTGCTAATGAAACTCTTTTTTTTTGCATAATTTAAACATCCCCATTTCTCATGCACAAATTTTATAAGGCTTCATTATTGATTCACAATATTTTAAATTGTAGACTTTATTTATTTGTATAACATGTTCTAAAACAATGAAGCTCCGTTAATGGGCGAGTAAATGAGACTACTGGACACTGGTAGTTTGTTTCAGGTTTAATTCCTAGTGACTGAATGGAATTTTTTCATTACTTTAAGCCATAAATGCAAACTGTTTTTCCTTGGAAAGTCTTCTAATACAAAGGCATCTTTCTTTAACAGATAATTTTCTAAACACTTTCATGAAATCAATATATAATTTGTCAAAAAGCTTTATAAAGCAAATCAATGGACTGATAATTCATTTATCTCTGTTATGTACAAAATTATTTATGTCGTTTTAAGGAAATACATAAAATTTAATTTTCATTTCATACATAAATATAATATACAGAAATAACAGACAATTCATATTCTTTAGAGAACAAAACTATAACTATAAATTTTATCATTAAATGAATAAATAATATAAATATTCAGATGGAATTAAAATTATAATAGAAAAAAATATTTTACAATTATTCTTTATGCCTGAAATTTATAGAAGATGGCACAAATATCACTTTCATTAAAAATGTATAAGAATTAAACCATCTTTTATAAAAATAAATCACACATTCTTATGTGCAGTTTAAGAAAAACAAATTAAAATACTGAACTGATAATAAATAACGGGTTAAAAAAAAAAAAGAAAGTTCAACAGCACTAGTGGTGTATAAAAATATCTATATAAATATTAAATTTTTGAAAATTCAGCACAATCTGTACAATGTGTTTTTTGTGTAGATAAAAATTTTTGAAAACACAGCAGTCACTGTTATTAAATTTAGTAGCAGATGTTTTTTGTCATTATCTTTTGCAGAATTTTTCACTTATTTCATTGCTCATTTCATTTGTGTCATCATCAGAGCACAAATATTAAAGCTTCAAAATTCAATCATAAGTTTTAAAAAAATTCCATTTAGGGACCTTCTTAACGTACAAAATGTTCTGGAATATATTGTTCTAGAAACTTCATAACTAATTATTTGACATCCTTAAAGATAAGCTTTCTAATTTTGGTGGCAATCTCTGAAAAATAACAAAAAAGTATAATAATAAAGATGCTTTAAATTCATAATCATATACAACTTAAATTTCTTATAAATTTTCACACAATTTAATGCAGTCTCTAAAATTAAAATAATTTGCAAGTATGAAATTGAAAAGAGATTCTGTACAGAATTTCTTTTCAATTCATACTTGCAAATTATTCTGTAGAGAAGATCCAATTTATCAATATAAAAATAAGTAGCCAAAATAAATTTAATAATCATACCTTTTTACACAATGCTTCTATCTTTTTAATATCCAAAACTGGGGCTATAGAAGGCCTACCATGAGCACACTGAAAAGGTAATTTGCAGTTTGATAGCAAATTTAATAAATTCTCGCATTGAGACAAACTTAGTGGATCACCAAATTTTACAGCACCTAAATACAAAATATGTTTAATATGAGACCATTTTCAATTAAAAACATTTTTACAGAATAAGGAGTTGATTACAATGTAATCAATGCATATTAAAGTAATAATTACAAAAGTAGTACGCCCATATTTGTAAATTCTATGCATTGAATGGTTTGAAGGACATGCCATAAACTTTAAACTATTCTTCCTACACAACCTTAATTACCTAAATCATAACCCAGTTTAACAGTATGGAATTAAGCACAGATTCCCTTTGAACATTATCTGCTGAATCTTTCAGCAACATTTTGAGAGCCTTTCAAGATCTCACTGCAAGAAATACATATATTATTCTCGGTACTAAAGTAGGTAATATAAAAATACAACTAAATTCTGCAGACTTCAACACTGAAACTGTGCTACAAATTTCACATTTTCATTTTCTTCAACAAATAAGCAAAGCTAGCGAGAGTACAATAATATTTTCTATCTTAACACTTTTTTATTCTTAAATTTTATGGATTTGTTATGAAATATATGAGCATTTTTTAACATTCTGAATACTAATTTGTGATATGAATGTCTGTAAGTAGTTTCTTGGCACTTGTTGAAATGCCATTGCTATGCAGTTTAGATGTTAAAATAGCACACATTCTATATTGCATCTTATAAATAATTCTAAGAAGCAGATTAATTGTGTTATCATATAATCACTGAGCTATGTATCAATATGCAAATTCTAAAACATTTATGCAATATGAGCATTAAAACCAAATGTCAAAGCAATAATTCCAGAATGAAAATTTGCCCTTCCTGTGCACATTTTGCTATCTTTGAATTAAAAAAAAAAGTTAAGTATTTGCTACAATACAGGCACAGTCCATGAAAGTTATCCATAATTCTGTATTAGTATTTAAAGGCAATGGCTATGCATTCTAATGAGGAGAAAAAACTTTGGAATGGAGGACTGAGATAAAAGTTAGCAGCTAAGAATACACGTACAGAAAATGAAATCACAATTAAAGTTTGAGATCTGGAATTGTCAGGACTTGTGTCAGGACTTTGCTGTGTGTGTCAGGACTGGAAAATGTGAAATTTGTAGCACAGTTTAGGTCAGGTAGAAGAATGCTAACCCCCAAAAGGGCCAGTCCAGCAGACGAAGCACCAAAAATTTTAGAATTTACAGGAGCATCCATGCAGCAAAAAGTAGGAATGCAAAATTTTCAGAATTTATGCGAGGTACTGGGGGACAACATTTTTAGAATTTAGGGAGGTATGCAGAAGCAGAATTTAGGACCCACAGAGATTGCATCTGGCAGCAAAATGTGTAGCAACAGGCCTATTTCTAAACAACCTCTCGAAGGTGAAAACTATGATCGTGGCCAATTTCAAGACTAAGTTTATCAATATTTTGTTACTGGCTTCCTAGCCAGCAGCATTTGAAAATAATATACAATAATATTAGTTACTGGGCAGAAAAATCAAATTTAAATCAAGCCTGTTTCTTTCTGCTGAATAATTTATTCTCCATTCCCAGATTTCACAAGGAAGGTTTTTTTTTTTAATTATTTTATTTATTTTTTGATGTGTTGTCTAGATGTCTGGCTATTAGACCATTCCTGATATTGGATATCTGAATTCTGAACTTTGTACTATATTATAATTCTATAACTACTTGTTTTTTAAGGAAAAGAAAGAGCTTATACAAAAATAAAATCAGGAAGTAATGTGGCTGGCATATATGCAGCTGTTTGGCATGTCATTCATGCGAACACCCCAGTTGGTGTCTGATGTCCAGTTGGTATGACAGATACAAATTCAGTACCATCTAATTAGAAGGCTAATTCATTCATATTTTTAGATGGACTTGGATGATACCACATACATAATAGCACACATATGATCTATAGGAAAGAGACTGGGTGATCTGGCTAGCCAGGGATGAATACTGATAGCATAAGAGCATTCACTGGAAGATACTCCAAGGCTCCTGTGACAGGAAAACAAACACAACAGGTGTTAGAATTTCAGTGACCTATTGCTGTGTCAAATGACTATCAAGCAGTTTGGACTATCGTATGAAATCAAACCCCACAGCACTACAAAGTGTATGAAATTTGTATGGTATCTTAACTATGGGATTAGTGTTTAAGCATCCAGTGTAAAATGTGGCTAATTGCTAATGAGGAGTACTAAACTAAAAATGTGGTTAATTGCTAATGAGGAGTACTACTAAGCACCATTTCATATTAAATGAGCTTAGTGACACTACAGTCACTGCTGATAATGTTGACTGATTAAGGCTCATTAGAAGAATAGGCATCAGAAGTACAGATCCTGCTCTTGTAATCATATAACAGTGAACTGAGTCATGCCTATGCTTATAATATGACAAATAATTAATAATGACATACCCAATAGTTTATAGCAACAATCCAGTTCAGTCTGTTTTTTCATCATTGCTCTTTTTTCCATTCTGTTATTATACAGCTCATGCACATCATTCTTGCTAATGATTTCTGCATTAGTTGCTAGTTCATATCAGGCACAAGTTTAAAGTCAAGATAATTTTACAATTAATGAAAGAAAATGGACTGAAATTTAAGTTTTATTTCTGAGAACAAATATTGTTGTTCATAACAAATCACAATTTCAGTTAAAGCGTAACTTCAGTTACTACTACAATTACTACAGTCAAAAGTCGTTAATTTGGACACCCATAATCCGGACCTCAAAGCTAAAAACTTTCTGCGCATGTGCCGCATTGACACATGCACATAGGCATTTATGCATGCGCGTAAGACCTTTAAGACTGCGCATATGCGTGTGCGCAAGCGCAGAATATGTTTTCGCGTGCGCGTTTTATGTATAACGGACGGTATAAGCTAAAAATATCTAATTATCTATTTCAGTTAATGTTGATGATTGCGTTGTTCTTTAATCTTGGAATTGGATCCAGCTTATTATTTTCTGCAGACTGTAAGAGCAATGTTATAAAAATAAACTTGAACTTTTGATTATGTCAAATAGAATTTGGAGCTCCCAAAGGATCTACAAAACGAAAGTATGTTTCGATGTCCATCAAACAAAAAGTGGAATTGCTGCAAAAAATAGATAAAGACATGAAGAAAGTGACAGAGAGGTTAGTGGAAACGAAAAAATTTCGATTGATAAGTTAGTCGGCATTCTCGGCACAGCAATTACGGGACTTGAACAGCAGAACTTTGTAACTGAACAAGAAATTATGTCTGTTTATAGAATTAAAGAGAAAGTATTATCACATAAAATGAAGCAACTTAAACAACTTACATTGAAAGAAATGTTTAATAAAGTAAACAAATAAATATTAAGCTTTTTTTTTGTAAATTTTGATACCCTTTAGATCATAATTGTTCTTTATTTCATGAATTACGGTTTCATATTTTTAACTTTAGAATTTCTGTATGCCATCTTACAAGATTTAAACTGATGATCTATAATCCGGAATCACAGAAGTCCCAACGAGTCCGGATTAACGACTTATGACTGTATTACATTGCTGGCCATAAATATTTAATCCTTTACATCTTTACTCATTTGATACTTATGTGAAGTTTCATTTCAAATGAAACATTTTGGGGAGAATGCTTTGCCTCCTTTATTTATCAAAGGTTGCATATAAATTTTAAAATATATATGAATTCTGGAATCACTCCCCTTTGTGTGAATGAATATGTATATCATATTTACTCATGTATTTCTCCCTCTTTTTTTACCAGCTTTATTGTATAAAAATTAGAGAGGAAAATTATGCAAATAATTTAATTTTAAAGAATGAGGTTACAGTAAAAATATAATGAAAAATATTCTTGGATAACTACTGGTAATTATCACATTATTTATTTAAAAGAAACCTACATTCCAGTATGACTACATAGTAATATTACATTAAAGTATTTAACAAGATAGTTTTATTTCTACTATGTCTTGAATCTCACCCCCTCTTATTGTTGTCCATAACTACTCCCTAGGCCCCTAAATCATGTATTGCTGCTGGAACTACTGTCTGTGTCACCTGCTTTAGCTTGCAAGTTGTCACTGATAACATCTTTATCACAGTTCAGTCTGTCTTCTCATATGCAATGATCTTGCCATAAAGGATATTAAATATTTCCTTTTTCTTGAAGCTCTTTGCTGTTATTGCTTCAGCAATCAGATTCCATGCACTCAAAATCCATGAGCAAATCAATAAGACAGAAACTACCATTACATGGATAAAACCATTTTTAAATTTTGGGAAGCTAAATTTAAGAATACCTTGAAGTAGGGGAAATTATATGGACTTTTAAAAAAAATTTCAGAACTTTGGGCTAAAGGTGGAATATGCAAGTAAATATGTTATACACATATGTAATAATTTTAAAATTAGTAGATGAAAACAGTGAAACTTTTAACAGCTTAGATACTGCATAGATGACCAAGAAAACCATAGTGGCTTGAAGGTGGCAGAGTGGAAAGCACGATGATGCAATTTAGCACAACGTATCTTGAAAAATCACAATCTTTATTGTTTCATGTATATCAAACCATCCTTTTGCAGATAAGATGTTTCCTAATTATATTTGAATACAGTAATTTCCAATTTGCAGTATGATGTCATCTTAAGCAAGTAAGCAGCAGCAGCATGGATGAAAAAGCGTCTTGCCAGTAGTAGAGCTTATGCGAAAAAGGGTGAGCGTCATAGAACTTTAGAGGAAGAAGTGTGGGAAGCGGAAAAGTTTCAGTTCAGAGCTTTGGTTTACAATTAATTTGATGGACAAGAGGTAACTGCATTAAAACATTACGTAAGATAGAAAAATCTGGAACCTGTGAGAAGAGATGAATTTAGGGGCAGATCACCAAATTTAGAATGTTAATTTTGAGGTCGCCAATTATTTTTTTGAAACAGCTATCATATTTTGTTTTATCTTACATATATGTATATGCATAAATTAATAAAATATAACATTTCTACATTCATTGAAAGCAATCTGTTATCTATTTCTATTCCACTACAAAATGTGCTTTTTTAATCAAGGCTACTAAAAGCTTAGTAAATAAATAATTACAAAATTATATGAAAAATTTTAAGAAAGTTCTTACATGAAAATACAGTTAAAAAAATTACACACCTCGACAAGCTTGTGAATTTAACACTGAGCTCAAAGTCTTTGGTATAATATAAGAGAGACTTCTAGTTTGTATTAAAGACGTTAACCACTCTCGGATCAGTTTCTGCATAGAGTAAAAAGAATAAATAAATAAACACCAAAGAGTAGATATTTGTCACAATATATAAAAATAGATAGAAAAAGTAAGAATAAATGAAATAGATGAACATGCTTATTTGAAAATGCAGAAATGCTCAGACACAAGTACATTTTATTTTATTTTGAACAAAATTTTAATTATGTTTGCCACCAACAAGTACCAATAATTTCTTTAAACATCAGAAAGTAAAGTAACTATTGCACTACAAAATTTTCAAACTTTTTATAAACTACTTTTGTTGTTTTTCTCCTGAGTGGAAATACCAGCTATTAACTAGATGTCCAGTATGTGGCATTAACTTATTTTATGCAAAATTTTGGGCAGTTATCTTATAATTTCTAGAAATTATTTTTAATACAATGAACAAAATTTATACAACAAAATAGAAGAGTTTACATAATAAGATGATATATATAAATACAGACTTCATCAATTTAATGAATAAAAATCAGAACAGGACAGTTAAGAACAAAATATATCAAATACACATAAAATTATAGTTGTTATTACTTCAACTAACAATGTGTTCAATCAAAAATGTGTGATGCTTATTGATTACACTGCCGCATCATATCTGACAACAAACAGAATCTCCCGTGTTATTCATGCATTCATAAAATCTTCATTTCTTCAATTATTATACAGTTGTTAAATAAATTCAGAAATCCCTCCTTTGCCATATTTTCAATATAAGTATATTATGTTTTTAATTTAAATTCTTATTTTATTAAACAATATACCCAATATGTTAGAGACATAAGAATAATTAATTTATCATAACTCACTCATGATTCAGAAGTCAAACAACAAAAATCAGCGTTAATTCACAAAATTTTGTGAATTAACGCTGATTTTTGTTGTTTGACTTCTGAATCAGTATTTATTCGGCGTGTTATTGTGTCTTAATTATCATAACTCATTCAGATGAACTAAATGATGTGTGCCCATTCTGCCAGTTGAATTCTAAATGAATAAATATGCCAGGTAAATTTTTAGAAATCAGTACACATTATTTTTTAATATTCTTAATACTTTTTTATATGTATAATAGATATTATCAAGATTCAGATTGAATGAAAACATAGTATTCCAGCAGAAAAACTTATTATACTAAATAGCATTACAGTTTTCTGTACATAATGATTTCACCTGAATATTCATTTCTACATTTTCACTATATTTCTTAAAGCATTTTATTTCAAATCATTCAACCCCCCTCCTCCCTTTGAGGAATATTAGATGGAATTTCAAAATAAATAACATTTAGAACTATATTTTCTTTATTATTTGGTATTTACCATTTCCCATTCTATATGATCACCAAAAGTCATTTAAAATCTGTTTAAAAAAAAGCAAAATGATCCCCTTAATATAGAATCGAACTTAATATCATTTATGGAAAATGCAGATATGTTTTTATGTATTTAGCTGAAAAAAATCTGATGAAAAAATAATTTTTACATATTTTAATTTCCAGTAGTTAATATACGTTTTCAAATTTATAATATGAAAATTTTCATGGATTTTTATAATATAGAAAGGAAGTTAAGTTTTAGATGGGTACATTAATGAATTTTGGTTCTTTTAACCTTTAAATGGCCAACATAATTGTGGCAGACCTTTTTGTTTGAACCTCAGTGTACTTTTTGCAGAGAGAAAGAAAGAAAACATTTGCTGTGATACTAGACATCTAAGTATTATTATTATTATTTTTTTTTTTGTGATTAATTTATGATATTTTCAGACCCTAGATGCTGAAAGCATATAGATAACTTAAAGCATTCAGCTCATCTTATTTCAAAAAAGAATCCAGAACTTGTGCTAAGATTTTCACTAGAGGAAATTATTATTTTGAGGTTTTGATTTTAGAAATGTCCTCAAACATTTATTGGGAGCTTGATTATTGTCACTGTTGATGCAGAGAGGGCAACAGTTGTACTAGTGCAGCATAGTGGATAGCAACATGAGATGTATTTAACAGTAGAAACATTAGACTTTCATATCTGCATGACTTTTGAGTGGAGTGAAAAGGACATAGCTATTTATTGCCTTGAACATGCTCAGTTTTATGTCTACAAAACAGCATTTGCGGGAAATGTTACTCTTCTGCTTTTGTCTCAAGAAATCTGCTGTGGAAGACAACAGATTTCATTGTTTGGATATAAAGAATGCATGGAGAATATGCTCTGGAAACAATGTGCAGAGATTGGTTTCAATGACTCAAAGACAGCACTTCTAAGGTGAGTGACAAAATGCATCCTGGTCAGCTGAAAAAGTTTGACAATGGACAGTTAAAGGCATTACCAGCAAAGGATTCATCTCAGATATGCAAAATGCCAAAACAAAATTAATTGTCCTTTTGGGTAGACTGCCCCTTTGGACTAAAAAGAAAGGAAGTTAAGAATGGAAATACTGCAAGATTTTTCACACTCGATTTTTACTTCCAATCATGCAGTAAACTTATTGGAATTAACCTAATTTTTCATATAGAGTTTTTGGCACTTGGAAGAGTTTAAAAAACAAAGTTACAAGTTACAACTATTTAATTTGACACCCTAATGCTTAAAAAATTCTATAACCTTGCATATTTTGAATTTGTTATCAAAATGACATTATTAGCACTTGTGCTTATATTACACATAAGGAAAACCAACAATGCACCTGGTCCATTCACTTGAGTTTGGACACTGGTCAAACTACCAGCATTCAGCCAGTTGTGAGGCTTGATTATTACAAGCATTCAGGATTTAAAGTTTGCTTATATTGTAACCAAGTGTTTTAGTTTTACAGTTCTGATAATGTCTTACCTTCAGGTACATTATAGCAGTCATCTTCCACGATGCTATTATTAATAAGTGCATAATAAATTAATAATAGTAATACTTTAAAATGCAAAGTTACAAGAAGATATAAAAAAACTTTGAGTTAGTATAATGAGAACAAATTATCACTTGTCACACTTTAAAAAAAAAAAAAAAAAAAGAGAATAAGTGTAAGCTTTCTGCGGTAAAAGAGCAGTTCTAGGATCTTGTTTAAAAGCATTAATAAATATATATGTCCCTGTTTTAAGCTGCGTTTACTTCTGATATAACAGTAATATGTATATAGAGTACGCTAATATATCTAAGAGTAAAGTGTATGTTTACTGGTACACAGGAGATGCCTTTAAGGGTCAATTTCTGTTTTATGTGATATTTTTGGTTTGGCAGTGGCCAAGTAAAGCTTCCTTATTTAAGAAGTATAACTTATAATTTAATTTTAAAAAGTTTACTTGAAAATAAAACCAATGGAATAGCAGGCAAATTATTCATTTACTTCAAAGCATCAAAACTATGAACAAAATATAAAACTTGATAATATCTAACATAATAGTGAATGAATTAAAAGACTGGAAAATATTACATGCCATAACTGCATATTATATTTAAACTGAGCTTTTAATTTAAAACTTTAACTTACAAAAGCATCATTAATATGAAATTGGAAAAACGGACAAAAGAATTCTGAAACTATTGAAGTAAGATGCACAATAAGAATGAGGAATTCAAACAGGAATGCCTACTGCTTAATTTTACAGGAAACTTTTACAAACTTGACAAAATGTGCATGAAAAATCCTCCTTCCAGAAATTCATTACTATTTCAATTGACTGTGTGAACCATTACTATTTCATTTGAGATTTGTGCAACTTAAGATACTTGCAGTGAGAAATATTATGTTATGATAAAATTGATTATGTTATGATTTCAGCTACCAGAATTTTTCAATGCAAATTAAACAGCTTTCTGCAAGCAAAAATTACACATGTGAAAATTAACACTACTTTACTGTACCTCAACTAAAGAAGAAATTTCAGGCAACTTCTTTCGTAGCTCTTTAGTTTCTTTTTCAACGAAAACGGCAGGAATGGAATATACATCGATTACATTAGAATCATTATTTAGAGATAAGTGAATCCCTATTTGTCTCAGGTATATATGATAGGCATGCAGAAGTCTAACTTCTTCTGATTCTAATGTTATCTGCAGTGATGGAGTGATTGGTACAGACTTTATTCTTCTCTCACCATTTTCTGCAGTTTCATAAACCTCTGAAAATGAATCAATTAAATTAGTGCAGACATAAAAAATTTAATAAAATCGTAAATCAATACAATGTTTTAAAATTAAAAGGAAAGTGTTCCATAACACATAAACAAGTGTTGCAGAGTATTTTGTAACATTTATATCGTTATGTGATTCCAATGGTAGACAGCCACCAACATTAAATACATTTTAAGTATTATTACATGTTTCCATAATACAAATGATGTTGCCTGACATGTTATGAAAAATAAACGAGGTCATAAACATGTTAATATTCATAAGATTTGGTGTCAAGATTGAAATAAATAACCAGTACCAAGGCTTATCATTGATAACAATGCATGATGAAAACTGATGATGTACAATACAATTTATGCAAATTGTTCCAAAGGTATTTAATAGTACTCATCCTGATATGAATACCATAGATACCTTTGGAACTAATAGTATTCATCCTGATATGAAATCGTTTGAAACCTATTATACTGATCTTTTCCAAAACTATATTGCTAATGGTGCTGACCTGATCAGTACAACTGTTAGTGCTGCTGAGTTCAAATTCCAGCGAAAGCTTGGATGTTTCCTCCTTCCAGAAAAAGCATATAATGTTTCCTAAGCATATAATGTCTGTGTAGCATAGAGACATTTAAAATATCCCTCCTCTCAAGTCTTAGAGAATTCAGGGTCACTGATGAACTCACAAAAAGAATGTCTCAAGTCTCTCATCTTCATGCCTACCATGACTCTGTATGAGAAATGGCAGCGAGACTGTTTTGGCAGAGAACCCTCCCATTTAAACTTAAGAGAAACCTGTTAAGTTGTGTTGTTGATTTAAGAGAAACTTGTTTCTCAGGCAAATTTCTTCCAGCATTGTTGGTCACTAGCTAACAGTAACACCATAATGTACATGACATAGGTAGTTTATTAAGCCATCTCCACAATGCTGTTACTAATAAGTGCAAGCATAAATTAATGATAGTAATACTTGAAAGTGTAAAACTACTGAAAGTTACATAAAAAGAATTTGAATAAATACAGTGAGAACGAACTGAGGTTTTTGCACTAATTGGCTTAAAAAATCTTCTCTAACTCACCATAGAAAGCAGCTGTACTTGATGAATTCCTTTTAAATTTGATTATTTTATAAGATACTTTTTGGAATTTACACTTTATACAGTTTTGAAATACTTTCAATTTCTTCATATAATTATAGCTCTCTTACTGAGAAAAACACCTTTTCATTACTACTCATACTGCAGTGGGGAAGGAGGCATTTAAAAATTAATTCTTTGTTGAAAGTGCATAAATTTTTCTAAACTCTTTAATGTGTGGATCAAAATAACTTTTGCTTCAAGATAATGCCTACACAGCAGAAGTTATATAGGAAACTACTATTTTTTTAAACACTATATAATGCAGAGTAAGTTGTTGGGGATGTTTATTTTATTTAATATACAAGATATTATTTGGGAAAGATTTTGAAGTTTATTTTAGACATAATAATTTCAACTGCAATAAAAAAAACTTATTATTACTGTCAAATATTACAGAATATTCACGATTTATGGTATCTGACAGTGACTAACATTGTGATAGTTTAAAAAAAATCATTTCCAAAGTAAATAAAAATCTGCAACATTACATTTTTGATATAAGATCTACATTTAGTATGCAGACAAAATACTCACCCTCGGAAAGTTCTTCTAGCCTTATCCGTTCGTGAACAGCATGCTGATCAAACAATGCAAGCAACTTTTGATCTAAAAAAGTTCAAAAGTCATATTGCTAATACAGGCTGTTTTATAATTCTTTACAAAATTTAAATCGATGAATTCTGAATTAACCTTCAAGGCAACATTGCTTTTTGGATAAGAGCTATGTTAAACAGCATTTATTAACTAGATTTGAACAGTTGTTTTAGTTTTTGTTCCATTAGATCATTAAAATCATTAAAGTGAATAAGAAAACAGTTTTAAATTACAAGATAATATATGTATTAAATGATACCAAATCTCATGACCAGATAAAAGTGCTCATTTTATCCAGTGCATTAGAAATCTCTTGGTTAATTTACTATAATAATACATGAAATGATGTATTGTATCATCAATTATATTATCACAGGAAAGGATTTGCTTTCAAAAAAATTTATGCACCAAAAAATATTTGAATGTATGCAATCATTAGAAGTGTAAGATATTCTACAGAAGATGTACACTTTCGGGTTTTTAAATTCTTAGTTTTTTAAGTACCCTTATTCCCCCCCCTCATCACAATTAGTTTCAAATGCTAGGAAATATTTTATGGGGGGGGGAGTTACACAAAAAATTTGGAAGGGAGATAAAAATTCAATATTATATTACTATATTAAGTCTTCCATTATAAAAATCAGTTTCTTCTAATTTCTAGTAAAGGGTGATTGATCTAACAAATGATTTCTGGTTATCTAACAAAATGTGAAAATAAAGGGTACTTTTGCATTAGCTAACATTCATAATTTCTGTGGAAGATTAATTTCCATTTTCATTCACATTCTATTTTCTTTGACAATAACTTACTAACAATTATCTGACTAAACTGCAATCATACATTTTATCTACATACTACTTTTTTGTAGCTAATCAAACTTGGTAAAATTTTTTAACAAAATCTCTCCAGGATTTGTGAAGCAAGATAAACAAGCACACATTTTTTTCTTTTCACATAGTTAAGATACAGTAAAAAAAGAATCAAAATTGCACTTATTCCCATGTAATAGAATTTTTAAATCACACATGAAGTGACTATGGAAGGTAATATTGATATCTGACAATAACCATAAAATTTTTTTTTAAAAAAAAGGGAATTGCTTCAAAGAAGTGGGTAAAATCAATGATTATCATCAATTTATTTACTAATGCCTGAAAGTAATACAATAATTTTCTCCACTACTCATTTAAAATGTATAGAATAAAATCTGATACATGATAAAAACCTTTTTTTATACATACAACAGTAAAAAATCAGAAGACAATGCATACCATTGCAGCCATTATTGAAATCTTGAAGGACACAAGCAATGAATTTGCAATCTACTTGTCCAATAACCTGAAAAATTATTAATTAACTTAATAAAGCATAACTAAAACTAAATCATAACTTAATGTGCAATGTGGGTAATTAATATTTAATAACGCTTAGGCAAAGAATTATTTCATAACACCTAAACAGACTATAAAGTTACAAGATTAGGTTAGATCAGAGTCGTAGATAGGGTTTTTAGCGCCCAGGGACAACTGAAGATTTCGCGCCCCTTACTGCTTGCCAAGGATGGAAAACATTTAATTCTACAATGTCGTAATATCAATTTGGCGCCCCTTGGATTCTGCGCCTGGGGACAGATGCCCCCCTTGCCCCCCTCTAGCTACACCCTTGGGTTTGATTTTCTACTTAAATATATGATAATCTTTTAGCAAAATAAGAATGAAAAAGATTACATATGGCATAATCACTTTTTTATTCATTCATTTTTTAATCTATGGAAGAAAAAGTGATTTCACATCTCTTTTAGATATGAAATCATTTTTTCTTCCATGAAATCATTCTTTCTTCATATCTCTTTTAGATCAGAATTATTTTATATCACATTAAGGATTATTTTTACTAACTTCACAACTGAAGTTTCTTTCTGCTCAGAAGATTACTGGAATTATTTTGTTATGTATGCATTGTAATATAGTTTGGAATCTTCTAATTTACTAAAAAAGATTTACATATAGAGCTAGTATAAATTATTTATTCATTTTGAAAAGGCTACACTTTCAAAAATATTACATGTACACACATGATAGATATATGGAAAGAACCACAAACTCACCAAGTTTATACACCCTGTACAAATAAATGTTCAATATGTATCCCTATAGTGACAAGATATATATCCAGATGATAATCAAGCTCATTCCATACATTTTGTAGCATAGTCCTGCCAACTGTCTGCACTGCAGCATTCTTTGAGCTCAGCTAAGGATTGCAGTAATGAGGGCACATAAACAAGGTTCTTAGCAGGAAAAAGTCGCAGGGCATTAAATCAAGGTATCTGAGAGGCCAGGGGAACAAAGCTAGGTCTTCTTAGTAATGCGCCCAATCTAGCAATGCGAAAGTTCATCGTTTAGGCAGTCACAAACTGGGATGTGCCAATGACAGGGGTGCTCTGTCTTGTTGGACGACAAAATTTTTTTTTATTTTTTTGAAATTTGATTTTGAAAAAATAACCTTTTCAAACAAATGAATCATTTATGGTAGCTCTGCAGAACATTTTAATCACTTCCATTTGAAATGATAAAAAGAACTAATATTTGAAATTAAATCTGATAGGCAGCTTAAATGAAAAATATCATCAAAGTTATGTCTCTCTTACTCTGTTTTCCTTCTTTACAAAGGTATTTATTGCCTACATAATGGCGGTGCTTTTGGTGGTGGTTGGGAGAACTTTTTGAGTAAATGATATTTTCCTTTAATTGTGTTAAAATTAAAAACATTCATGTTATTTGTTTTAAAATGTCTATGTCCTTCTTAGCTTGCATGTTGAGGGAGGGAAAAAAAAGAGAGACAGAGAAACTTATTTGAAGTTGTATATCGTAAATGAGTATTTTCTCAGAATGGAAACTGCATGTATGATAAAAATAAGTTTCTTGGCTTAATAAGTTTTAAAGTAAGTTTTAAAGCTATTAAGAAGTAGCATTTGCTGTGTTTTTTAGCCATATGGTTCATAAATTAAAAATCCTTCAAAAAATTATTCTATTATTTTATAATCTATCATGGTTCACAAAAGGAATTTCTTGTGTACAATGATTTTTAATTATGATACTTGTAATTATGTTTTCTTAGAATTTCAAAACAGTTCAGATACAGAAGTTCAAAATCTACATTAGATAAATGTTTAATCTGAAAAATTGTGATTTTTATCTTTTTTAATAAGCCTGGGTGTTTCTGTTGATCTAAATAAATATTCTTTAAATGATAAACCCATTCTTCAAGTAAAAATAATTGATAGCAAGATAAAATAGATACCATAATTGAATTGCTAACATTTACAAACTGCAGATGCCACACTCATTTTTGAAAATATTCATGTGATTTTCACAGCTCTCCTGAGGCCACAGACCCAGGTTATCAATATGACTAAGAAATTAATTTCAAAATATAAGATGCTATAAATATTTCTGAAATTTATTTTCTCACAGATGGGAAAATCTGATGCTTTCTTATGTGTGAGACTCAGAAGTTGGATTTGTGATCTGTAAGATCTGACATCTGTTGCAGAACAGATCATCTGTTCCACTTCAGAAGGGAAAAAAATCTACATGCTCAGACCAGAAAATAATTCTTCAAATATTCTGGAACTACAGAGATCAAAATTTATATCTGATGTTGTGCTAATACCTTAAGATTATACAAGAATTATTGATGTTTGTGACTTAAGCCAAGTAGTAAAAGCCACAAAATACTGATAATTAATCCTAATTCCTAGTAATTGAATATATTGGCAATAACAGTTTCACTTATTATTTTTTATTATTTCCCCTCTTCCCAAAATTCTTCTTGTGTACTTCATATATATGTATTAATTTTCTTTGAAAAATTCTCCACAAAAGCATACTTGTCCTTAAGCAAATAGCCGCCATAAATAAAATCATCGAATAAAATTATCATCGAAGTATAGCAAAGTATTTTTGCCCTAAAAGGAAAGATATAAAATGCCCTAAAAGGAAAGATATAAATACACACTCTGAACAACTAGAAATAAGATATCTCTAGAATAGTTTTACTTTCAAAAACTAAAAAGACTGCAAACACACAGGAAATTTAAAAGTAGTAACAGTAATGACGGTATACTAAGTCATCAGAGATTTATAATATGAGATAATGGAGATTAGGAAGTAGAAGCAAGAAGAATATCATTTATAAACAACTCATTGTCATTTGTATGAAATTGGTTACTATATGTTTAATTTCTATGCTTGCTTTAATGTTAAAAATTGGTGTTTTTGATTTCCTGAAGCTGATATGAAAAGCTTGAATAGAAACAATATGATTACATGCTAAGACACTTTTTTTGGAGACGGAGGGTGTAAATTTCTTCTACCCTACAATTTTTCACGGAAACTTTAAATAGTACTTACATATTAGCACAACTACCTCCAAAAAAGTCACCAAACTTTCGGAATGCACTGAATTCTTGCAAGCATGCCATAACAGTTCTTTAAGTAATATCATTTTTCAGCTGCAGTAAACACTGTATTTCTGCATGTGTTCTTGTGTTGTATTCCAAGTTCCAACAATTTTGATGACACAATTATGATACTTTTTACTTTAAACTTGGTTTTAAAATATACACTTAAGGGACTTGCTTACAATGAAAGAAAATGCAGTGAAATTTATGCTAAAATATAGCACTTTGCTACGAAATTATAAAGAGAAGAATTGCTCCAAAACTAAGAAATCATCACAAAATTTCCATCAGATCAGAAGAAACAAAAACCCCTTTTTCAGTAAGTTTACTGATTGATTTTCAAGATAAATACCTAAATGAAACATAAAATATCTATTTATGTATGTAATAAATATTTTGGGGTCAATAATATGTCTCCATTCATCTTCTTCAGTTAAAAAAAAAATCACCAGTTCTGCTAATACATATGTACCATTTAAAATAATAATAATAAAACGATTTATACCTTTATGCTTTATTATGATTAAAACTAGAAATGGAACAAAACTAAATCATAAAAGATTCTAGAATCTCTTAAGACCTTCGCATAAAATTAAAATGATAAAAAAAGAAAGACTTTATATTAAAAGCTTTAAATCAAAACAAAATTTTTAATTTTCGTTTAATGATGTATAGTCACTAGGTTTAAGAATCACTAGGTCATGATATAGGAGATGCCAAAAATATGCAATGTCCTCACTGGGATTTGAAATCCAGACCTCTTGATTATGCACTGCACTTGTTTTCAGTTTCCACTATGAAAGCACGTGGAAAGTAGGGAGAAAATACCTTAATACTCCCCCTTTCAAAGGGTAACTATTGATTTGGAGATTCAGTTGTCAAATCCTAAATATATTATAATTCACCATCTTTTAGTTTGGGTATCACTTGTAGGGTCTCTTTTAGAATTTTTCAATGTAAAAAAACTATAGAAATCTGCAATGCCCTTGCTGGGATTCAAGCTCTGGACCTCCCGATTACGTGTTGGACATGCTTCCAATTACACAATGAAGGCATGCAGAAAGGAGGGAAAAAATATCTCATAATGAAATACAAATTTAAAAACACAATTTTAAAAAATACTCCTACATCTATTAGGAACATAAAAATGAGATTTAGGGAAAATAAAATAAAATAAAATAAAATAAAATATGTGATTCTTGAAACTTAAAGTTAATTCTCCCAGTTTAATTAGATAAAAATACTTGAATAAACAGTTCAGGTTCCTTATACTATTCCATTTATTTTTTAATCAAAGCAAACGTAGAAGGGTGAGAATTATTTCAAGAATCAACACATAGAAACATTAAATGTGAAACTCCAAATTTTCACTGGAAGATTATATTCAGGTGATATTATTGATTTAAGTTCTACTGAATTTGCAAGAACAGCATTCTTTTTTTTAATGAATGTTCCTACTGCACATTCATAAAGGTATTATTTCCACACATTTTGAGTTGATACATTTAATGTTCTTTTAGAAAGAACTTAAATCAGTCAAATGATGAAAAAAGCACAAAAATCTGAGATTTTGAATCTTGAATTTTAAAAAAATGCAATATTTAAAAACACTGTTCCTAATTCAAATCATGCACTTCAGTATTTACAGCAAAAAAAGCAAGAGATGAATAATACTTTTTCTTTTTATCGTATTTTCCTCTCTCCCTTCTTTAATTCTAAAAGTGAGATCCTCCTTAGATTTCTTTCATTTTCACTGCACAAAGTACAGACTCAAGGTTTTATACAAGTGAGTCAGGATAAATGTACATTCACATAGTATGGGATATCTATAATTTTACAAAGTATGGGATATCTATAATTTTTACAGTAAAAATGATTTGATAAATCAGAAAAGTTATTTTACATACTTGTAAACTCTGTAATGTACTTTTTGAAAAACGATATGAGTTCAGAACACCATACATTTGAGGAACATTCTGAGAAATATTTGGGTCTTCTGCACAATTTGCCTGAATAAAAGTAAATGTAAAATTTATTTGTGTTTTCACTATTTTTTTGACAAAAGTATGACTTTTAAAAATACACACCTCTGATGAAATATTAAACATAGGATTTTCCCACTTGTTGAACATTTCTTCTACATTATTGTCTGTGAAATTGAAAATTTAATAAGATTCATATATAATGAAGAACACAGATGCTGTACTTTTACATATTACTGAACTTAAATTTTAATAACCATAGCAAAAAAGATAACTTTTATATTAATTACCTTCCACCAATTTCAAAATAAAAAAAGATAATAAATAAACTACACATTACAAAACAATTCACATTTGAATTTGGAAAAATTATACAGCAAAAACATGTGATTTAAAAAAAATCATATTTTAAAAAATAATTATTTTAAAGCCAATAAATACTTTTACATTTTAAGTCATTATATGGCTAATCAAGTGATTTTGTCTTCCTGACAACATTAAAAACTATAATCCAGATACAGTACATTGAAACTATCATTTGTAAAATTATATTATATGGAATGAAGATTTCTGCAATTTAAATTTCTGTCTTTATTCATTTCCAAATCTAATATTTCTAAGAAAATGTATATTAATACAAAGTTTCAAAACTTCAAAATGTTATTCAAAAAAAGAATATTAAAATGAAAAATCATAAAACAGCAAGTTAAAATATGGATATAATGAGTGCAGACATTATTAATACATACATAATGCACTTAAAATACACCGGTTCACTTTACTAATGAGTAGACACAAAATTTCTGCTTTATCAGTAATTACATTAATATAATTTAAGTCAAAGGACATGGCACAATAAATAAATAAAACACATTTTTAAAAGTAAAAGAGTTTTGAAATCAAATTATGAAAAAAATGACAGCTTTCATAACAAATACTGGGAGTATTTTAAAACAGTTTCACACACACAAAAAAAAATCTATGTGATTAATAGTTGGCTGATTACAAGCATAATTTGTTTTTCCCCATTTTTTGTCAAGCTCCATAAATTTTATTTTTTATCAATTAATATTTGTTAAATTTTCACTCATATCAGATCAATTACTTCGCTGCATCTACATGACCTGACGTTGCAAATTATGTTAGTAGACTTAGTTAATTTAACAATAACCTGAAATACTTTCACTGAATTCAAGCAAAATGAACACTACATTTATGTTACCTTACATTTATGTTAAATGTCAAAATAACTTATTGAAAACAAATGAGAATGTATTAAATGTTAGTGGATTGGGCTGAAATACTTTCAACAGAAAATCATTTAATGGCTATGGTTTTTTCTATTAGCAAGAAACCTGTTTTCCTGGGAATCAAGCACGCACAAAGCATAGCATCAATTGAAGCTTAAAAAGAAGCAATGCACTGGTGTTCACTGCTTTTAACTAGATTTTTCAGAGAAGACAGCAGAACCAACTGTGTTATACAGTGACAATGACAGTGCACAGCACTGTGAAAAAATCCATATCATCACTTTTGAACAAAACACACTGATACTCATTTACGTTTGGTAGAAAGTTAATATGGCAAAAAGGAAATTCACATTAAATATGTGTCTACAGCAGAAATGCCTGTTGATATTTTAACAAAGAATACTGTAGAGACAAACATAGAAAATGTATGAATCTATTAGGATTTGATTGGTCTATGAGGACTTGATTTTCTAAAGATTTCAAAATGCAGTGATGAAACTGTTTAGTGAAACTAAACAGAGTTTAACTAAACATAAGTAATGGTTTTTGTTTTTCTTTATTCTCTTTTCAGCTCTGAAAGGGAGAGTATTGGGAAATTTGCATTCTTCCTTGTAGCTGCACAATGCTGAAGATGTGTAAAGTTCAAAGCTACATAGTTGCATGGTAGAAGCCAGAAAGGTGTATGTGTGTGTGCAGACTGTGTGTCCTCCTAACATCCTGGTAGCCAAGATTCTCTTTAATGTGGTGCAGTGATCTGAGGTATGGAACTGTTGCAGCCAAGTATCTGATAACATACCAGTCACGTTAATCACTTGTTATCCAGAGTTCATGTTATGTTTTTTTCATGTCACAGGTTGACATATCCTGTTCATTAGTTTTGTTAAGCTCAAGGAAAGCACCCATTAAAGTTTATGTTTAACTTGCAGCACACATGTTCTTTTGGTATGGAACCACGTTTCACACTATGACAAAACTCTCAAAATCACCACATTAAAATTCAGCAATAAGAATTAAGAACAATTAAAACTCTGATATCAAAATCAAATGTAAAAGTTAAATATAAGCTGCAAAGTTATATAAGAACAATAAATTTGCATACTTATTATAATCATTTTATTCAACTGCTGTGATTACACCTTTTTAATTTTTAACAATTTCTAAAGTGAAAAATATTTGGAAGAACACTCAAGTATTTTTCAACCATGAAATGAAATTATTTTCAGAGGATATATTATAAAGTATATATTGAATTAAAATGAAAAAAATTATATTTTTTACATAGCTAGTTAAAACTATGTAAAAAAAATATAATTTTTAGTACAGATGCAGCAGAAAGTTTGATATGATGGTTTTAAAATTACCACTTCGCAATTTAGAGACTGAATTTAAATAAGACCTGTTACATATGAAACTCATTTTTAATAGTCCTTGATATTAACTTCTGAATTTTAACTGGGAAGCTTAAATATTTTAATTTTCATTGTAATAATTTTTTAACACAGTAAAATATTTTAAATAAGTACTCTTATCTGCATTTATTACATCCACCAATAGCAATACATTTAGACACACATCCAACTATGATTCCTTTATAAGAACTGCATGGAAATGTAAAAGTTCCCACATCTGTATAAAAAATATATCTTAAAATGATATCAAATCATATAAAACATAAAAATACCACAATAAGAGCTTTCTTGTTTATTATCTCTCCATTTGCAGTTCCACTCCTTTTTCTCTTCATTTTCAACAAAATCTGTCAATTCAGTCTGGAGGTCAGATATGGATACATCATCTGTTATGCCTGGACTTGATTCTTTTGGCATAAATGGTGAAAAATCATGTGACAGAAAAAAGTGCCCCTTCTTAAAATGACCTACAAAGAGTTTAAATACTTCAGATCTTGGAAAAATAACATAAGACATGCATATAACAAGCAAAAATTATATATTTAGACCACAAATGCCTGTGTTCATTTTTGGATGCAAATGGAAAAATTTTGATTTGCAGAAAATTTAGCATGGTAAATTTAAATTCTCATATGTATATAAAAATAATCATTTTGGCAGAAATATGGCTGATCACTGGAATACATAGTCTGGCAATACAGACTGCTAGCTGGGAATCTGATGAAGATCAGCAGTACTAATCCAAAAATTACTTGGTTAAAAAGTTAAAGTGTATATTATTATGGATACACATATGGACAAATCAGAAATCATGAGATACTTCTGAATAAATCATAGTTCTTTATTCTAAAATGGAAATATATCTGCGGTACTTTACACGATTTTGTACCTTGCAATCTGTCCTGTTGAGTAACGTTCTGTCCTCGTACTTTGCCTTACATATAAATAAATCTGTGTTTTCATAATTTGCACCTCATGATCTTCTCAAAAGCAAATTCAAAATTTTTGCAAAGCCCATTTTATGATACCAAAGAGCTGCTTGAAGAGTGCATGAGAATGGGATTCATTGAAAATAAGAAGGAAATGAAATTGTGCAAAAGGAAAGCTATTACAGATAAGTTTGAATGGTGATGCAAGAAATCTAGTGAGAACAATCGTTTTGTGAAGTGCAAGGGAGGGTACTTGGTTTCTGAAAGTCATTTGAGTATGAAAGATATTTTTTTGATTTTGCATTATTGGATACATTTGCTCCCAGTTGAATACTAGAACTCAGACTTAAGTATGAATAGTAGCACTGCTGCTCAGTGGGATTCTTTCTGTAGAGAAGCAAGTATGGAATTTTATGAGAATGATAAGTATATGCTTGGTGGGGTGGATATAATTTCTGAAATTTATGAGAGTAAGTTTTGGAAGCACAAGTATAAGAGAAGAGGGCAAATGGGTGGAAAATGAGTGCCTGATGGAACTGAATAAGGGAACATTTAAGTGTTTCTTTAAGATTGTGCTAGATATAAACAAAGAATGCCTAAGTTTCATCAAGCAGTATATATTGTACCCTGCATTACAATTATATCCAAAACTCTGAATTAATGTGGTTAGCATACGTACAGAATTTACATACGCCCTTGTAGCCAGCCCATTCGTGGGATTCGAACCTCGGACTGAACTACCAGTGTTCAGCATCTTTACCGATCGGCTGCTGATGGGCCCTCCACACGGTGTTAAATCTGGTGATGTTTTTCCTTGTTTCTTTGATGTGATTCCTTGTTTTGATATATATCGTGTGACCAAGTATTCACACATAGAACCCCTATAAGGGCTGTAAATAAAACTTGAATTCTTTCTGTATTTATTAAAATATTCGTATTTGTTGTATTCATCTTAGTTCTTCTACTATAGCCTTCTAAAACCTCAAAGGGAATTAGGAATAACCTGATGCTCATCCTCCAATAATGGCGTCAGCTCTCTTTCTCATGCATTTTACTCTGAATACGGGTGACAGTGAAACTAGAGTTGAAGGAAATGGAGAGGATTTCCAAGTCATTGGCATAGCACACAGTAATACAATTCAGAAGTCAAACAACAAAAATCAGCATTATATTCACAAAATTTTCACAGGACTAGTTTCGATGGTTTTACCGAACCATCATCTTCAGCTGCAAAACCGCAAATGAACAAGATAAGAAATAATGATTAGAGAAATAATGATTAGATGAGATTCTAATCATTATTTCTTATCTTGTTCATTTGCGGTTTTGCAGCTGAAGATGATGGTTCGGTAAAACCATCGAAACTAGTCCTGTGAAAATTTTTGTGAATATAACGCTGATTTTTGTTGTTTGACTTCTGAATTAGTATTTGTTCGGCGTGTTATTGTGTCTTAACAGTAATACAGTTTGGATTATTATTAAATATAGGGATATACACGACATAGAACACAGAGCCGGGGATTGAACTTTGAGGGATGCCAGCTTAAATAATTTTATCTGCAGAGTAGGAATCACCCTGGCTAATACAAAAGGAATGGCTATTAAGGAAAGAGTAGAGAATTAAGGTAATTTCCCAGCACAGATCAAAGGTGTCAAGCTTGTAGATAAGGCCATGCATCCAGCATGAGAAAAGCAGTAGGCTGAAGTTTATGTATGGCTTCACTGATAAATTCCACTATCCTGACCAGTTACATTGTTGTAGAGAGACCCCTACGAAATCCGTACTATTGATTGCAAAGCAAATTCAGAGCCAGTTCCATATGTTTGTAAATGATTCTCCCAAGAATTTTTCCAAGAGACGGCAGCAGACTGATTGGCTGTAATTTTCAACATGAGATGCGTCTTTCCCAGGCTTGGGGATGAAGATAACTGTAGCTTGATTCCAGGTCCTCGGAAAATAACTTAAAAACTGGCAAGCATTATAGATATTACAGAGTTTATTGATGTTATTATTAGGCAGGTGCTTTATCACTTTGTTCAAGATGTTATCAATGCTAGGGGCTTTTCTATTATGTAATTTAGAGATAATTATTTTAACTTCTGCTGGGATGGCGAGGATAGGAATATTGGTAACTGTAGGCTGTTGAATCTAGTCTTTCACTCTATTATCAATGGGTGTGATGAAATTTACATCAGAAGGAGTGTCATTGGGCTTAAATTGTGTCTCAAAGTGATTTGCAAATGTAGTGGCCTTCTCCTCGTTAGAATATTTGTAACCAGTGTTGTCTTTAAAGGGCATATTTTTCGTGCGATTAGATTTTAAATTTCGAACAAAATTCCAAAAGGCGCAATCTTCAGAATTTAGACTATCGATTTTTTTGTTCCATGAATCTGGTGGTGCTCATCAACCAATTGTTTACGTTTCCTACTGAGCTTATTATCTTGCGATTTGATGACAGTGTCACCTGAGTAGGTGAATGTTTTTCACAATCTGTTGCATTCATTAATCAGGTTCTGGATGTGAGATGGTAATTAATGCTTTTAATTTCCTTAGTGGAATTTTTGAAGGCTTCCTCAATGCTTTGAGTGAAGTTTTATGTCATCCTGTGTTTTAAGAGGGCAATGTGCAGAGGGATGTAGTTGAGTGTAATTTTAAAAATGCTGCCAGTCCGGGACTTTTAAAGAGATTGAGGAGATGTTGGTCTTGTATTCTCAAATCAGGCATCTTATATAATGCACAGAAGGTTATGCTAATGTAATAAGAAATTTGGACAATTACTCTAACTTTCTCAAAGGCGCGGCTGTTGTCTGATGTAGAGAGCAAGAGTCAAAGCTCCTCTTCACATATATGAGCATTCCACCACCTCTGCACCTTATCCGATTGAAGCGGTAACATCTGTAATTAGCAATACTTAGAGAATGTGCAGGCGTAGTGTGTGTTTCAGTTATCAGTTATTATGTTGTTATTATGAGTGTGAAGGAAGTGTTCCAATTCACCAGTTTTGTTAGTGATGTTCTGCACGTTCTAGTTTATAACTGCCACAGGTGACATTCTATGTAGGTGTCTTTTATTCATGATTAATTTCAGTGTTGGGCTTCACTAATTTTGGTTCACAGATGAGTAAATGGACTTATGTAATAATACAACGAGGTTGGAAAGGTTTTTCATGACCATCTGTGCTTCAGTGACTGCTTTTTAAATTTTTTTAGCAAATATGTCAGAATTTACAGTGTTTGCATATGATTTATTAACAATAAATCTATCGCCTGCTGTCAGGTTTATTAGTCTGCAGATCAGATTTTTTGTTTTAGAAAAGTTTCGCAACCCCTCCAGTTGCTTGTGTGCTTTCCAAACCTGTTACAGCATCTAGGTTCAGAATCCTTAGGCAGCCGACAGTTCCAACTTTCATGACTGCCGGCACACTTGCAGAACTTTGGTGGATGATGACATGCTACCTGTGCATGGTAATATCGCTGGCATTTGAAACACTGAGATGGCATACGCAGACCTCCGTACCTCTCGGGGCGAATATACATTAAGTGTACGAGTCTATAAATTGCTTTATGCTGTTCATTTTTAGGGAGTGTCATAAAAAATAATGGTACTTTTTCCTCGTCAGTACCTTGTCATCTCATTAATTGTTTAACTTTTAATGCCTTAAATTCCTTTTCAAACAGTTTTTCTTGGACATAGGCTGGATTGACATCAATGGGGAGGTTCCTTATTACCACTTTAAGATTCTTCTCTCAGGGTTAAGATAGGAGTGGCCGTGTTGGTTAAATAGTTTGTCATTTTCCAATGTGTGTCCAAATTTTTGGGAAGCAACTCAAAATACCTCTCTCCTTTTTTCGATGTGCTCTTTCAAAAAGCTCAATGAAATTCTGCTAATTAAATATGTAATTAATAATAATAATGGACGGCATCTTACTAGCCAATTTGGGAAAATAAAGTTGCCCTCTGCGAGTTTTGCCAGCCTCCTCCTGAACATCACTTGCGGTTGTCCCAACCGAGCATGTAATCTCAGCTAAGTTCACGATAAACCAGGCCATGTTTTCCATCAAAGACATATTCGCAATGGTGGACTTTGCAGGGCTGTCCACAGATAGTGCCACATAAGTGTGGCTGCTGGCTGAAATCCCAAGATCAACCGAAGTACACAGGGCGTCAGCAGTAGTCTTTGTGCTGCACTTCGCCGTTCTTGGTTTCGTTTTCTACTTAACAATAATTTCACAACTATTTTTGATGGATGGGTTTCTCAGGCATCAGAAGGGAGAATTCATCAGAATCATCAGTCAGTATGTGGTATGAGTAATGTACCCCAAATTTGCTCCCTTATATCTGGGCTAAGGGTTACCTTAGCACATCTCTGTGCATCTTTCAACTTTATACAATTATCCTGATTGTTTTGACTTCTCAAATCCAAACCAGAAGGGGGGGTCCAGAATAGAAACAGTAGTGGGTAGGCTTAACTTCTACCCTTTCAACTCGGCTCATTTCTCCACCATACAAATCAGCAGAAAATCTCTAAATGACCAGGTCAAACTGCTCATCCTCAGCAGTCAGTACAGATACTTTGCTTTTCTCTGCAAGCTTCTGAAAGTGGGTGATATGTGACATGATAGTAATATACAGTGTCCAAAGATCAAAGTCCAATATCAGTCCAAAATCAGGTTATTTCTGTCAGGAAAAGAATCAGTATTAGCACAAGGCCTTTTTACAACATTCTAATCACTTAAGATTAATGTGCAACCTTTCTGAGCTAGTAGTGATGAAACTCAGAGAAAATTTGCAAGTTGTAAAATGCAGGAAACCTGAGCTGAGAACCATGAAAGTGCAACCTCATGTACGGTGTCTCGAGTCAGAATGTAAAATTATTGACTGCAAATGGATTTACATGCTTTATATTGAACTGCTATTTCACTCAGCATTTTCCATTGGCTTTGAAAATGTGAATATTGGCAATATAATTATTGGTACTATTCCATTTTGAAGACCATAAAAAATCGCCAAACTATTGCTGATGCCAGTGCTGCCAAAAATAATCGCGGCAACCCTAACGCAAGAAAGGAAGTATAATAGTAAATAACTATCTAAGATTATTGTTTTAATTTAGATGAAAAGTTAATTACATATAATGCTTTTTTATTATTATAATTTATATAAAAAAAGGCTAAACATGACTGAATGGAAGCATAAGAGTAAATAACTATTTCAGATCATTATTATAATTTATATAAAAAAAGGCCAAACATAATGGATTCTTGCATCGCTATTTCGCTACTGAGTTATCACTAAAACATAATTTCATCTTGTTGGTTGTTCAAACATAATTTTCTATAATGAATGATGCCTTTTCTTTGAAAAAATTCTATTGCAGACTTTTCATCATGGGCAATTCCCAAATTGTTAAATCCGTAGGATATTAAAAAAGGATTTAATAATTAAACTAGTATTTCAATGGCATCTTAAGATATATAGTACTATCTAAACTTAAGCAATTTGAAATCAGCATGTACTAATCAACGATAATCTCCACTAATCAAACAATCAAGAAACAGTTCTGTATGGTGCCGTTGAAGCAATACATTGCATGTGATGGATAGGTTGGCTTTGTTCTTTTCGGACAGATTATGGGAGACTTAAACACCTTTGCTTATTTTTCCATTCTGCTTTAAATGTTCTTGGATGGTCGACCAAGGCTGGTTAAGAGTGTTTGACATGGATTTGCTTCCACTTCTGCCCTTAGTATGTTGTTAGAAACAACATTACTTTCTGGTCCCCTTATTATATTAGATTTATATATAGCATTGTTAAAATATACGTGTTTTGACACCAAATCGGACTTTTTCTGAAATGACATGCCATTTTTTTTCCATATTTCGATTCTACGACTCAAATTATGGCAAACTGCCAACCACAAGTAGTTTTTAAAACATTTGCTCTCAAAATTTTAGCTCCTCAGTGTTAATTTAATCTGATATATATTTATTAATATTTCTTTTTTTATTAAACTTACTTGATTCTTTATTCCAGAATTCAAAATTTAGGCTTAATCCAAGAATAATCCGCACAAGTTTTGGTGATTTCTTTTCAAAATTGTATTTTTAAATATATTTTATAAATTTTTCGAAACAAATTTTATTTTATAACCTACAATATTTTTAACATCATCTTAAAGTATATGTACTCTAGGCACACCTGCAAAAAATTAAGAGTTTTTTAATTCCAAATTTTCTAAGATATACATGAATTTACATATTGGAACGTTTTGAAATTTGGCATCTTTTTATTGAGAGATAATAATGCCAGACAATAATACACACTTTGTTAAAATTATTTGAAAGTATGAAGGATGACTTATTTTCCATTTGTTTACAATTAAAAAAGAAAAGGAAAATGGGTTGCTATAAATTAAGAAGTTCGCCAAGTAAATTATTCTAGGCGAAAACTGGGAAAAAATATGGCAAAATAAATTTTTGAATTTCTCTGTAAATTTCGCAAATAAAATTCAATATTTAGGCATAATTTGAGTAGTAGAATCAAAATATGGAAAAAACTGGCAAGTCATTTCAGAAAAAGTCAGATTTTGTGTCAAAATACCAATGTTAGAATGATGCTATATATTAATCTAATATATATCCTAAGTCGAGCTTTCGAGACATGAAAAATGCAATTTGAATTTCGTCAACATTTAAGTTACAATTTTTAATAGTTTTTTAGGCTAGAATTCAATAGCTTCAAATGACAAGACATAAAGGTTTGCATTTTCAAACCTTTTTTAAAATTCATGGAATTCAAAGATTTGAAAGTCCAAAGATCTTCATAAGTTCCTCTAGCTATTATTTATGTTAACAGTTTTATAAAATATTCCTCTGTAAATTAAAAATTGAGGGGGCAATGCAATATTAAATAAATTAACTGTACAATTTATGCTGAAATTTCAATCTTAAATCAATAAAATAAAAATTTTAATTTTTCAAAATAGAATATTGCCATAAAACTTAATAATATAAACTTTTTTAATCTGCTAGCCTAATAAATCTGAAGATTTTATACAAATCTGGAATTTTATTTAATGTATATAATCACTGTAAAAAATAGTTAATGCACATAATAGTAAACGTGTTTATTTAGCAAAAATTCTCTTCAATTACATTCATAGTATGTGATTTAGTTTTAATAGCTATTAATAACACAGTACAACTCCAATTATCCGAATTACTTTCAGAATCAACTGATGAAGAGATGGTAAAGAAGAAAAAAGAAGCTCAAAAAAAGGAAAGGGAAGAGATAAGAGAAGATGAGGATGATGTGTCACTTGATGAATTAAGAAACATTCTTTTGAAAATTTCTAGATTTTCAGATGTTAGTGCTAAGGATTTTCAGAAGTTAAGTGCTGAGGATACAGCATAGATGGTGTGCGATTCGGCAGACTCCGTGCTTTAAATTCTAAATGATGACGAACTTATTGAAAGTGTTGAGAAAGAAGATGATCTTAATCGAAGTTGAAGCACACGTGGGACCATCAACTAGTGAAGCATTTGCGAGCCTTGAAACTGCATTGAAGAGGATGGAGCGTCAGCCCAAGTGCAACCACATGCAACTTCTCATTGTCCAAGCGGATGTGGAACTTGGCTGCCCAAAAACAAATGAAAACAGTCAAAGTGTTTAGCAAGCAATGACTTTTAGCATTTGTAAGTACTGTACAGGACACTATATAACATGTATATAAAAGTGCTGCCTTTCATTTTAATTAATAAAAACCTTTCATTCTTTAAAAATAGTTTTTTCTCCCATTTTCAATATATACAGTACATACATTAATTAATTAACATGTACACAGACACTTTCTTAGGAAAAAATCCAATTATCCAAATGTTTTATTATCTGAATGGGGTCCAGTCCCAATTGATTCAGAAAATTGGAGTTCTACTGTATGTAATATCTAACTTTAGATTGCCAAATAAAAATGCATTACCTGAAACTGACTCTTTTGTTTCATCCAACTCCTTCTGCTCAGGCATAAAAAATGAAGAATTTCCAGTAATTGTATCTATGTAAGTGACTCTTTTTGTTTCTGGATCTGTTTGACATATCCATCTATTGGATATTTCCATATTACCTATCAATTTGTCACTCAAAGCTTTTTCATCAACAGAATTAATTTCTGCATCAGTAACAGTCTGGGAGCTTTTATTTTCAAAGGATTTCACTATCAATGCATCAGTTGAATTTGTTTCATTACTTATTTCATTATTCAAAGAGCTTTCTGCACTAGCATTATAATTAATAAAATCATCACACTGTGCTTCTTTATTTTTCCTGTCTGCAGAAGGAACATATGCACAGTTATTTTGCACAGGAATATTCAAAACATTTACACTGCTTCTGCCATCTTGCTCTTTACGAGATTCATAGCATTTATCTACATTTAAATTTGTGTCACCTTCTTCTAGACATGAAACCTCTGCAATGATTTCATTTTCCTCATTCTGAGATTCATACTGATGTTTATTAACCACAGATTTTGATGAGCATGTACTAGGTTTATTTGGATAATCAGCACATTCAACTTCTAACCTTTGATTAACAAGTGAAAGCTCAGTGGCATGACAAACTTGAATATTTTGATGTATACCACTAGATGGTTCACATTTATCATTTGAAGATTCACCATTAAACTTATATTCAAACTCAGCTTCAAGATAATCTGAGTCTGCAATGTTATTTTCTATCAGCAACTTTTCATTCCTGATGTCAAAATCAGTCTGATTTGGATAAGAAAACTGATTTTCATTTGATATTTCTTGCACTACAGGTATGAATTCTTTTACAGAGTTTAATACTGATTGTGAGTTAAAGGTAAAACCTGTTTCAGCAGATAGTGCAGAAATTTCATACCCATCAGAACACGGAACCATGGAATTAAATTCCTTAATATCAGTATTAAATGCATGGTTTACTGCATTTTTATGTTGCAAAGGAATAATAGGTGATGCTTCTAAATCAAATTCACTTTCTGCTCTGGTCACCAGGCTTCTGCTTTCTGATATAGTTGAAATACATTCTTTGTTACAAATTTCATGTGTGTTAAAATGTTCTTCAGAAAAGGCACAGTTATTATCACAGTTGCCAGAATTACTTAGTTTTTCACTACGGATTTTCAAAAGATTGTGCATATTTTGCTTATTAACAGATATATCATGACTAGAATTGAGATGTTTAGTTTCTGTTTCAGTATCTGTAGCAATATTCTCCATTTCTTCACTAAATACCTGAACTTTTGATTCTGCTGTTATAGAATTAGAGATACAAACATCTGGAGAAATTAGTTCACAATCAGTTTGTTTTTTCAAAGGACATTCACTAACATTGTCTTTACTTAAGTCTCGGCAAAAAACGCGGCTAGGGAAATCATTAGAATGAGATGTATCACTAAGTGTGTTATTATTATGTAAATTATTAGATTTATCTGTAACAGTAAAAGTTTGCAATAAAAATGTATTATATTGATCTGATATCAAATTTGATGTGCTTTTCAGATTTTGAGATCTGATTGTGCTATTAGCATCTATATAATTATTTTCATGAGAATAAAATTTCAGACCAACATTGGTTTCATTAAAATTCTTATGAACTGATGTGTTCTCAAATGAGTAAACAGAATCAGCACTTTTCATCACTTCATTTGTAACAGAATGATGCTTACACATCTTATGATCAGGAAAATTCTCTACAACAAATTTAATTTTCTTTGTTTTGGAAACATCCGATTCATAATTATAGTTATCAATCATATCTCTACCCAAATGTAGATTCTTAGTAAGGGATTTTGCACTGACTTTATTAGAGCGAGATAATTTCTGTAAAGCTAAAGGTTTGGGTTCATTTTTAAAGGAATATTTAGATAATACCTTACTTTGGGATTCAGAAACAACTGAGGCATACTGAAAAGATTTTGTTTCTTGTGCATCTAAGCATGGTAAGTTGCAGATAAAATTTTGATGTGAATTATTTTTAAAACTGCTTGTTATAGGCATTTCTCTACTTTCCATTGTTCCTTCGCAGCTACTTTTATTGTCATTACATGCCTTGTTACAATTCTTAGGCTGTACACAAGACTGATGATTTTTAATAGGAGATAATTTATTTTCACTCTTATTTGGTACAAACTGGTATTTCTCTTTCAATTTAAGCAGTGCATCTGACTGAGGGTACTTCTTTTGCAATAATGACAATGTACTTTTAGCAGGTGCTCTAAGCATAATTGGACTTTTTGTTGGAAACACAGATCTACAAGGAATGTCAAGGATTTCAGTTGAAGGAGATTCAATAGAATTTATTACATTATTATTTATATTATTATTCCTATCAGATATAGAAGTAAATTTACATTTTAATCTTATACCATCTAAAATAGATCCATTTGTAGTACCTTGTTTCAAAGTTATTAAATTCTGACCAGTTCTAGACTGCTCTACATTATGGATACTTTTTCCCTTATTTGGATCTTCATTTAGCTTATTACCATCACTTGCTATATACTCAAATCTGGTACTATAAGTTGTCGACGATGATGCATTATTAAATTCAGCATCAAAAAGAGATTTAGTGAAAACAGATTCATTATTTCTTCCAGAATGTAAGGAAATGCTTTCAACTGGATAACAATCTTCATTAGTTGAAGCACTTCTAGATGATTCTGAAGGTACTGAGATAGTATTCAAGCGTTTAGCTGCACGTGAAAATAATCCATATTTATAATTATATGCATCAGTAATTTCATTAGGATTGAAAGTAATATTAGATGATTGTAATTTATTTTCCTCCTCTGAAATGCAGACTAGTTTCTCTTTTTTTAAGAAATTAAGGAGGGCTTTATCAATAAGTTTGGAAATTTTATCAGAGTCTTTAAATTCAATTATAGTCCGTCGCCGATCAAATATTGCATCATATTTGGAATAAGGGCATAAAATATTTAAAACAAATATACCATATTGAATTTGATTTTTCCCAAGGTTATTCTTGCTAGGTGATGACGAATCTAAAATATCTAATTTTGATAACTGCTTGGTGAAAAGAGCTCTTTTTAAAGTATTGTTGATTAATTTATGAATTTTAGTTTTAAGAATAAGACGTTGATTAACATAGAGAAACTGGAGATCTTTAGAAAAATAACTATCAGTACTTAAATAACCCTGAATTTCATACTCATCAAACTGTTCTTGAATGTGTTTTAAATTTTCTGCTTTGCTTTTTCCAAACAATTGGATAAATGCATTAAATATTGAACTACACTTTTTAAATTGAAAACAAATCTCTCTTGTTGCTTCATTTTGAAGTGAAAATGATATTCCAGGATGAACTAAGGCAATACTTTGGAGTAATTTACGAGTATCCTCAAGATCTAAAGCTTCAGAAATAGCACTCCTTCTAACAGGCATATTATACATAAAATCTAAAACTGTCACAGTTGTACCTTTACTGGGACGAGAACCATTTGATCTTTTAGGTTTTGATGCAATACCTTTAGTGAATATTTTACAATATGTTTCATCTGATCCAGCAGAACGAGATTCTATCATTAAAACAGAGGCGATCTCTTTCAAACTAGACAAAGCCTCTCCTCGAAATCCACCATACTTTAAATTTTCCAGATCTTCTAATGAATGGCATTTACTTGTAGCATATCTAAAATAAATTTACATTTTCAAATTAAATAGAGAATATTATTAAGTATTTGTATGACAACACAAATGCTGCAGAATTAAAGGAAAAAATAAATATATCTTTCAATGTTAAAGCTCAGTGTAATAAAAATGGTTCAGAATCATAATTTCAAAATAAATTAATATAATATTCTTTCATAAACATTTTTTTCATATTATTAAAATAAAACTAGGTATTAATTTAAATGAAATATCTTATTAAACATGATAGATGCCATAAAAGTAAATACTTTGATTTATTATATAAAAAAAGAAATTTAATAAGATATGAATATTTTGATAAATTATATACTGCATAAAAAATTAATTCCATTTTTCACATTTTGGAAATCAAATATATGTCTGGTTACATATAGAAAATGTAATATCTACATATGCATCAAGAAGAAAAACGTAATATGAAATAGCTTCATTTTAAATTTTAATTATATTTCATATTCAAGAAGATACTGACAAATAATTCCAAAAGCAAAAAAGCTTTATTTATACATTAATTTATAACACCCTCCCATCAATAATTTATAACGTGAGTAACAGCATCAAATATTCCATTGAATAGACCCAAACTTTGATGTTAATATATGTAATTATTAGTATTTTAATAATTTATTCTTATTCTACTTATTGTTTTAATAATCATTATTTGTGATAGTAAAATTGTTTTATTCTTTAGTTTCTAATTAATATATTTAGCAATGAATAAATAAATGTTATTAATATGTGATATTGTAATTTATATTTAGCAATGATATTTTAACTACAATATCACATATCTTAATTATGTGATATTGTAGTTAAAATATATTGAATTAAAATCACATGTATATAATAATTAGAACTTTTTTTTTTTCTTTTCATACTTGTCCACCTGGATTTCCAGTGTAGTTTCAACTGTCATTTCATATATTTATGTTCAGTATCATTTGCAATTTTCTGCACAAGATTCTCATGTTCTGTATAGTTTATGCTGCATAAGATTACTTAGATATAATGCATACCAAAATCTGGTATGGGAATATATTTTTATTATGGAATTTCCATGCAACATAATTGTAAATACTATTGTAAATACTATACTATTTTTTTCCTAATGATTGCATGTAAATAGTTTTATTGTAAATACTATTTACATATTGAAAGTAATATTAGAGGGTTGTAATTTATTTTCCTCCTCTGAAATGCAGACTAGTTTTTCTTTTTTTAAGAAATTACGAAGGGCTCTTTCAATAAGTTTGGAAATTTTATCAGAGTCTTTAAATTCAATTATAGTCCTTCACCGATCAAATATTGCATCATATTTGGAATTTATATATATAATTTATTTATATACTAAAATAAATACTATTTACATGCAATCATTAGGAATGTTTATGCACTTATTATTGTTATAAAAATTATTATCTGTATTTGATAGGTCTGTTTTCTGTTCTCATTCAATTTTTTATAGTAAAGTGTAATAATATGTGATTCACACTATTTAGTGTAATAATGGCTAATATGTAATTCAATGCTTGCAATGTAATTTATGTGATTAACTTTTAAGTGCATATTAAGCAATCATCAGAAAATTGAATATGTTTAGTGCTATGAAGAATTTTCTTTTTTGTTATTTCACTGTTTGATTTAAATTGTAGTTTATTGAGCTTATATATTTTTGTTGGCTGCTCCTTTGACTTAAGTGAAAATAGATCGATGTATACATGGACAAAGTCAAGGAAGTGCGCAATGCCCTTTTTATGTGCCACCTGGGAGTTGTGTCTTCATCCACCTCAGAAATTAATTACAAGCTGAGGGTAGGATTCATTACTACCATTGCAAATATCCACGATGCCATGCTGCTGCTGTTCTGGAAGCTAGAATTTGCTTGAATTTGCACTATCCCTCATCTGAAAACATTATTTTTATTTTCTAGTGTTATGTTTCTTGGATTATTTACGGGTTCTATAACAACATTTTCCCAATAAGAAAACTATACAACATGTGATACACTAGCAGTATATATGGCAAATAACAACACAAAATTATGCCATTCAGATTTACCATATGACAGCTAACATGTTGAAAAACCTAGTATTCATACCCATAAACTGATTACAAAAATTTTCTTCTCCCAAGTTTTAACCAAAATAATAAATAAAATAAAACAGAAAACAATTCTCAATAACCAAAATAGCAATTTCAAAATTATTTCTACTTTTATCTAAACCTAATAGAACAGGCATTCAGGCATACCTTATAGCCTTATAGCTAAAACAAAAGAAAAGAGTTTTTTACCTTGTACCAACCAATTTCATGTCATCTGGGGATATTCCATTCCCATTGTCCACAACTTGAATTCGATAAAAAGGTAGGTTCAATCGAACAGCAATACAGCTTGCATCTGCATCGATAGCATTCCATACTAATTCTTCAATGCAGTGGGCAACACTTGTAAATGCTACATCAGATCTTAATTTTTTAATGACAACTGGAGCAAGCTGTTGAATTTTCATACCTCATTCATTCCATGTATACTGAAATATATTATATGTGAAGCTAAGATGAATAAGAAAATGAAAACTTTAAATGTCACTCAAAATACAGACTGATTATTATGAACAAAGAGATTACGTAACATGATGTCTCTATTTATAAAAATTACTAATAATAATCACTTAATTGATAATTTAAAATCATATACATACTGAACTTAAACATGCAAACAGCATATATGCATAAATGACTTAAAATTCATAAATCTTTAATTACAAGCTGAATATTTTTAAAGGAAAAGATACTGCTAGAATTTTTGCAGTGAATGTGAAAAGCAAAGTACACATAATCACGGTCATGAAACATCCCAAAATTTTTATATAATTTAAATAATTATAACATTTTTCTCATCACCAGAAGATATGAGATGTGCCAAACTACGCAATTTTTTTCCATAAATGGAAAAGTCTTCTTCAAACACGTTGGGTTTGGTGTAATCTTGATTACACGTGTTAGTTACTGTTCTTCAGTAAAGACTCCTTTTTTCCCCCTCTATCACGCATTTTCGAAAAAAAAATTATTAAAATTTGGGACCTGCTTGCTACAGAAGAGCATGCTGTTGAATATTTCCAAAGTTATGGAATCTTACTGGCCTAAAAAAAATGTGTTAATGGCCATGAAATAGCGCTTTATTTTAAAATCTAGTGAAAATAATTGCTTTTACAGCATACCTCTTTAATAAAAACAATGGTACTTTTTAATGAAAAATTAAATATAAATAAATGATAATATATTAAACTTGAAAGCAAAATAGGAATTAAATAGTTTTCTTTTTCTTTTTTTTTTTTTCTTTTTTTTGGCGGCTTTTTTTTTTTTTTTTTTTTTTTTTTGGTTGATGGTATTATTCGTAAGTATCGTAGCTATAAGAATTCATGCAATCTAATAATTAACTTTAAAAAAAAAGGTTGATTAAATTTTTGTACACAATAAATTAATAACTTATAGATTAATGCCAGAAAGTTGTAAAATAAAAATTTCTGATCTTTACTATTATTTTAATATCACGGAAGGATAAAATTAAATTCTGTATATTTTGATATAACGTGATAACATGAAGTAAAAGGTACATCATTTACTTTTTGAGAAATCTCCCTTCAAAAAAAAAAAAAAAAAAAAGAGTCGATAAGTTAAAAAAACACTGCATTGATTTTCAGCGTTATTATTACATAATAGCAGATTTCATATTTGATAACTGCAATTAAAATGATTTTTACATTTAAATAAAATATATATCTTTACTGTTTGTATTTGTTTTGGAGGTTTAATGACATCATTTAGCTTATATACATCCTAAAACACTGATAATTTCTTGAATTAAAATATTGGGTTTTAATGAAAGTTTCCTACCACTGCAAACAATGCCTGTACAAATAGTTCACATTGGCATGCTTACCCATATTTTGCCAAACGATTTTTAAAATTTGAAACAAAGAGACTTTCTTTAGAACACTGTGTTGTGAAATTTCTAAAAAAATATTGTTATCATTAAGATGTCTGACATGGAACTACAGTACAAAGTCTGAAATCCGGACTCGTCGGGACTTCGGCGATTCCGGATATTAGATCATCAGTTTAAATCTAGTAAGATGGCATGTAGAAATTATAAAATTAAAAATATGAAACCTGATTTACGAAGTAATGGGTATCAAAATTTACAACAACAAAAAACCTTAATATTTATTTGTTTACCTTATTAAACATTTCTTTCAATGTAAGTTGTTTAAGTTGTTTCATTTTTTGTGCTAATACCTCTTTAATTCTGTACACAGATATAATCTCTTGTTTAGTTACATTGTTGAAGTTTAGTTACTGCTGTGTCAAGAATTCCGACTAACTTGTCAATCGAAATTTTTTCATTTTTCAGTAACTTTTCTGTCACTTTCTTCACTATCGGTATTTTCTGGATCTAGAACCACACTACAGATTTCGCTATTCATTAATTGATCAATGATTGAGAAGCATTGTCATCACAATGAAAAAAGTTCTTTTATAACTGCTTCCCCACATTTCTTACAAAATCTGTTAATTGGAAAATTTCACCTTTGTTTTGCAATATCCAAAAACCTTTAAAATGCGCAGCTATCATCATCAAATTTGGCTATTGTTCACTATAGATATTTGGCTATGCATCATGAGCTTGGCGACTAATGACTAATTGTTCCATTAAATTTTATCTTGTTTCTATCACGCATTGAGACAATTAAGCTTGAATTGTATTAGTTTAGTTATTTATTATACTTATGTTTATTACTTGCACATGCTGAAGGCTTATCAGAGTTCTGAATAAATAAATTCCCACATATACTTAAGCCTTATTGAAGGGCGGCGCTAGATATCTCACCGCCTGATGAAGTCTCTGTGGGTCCTAAATTCTGTGACCCGATACCCTGGTGCTGGATCTAGGTTTATGCGAATAACAAATCAGTTATTCTTAATTCAAATAGCCCTAAATGTAATCTTTTAGCGTATGAGTATTATACACAAAATCTATTTTTAGCATACAGAAAGAAATTTTTGTTAAATTTTTCCTTGTCAACATGTTTTAGTGCATTTAACTTAAATCTGTAATCATCGACAAGTGTAATGTCAATATAAAAGGTTACCATACTTCTTTGTTATTCAATTACTAACATAAAAAAAAAAATGTTTAGACATCGCTACAGGAGTCATTACTCAAGTTGTCATGTGTTGATGAACATGCAATGATAAAAGGAAAGTATAATAAATAATGATTCGCCAGGTTGCTGTCAGATCAACAATGTGGAATGTTTCGGTTTGAGATGTGTGCCAACCAGATACGAAGCAATGGGGTCAAATTATTGATCGTACAAATTTATGCTAAAATGATTGTTTGTTCAATAACAAGGTATTTTATTTAGTGTCAAAGTAAATTAAGAATCAGGACTCTCCAGATGTTTTATTATGCACAGAGAGGGGGAATCCAATGCGCATACGTAAAGCCTACCAGAAAAACATTGTTGGTGGTTTTGAAGTCCCGATTTTTTATCATTCTGGATAATGGATGTACGGATTTCGGACTTAGCACTGTGTCATGCTACCTGATTAGAACCATCATTTACTTCCAGTTCTGTTTCAAAAAGTCAGGTGCGGAATGTCATCAAATCATGTGTATAGCTTTAGTTACTAATGTTTTATCATATGACACCATAAAGGTTTGGTACCGAAAGTTAAAAAAACAGGGACTATAAACATTCAAGAAGCAGAGCCCTCTGGCCAGCCTAGTGATGTTTGTGAAACCGACCTACGAGAACTTGTGAAAGATCAGTATGTAACCATTCGAGAGCTTGCTAAGCAGTTAGACGTTAGTGCCATGCCCATTAGTCGTGTCATGCATCACATAAGCTTGATGTACAAGTTCAATGGCTGGGTGCCATATGAGCTGATTCAAGAAGATAAGGTCAAATGTGTTCAGGTCTGCATTAATCTGCTTGAATATCAATGCAAGAACAAAACTGTGGACCAAATCATCACTTGTGATGAAAAGTGGATTTACTACAACCACACAGGCTAAAAGGGCTAAAAGTAGGTCTGCACCCAATGAGCTTGTTGGCAGTGCCACAAAGCTCAAATTGACTAACAAAAAGATACTGCTTTGTATCTGGTGGGAATGCCATGGTATTCTCCACAAAGAGTATTTGAAAAAGGTAAAATCAACGACAGTAAGGTATACAGTGAGATGCTAGTCCATGCTGATGCTCCTATCAAGAAAAAACACCAAACTAAGTTCTGGCGTAAAAAAGGTAACGTTTCATCAAGATAATGCAAGAGCACATGTGTCTGTATTCACCGACTGGACTGTTGAGACTGATTGAGGTCAGGACTGTTTCCTGGCCATGACAACAATTTAATGCTCTTTGTACGACATCACTCTTTCGATATTTTGGCCATGTGGCAAGGAGCAGAATCCTGCTGAAAAATAAATGAAGCATTGTTGGGAAAGAGATCTCTGATGGAAGGTAGAAGTTTTTTTTTCTAGAATAGTGTCAATGTATTTTCTGGCATTCAGTGTCCCATCGATGACATGAAGACGACCAATACCATCTGCTTACATGCATGACCAAATCATAACACTAACTAGATTCTTCATAGTTGCTTGAATGCAGTCACGATGTAGCTCTTCTCCTATTCTATGTCTTACATATTTTCCCCCTTTACTACCGACTAACGATATCTTAGTTTCATCACTCTATATAACTTGTGACCACTGATCATCTGTCCAATTAATGTGTTCCTTTGCCCACTGTAGTCTTTTTCGTTGCTGAAAATTAAGATAAGGCTTTTTTCGTGGAATTCTACCTCTCAGTCCAACATCTGTTAATCTTCTCCTGATTGTTCTTGAACTGATAGAAACATCAGCATCATTCAGATCAATTCTGATGGCCACTGATGACATTTTTCTATCTTGGAGACATAGTCTTTTTATTCTTCTGTCATCAATAGATGTGGTGCACCTGTTTCGGCCTTTACCTTCTTTGTTTTTTATTGAATTTGTCTCCTGATATCGTAAACAAAATTTTCGGATTCCAGATGTAGACACTGAACCAGCCACCTGTTTTGCAATTTCAGCATAGGAAAGACCACTTTCTCGTAACACAATAATATTATATCTCTTTCTAGGTGTTCGATCTACACTTTTTTTGATGTCATTGCGTCTTGACTAAATATTAAAATTTTTTACAAAAATTCCTACTTGTAATTGCAGTGTACAAGAAACAGGTCCTCCTTCTACAGAACAAAGCAAAATAATGAATTGTTTCAAGTGTAAACATGATGCCAGCTTCTACTGGCAGTTACTAACATTTGATTGGTTCTCAGAACAAGAACAGTGATTGGACAGGAAAGCTAGACATTACAAACCACTTCATAACTGTGTTTTTTATTTATATTAAAGTACATATAACTTTTTTTGTATTGCAAATAATTGAATTTTGTGTTTTGTATTGAATTCAGTAATAAATTCTCTTTAAAGTGATATATACAAG